ATGTTTCAATGATGGAATGCACTTTGTGGTGACTTTGTACCAATTTCACAATTGATGTGCACAAGTGCTTTTATTATCCGAACACATCAGAATGTATGTGAAATCGAAATTGGATTTTTTTCTTTGTTTGGTTTATACTCCGATTCACGACGATCAAAAGATAATCATTTTGAAAAATAGGCAAACAAGAAAATGAAAGGCAAAAAGAATATGAAGAGGAACAAAAAAAAGCAAAATGAAGCAAAAGACACACAAAATGCAAAAGAAGAGTAGTGAACGAAGTTTTTATATGAAAAAAAAAAATTGAACTGTTCAAATTGATCACAAAATTCGATTTTAAAGTGAAATTTTTAAGCATTTGTATAAAAATGATAAAGAAAACCAAATTTTCGCATTCGTGACAACCGAATTAAAGAAATAAACTCAGAAAACGAATAAAATACACATTTCCTGCGGCATTTGTCACTCGATTCGAAGTAGCGTGTGCCTAGATTCTTTTTTATATTTCCGGTTTTTCTATTTTTTTATTTCAGCAAATAAAATGTTTCTCCCACTTTACTTTCGCTGTCTTTGAAGTTGACAAATAACTTTATATACTTCGTACATTTTTTTGTTTACGGATGTGTTTTTCGTAGCTTATCTAGTCATTATCTAAGGAAAATATTTGCGTCCTTGCGCCTCTTTTTAAATCCTTCGAATAAAAACAGCAGCAGCAAACAGTACTTTCGAAGCGACAATCAGCGAGTTTTTTTATGTGCCATAAAACGAAAAGGATTGAATCGATTCTCAAATTCATTCGAAGCAAATGCATTGTCCAATCAAGATTATAATAAATGTGGAAAATGTCTTAGGGAAAGTACGAGTTCAGCAGAAGCAGCAAAGCTAGAGGCAAAAAAATCAAATCTTCAGGCAAAACAAATATCGAAGCTATAGGCAAAGCTTGAAAGAATTTGTGTGTTCGATCGTCAAGGCAAAGTTAGAGACTATATATCGATAACGTTCAGTTTATGATGATCCAATTGTTGTGAACAGACTAAGAACAATCGTAAAATTTATCAAAACTTCGACTGATCGACAATCTCATGAAAATATAAAAAAAATCTTGTTCTTTCGAGAAAAAAAGTGAAAAAGTTCTATTCGATCACAGCCGAGGACAGCAAGCGAGTGACGATTGAAAACACATAACTTCGGGGGGATGGAAGAAAATAGAAAGAAAAAAAACTTGGTCAAATTCCAAATCGATGCGATTATATTTGGATTTGTGGCAAATGGATATGATTTGCCGCGCATTCCGTATTTGTTCCGAAGCGTTGCGTGTCCGAGTGATGGTAAATTTCGATATTGTTTTATTAAATGTTTTCATTTTAGTAAAATGCACACGAAAAAAAAAATGTTTACAACGAGTCAATTTGTTTGTTTTTTTTTGTTAAATTAATTGTTTGGATGCATTTTGTATCATTTTTGTAGTTAGTTCGAGTGAATGAAATGTGCGTGATAACAAAGGTTGAATTGTGTATCAAAAAAAGTCAATGTAAACACGTAGACACTTACTTCTCTATTCTCTCTGTCTGTTTCTGTTTTCTCTATTAAAATTAATTCAATAAATAAATAAATACGTTGTTGTTGTTTTTTCATTCAATAAATAAACCTAAAATTAACGAATCAGAATTGTTGCTGTTGTTGTTATAGTTATTGTTGTTGTTGCTGACGAGGACGGTCTGGTTTTTTTTTCTATCTCTTTCTTTGTCGATTTACGTCTAGTACTTGTTTTTTTTTCATTAACCTAGAAAATTGTTTGAGCGAATCATTATTCCTTTTTTGATATATGTATATGTATAGCATTTTGGTCTCGCATGAGTTGGTATTCGTGTTGCGTGTGCACGCGATTTGTGCGCGTGTTTAAATCAGCCCAGTAAATGAAAAATTTACGGTGATTGTTGTGCTGGATAATCATAGTAATAGCGGTATGGATCGTTTTGTGAATCGGGTTGTCCTGTTGGTGCACCACCGTGATGTTGTTGTCCATTTGGTCCTCGTACCAAATAGGCGGTACGTCGATGATCGCCTGATGCCACATGGAATGTCGTCTCGTCATGATGATCACTCGAATAGATCTTCTTCAATGCAATGATACCGGCAATTGTCAAAGCAACCGAACTAATCACCAACGCCTTGTATGCAATCAAACCAACAGCTTTCATTGCCAACGGAGCGGCAATTCCCATAATTGTCAACAAAGCGGCAATGATGTAACGATAGCTTTTCTTTGCTGTAAATAAACCACGTAGGAGAAAGAAAAAAAACATTTCGAAAAAGAGAAATTTGCGTTACACTTTTTTTTGTGATCAAGAGAAAAATGGCATCAATTTTCAAGAAAACAGTGTCACATAATGTGACACTTTTAATTATCACCAATGCCCGAATACCCCAGGTAGATAGAAAACTTATAATGAATTGATACGGAACTATGTTTGTGTGGTTTTTTTTTCGTAAATTTACAATTTTCAGATGTTTATTCGTTATCATTTTTCATTTATTTTGGGAAATTGGAAGAACAAAATAAATAATTTTTTTTAAATAAATAAATAAATTTAAATGTAAACGCTCTTCTCTTTACAAACGGCTCTTTTGACTCTACAAAACAAAAAGCAAACAAACTGAACGCGATCAACGACAAATATTAACAATAAATTATTAGTTTGGAAAAAAAATGTGTTTTGCTTGTTTTTTTTAAATCATAATTAAATTGTTAGGCCATAAATAAATAAAGTTTCTATGTTACTCTTGGTTTCCTAGTGACCTAATTCACAAGAGAAAATTCAAGCAAATGACAATACTGATATGAGCTGCTGCTGATACATGCTTTGATATGAATTAGCTACAACTGCTGTTGTTTAATGAATGGCATGCCAATTTGGTTTGGGCATGCATTGATTCAATGTTATTAAGCATCAAGTTGATAAGTAGTAAGTCATAATTTAATGTTAAGTTGCATGTCTTCAATTGACGCCCATCCGATGCTGTCCAATTCATTTCGCACTGCGCCGACCGGCACAGACAACTGCATCGCAAACCAAACTGAATGAAATCATCAGCTGATCTGCGCAGCCCATAAATGCATGCGGTTTCACTTGAATTTTCCATCGAGTATTATCATTACTGTTATCATCATCTTTGGCGTGACTTTAAGCTGTATTCTCTCATGTTTGTTATGTTATGTTTTGTTTTACATGCATGTGTGCGTGTTTTTTTTTACAAAGTCGAAGAATGAAGAAAATGCTTTTACAAACAACAGAAACTAAATATTTTCACCGAATTACTTAAACCTAATAATTTTCATCTCGTTTAGTTCGGGGCAGAAGAAAAAAAGTCGTATACAATTCTTCAAAATCGGTATCTCCCTCTTATCTTCTTTTCTTTCTCTGTTTCTTTTTTTTGGCTTCTAACATTTTGCTACGCTTAGAAAATAGAAATTGTTATCGGCTCTTGTTCGGTAGGGTTTTCTTTTATACAACAAAGTGAATTTACACATGCACAGATATGAAATAAACCGAAACGAAAATCAACAAGCATGTGGTGCATGCACACAACATCCGATTCAGAATGAGATGAGATGCATCACAAACCCACATTTATGCACCTAATTTCTCTGCTCTCTAAATTCTTTGGAAATTCTCCCCCTCCCCCTCCATCCAATCATCATCATGTTAGTAGTTGGTGTGTGAGCGTTTTTTTTTGTTTCGTTTCGAGTCGGGTTTGATTATGGTTTACTCTCATTTCGGGCGGCCAAACGAAAAACGCAAAACAATGACATGAAATCGCGGCTAGCTAAAAATTAATAGTCAATTAAATACCACACGGTCTAGTTAAGCTAATGCTGTTTTGTTAAACAACATCAACGTATTTACACGAAATGTACGCGCGCGCACGCATACAAACACACAATTAACGCGAACGATTTTCTATCTTCCTTGAAGAGAAATTGCTCATGTGGTTATTTTTGCGATTATAATGTTAATCTCATTTTTTTTCAAGTGTGTTTTTTTGGTTCGTTTTTTTCTGGTTGCAAAAACTCTTGCTTCAGATGTTTTTTTTTTGGTGATTCTTTGGTCATTACAATACAAATCAGTTTCTAGTCTATAAGTTAAATGTTTTGCGGTTTTTACTTGATTGTTTTTTTCATGTTGAGTTTAGATTTTTTTTTTTGAGCGAACGAATCTTAATGGCGGAACGCACGGTGATGGGACCGATATGGATGTGTATTTTGGCTTGGTTCGTCGTCTAGATTGTTATGCGGCATGTTAAACAATTCATTGAAACTACGCGCATCGTGACCGTTACTAAAAATCTTTTTCAACGCTATTATTCCGGCAATGGTCAATGCAATCTTACTGATGATTAATGCTTTGCCAGCTATTGCAGCTAATGCTTTTAATGCAATCGGACCAGCAATACCCATCGCCATTAATAAGCCAGCAATAATGTAGCCACCGGATTTTTTCACTACAAAACGGAGAAGAAGAAAAAACATGGAGAATAGAGGAAAACATGCAACAAATCAGTATATCAATCGAAACAAAAATTATTTGAGTTGGGTTAAATGGAAAATATTGCTGTTTTTGTTTTTGTTTGTTTTTGTGATTGTGGTTGCTCTAGAATTATAATTTGCCAGAACCGATTTTTGTTGTTGTTGCAATTTCCCCAGAGATAGAAAGAAGTTGGTGGAAAATTCGGTGCCATTGTTTTTGCGTCCCGTTTCGATTTCATGCCATGTTTCGTTTGCAATTTTTTGTTTAGTTTGGTTTGTTTTTAGTGAAATTGGTGTAATTTGTTTTTGGTTTGATTTGAGGTTAGGAGAAGATCTAAATCGTTCTCGTTTCTTGCAGAAGCAGGCCAATCTAAGCTCGTTTGATCCAAATAAAAAAAAACTCGTTTGATCCAAATAAAAAAAAACTCGTTTGATCCAAATAAAAAAAAACTCGTTTGATCCAAATAAAAAAAACTCGTTTTTTTGCTTTTGGATGATCCAAATGAGAAAAAAATGCCAAATCAATTTGTTTCCAGTCATAAAACAAAAAAAAGTCTTTATTTCAGAAAAAAAGGGATTTTTGTGGTAATCGAAAATGTTTCGTTTTCAGATTTGCCAAGCTCTCTCACATTTTGCTATTTTGATTAGTCGAATTAGTTCAATAAGTACAATTAAATGGTAAATTCTAACTACTTCGATTTGATATTTCCTACGACACTACTCTTTCTCACTTTCTCTATCTGTACAAAACTACCGATTGAAAGTGTGAACGAGTCGCTATTCGGAGCGTCACACTTTCAAAAATGAAGCCCTTTTCTCCCTTGATCCGTCGCATTTCAGAGGTATGGAGTATAGTATTATTTCTTGGTACTTGGTTAATTAACAATTTACAAAATAAAAAATAAATAAATAAATTATGTTAAATGAATGTCACTAGTTATTTAACTTTCTTTCTTCATTTCTCGCTCTCTCTCTATCTTTCTCTCACTACAGAAAAAACAACAACTTTAAATCCAAAGGCTTGCCAAACAGGTTTTTAAGTGTAAAAAATAAGTGTTTCTCCTAAATCTAGCACAAAATTCGTGTCATTCATCAAAAATTGAAGAAAAAATGTCATTTCAATCGTATTACTCAACTGTTTTCATTTTGTTCGGTATAGATGTGGGTGGGTTGGATTAATCGAGGATTTGTGTATTAATTGTTGATGTATAATCGTTAGTGATGTTGTATGTATTGTTATTTTTTTGTTTAATTTTTGGTGGATGGAATATGATTCAAGCGTGTGCTGTGCGTGATTTGGATCGATTTTTGGATTATGATTGTGGTTTTTGGTGTTTTTTTTTTAGTGGCGTCGTGAAGAATAGTCAGAATAGTGTCGGTATGGTTCCGTGGATTTGGTTATAGGTGATCGATAACGAGCTGGACGACCGATTCGCCGATGATCGTTGGCAAACACTTGAACTTGTGTTTCGCGAGGAGCGTCGCTTGAATAAATCTTTTTCAATGCGATTATACTAGCAATTGTGAGTGCAATTTTGCTGATTAGAAGTGCTTTGGCAGCAATGACAGCGATTGCTTTTAGACCTAATGGACCGGCAATACCAATTGCGGCTAATAGGGCAGCAATAATGTAACGGCTTGCTTTTTTCGCTAGAAAAATGTGAAGAAAGAAAGGCAAAATTCACGAATCAGATTTTTTGGTTTTTTTTTTTGCGAACGATTTTTGGTGTTTGTTCATAAAAAAAATTTGACAACAAGAAAAAAAATTCCTTTTTACAGAGAGGTTGCTTCGAAGAATACACAACAGTACAGCGCTGCAGTTTGAAAAGCTCTTTTTTTGGAGTGAAAGAACAATTTTTTTTACAGACAGGAATTTTCCTATGCGATTGCATTGATGTTCTACACAAGAGTTTGAAGCAACTTGACTACGTACAAATTACATTTTACAAGTGCTGATCACCGTTTACTTTTTTCTAAAGAGAAAAACAGAAATACGCTGATTATTCTACTAATTTGAGTGATCCATTACATTTTCTGTGGATTTTCAATCGCTTTTTTCTATGTATTTACGACCTATTTTCACTTCTTCCATACCTTTGGCGACTCTATTCTTGCGGGCACCAGAAAATTGCGTGATAGAAAATAAAGATTTTGATTAAAAAAACATTTTGTGTATTTATAAATGTATTTACACATTTGGATGCAGACTTTTTTTTTAGAGAATAGTGCAGACAATTAGCAAAAACTAACTAAACTACAAAAAAAATTGGATTGAAGGGTTTTTTTGTTGTTGTAAGCAATACTCACGTTTAAGTTTGTTTTTGTTTCCGATGCCACCGCCACCGAGTCCACCTTTGCTGCCACCAAAACCACCGCCACCACGCTCTTCGCTCAAATCAACTTTCAATACGTGTGTACGCAAGAATGTGCTGATTTTCTCCATGAGCTGACGATCGATGCCAGTTAGGTCATTTAGAACACGGGCATCAGCAAATTCGGGTGTCTTCTCAACGTCTGTCTCATTTTGTTTTTCCATAAAAATGCCATCAACAACCGAAATTGAATCCTAATCGAACGAAGAAAAGAAAACGAGAAGAAGAGAGTAATGGAAATTCGAAATTATGGCCTTGATTCAATCACTGGAAAAACAAGTTATGCACGGTATTTTTTGTTCTTCTTCTTATTTTGAGAAAAGAAAAAGAAAAATTGTTCGTGAGATGCACACCTGGTTAATAGCTTTGTCCAAAGCGACTAGAGCACGACCCTTTAAACATCCAGTGAAATCATCTCTGTTCAAACAATCATCGTACACTTTTTGTAAAACACTGAATTCTGGACCCAGCCAGCTATCTTCTGTTGCCGAAGCAGCTGACACTATAGATGTGATAATGGCCACAAAAACAACTAATTCCACCGACACTCGACTCAACATTTTCAACATTTTGTTATTATTTTTGTTGTTGTTGTTGTTGTTCCGTTGCTTTCAGGGTTTGAGGACGTAATCCGAAATTTATCACCACAAAATCCACACAGAGTATATTCCTTTATTATTGAGTTGACAGTAATTCGACGAACGAAAAACTGATGAAGACACACCACAAAACGAGGCAATAATAACAGCGAACGAATTTGCTACAAGCAAACAAACAAATCTCTACAGGTGAAGATATGTGTTGCACTTGTGTTTGACCGATTACAACTGAAGATCAGCCACAACAATTTTCTGCTTTTAAATGCGTCTAAATGCTCTGCTTAGTTCTCATATTGAGTTAATTTCATGCATAAATTACGTGCGCATCAAGCACCAACACCATTCCAAAACAGCAACAGCAGCAAGTGCAATCTGTAACAACATCGTTTCGTTCGGTGCAGTGCATTTTCTACATAGCACTTACACACGCTCTCTCGTCTCAGGCCGCGCAATGCCACATCAAACGAGCGAGAAAAGAAAAATATGCGATAGATAACAAACAATAAAATCGCAGCAACAACAACAACGACGGCGAAGCAACGCTGCAACGAAGAAAGAAGAGCAAATCAAGAAAGAAAAAACAACAACATTAAACGAATGAACGCAAAACACAAATGATCATGTCCAACAACCAGAGAACCAACACACAAACGCACATTGCACGGCAGCACTGCATCTGGCTGTGTGTGCCTCTAATACGGCTTATTAATAATTTCTTTTTATTACATTTGGAAAAGTAATTATGAATTTCACGGACTTGTGCACTTTGCTGTGCAAAAGTTTCGGTGGTCTTACGTTGCACGTACCGTGAGTGTGAGCTAGCGAAGCTTCGACTTGGTTTTTACTACACCAAATTAATCCACTTTTTATGGATGCAAGATGAAGAGAATAGAGAAAGAAAAAAACAACAAATCCACAATAACAACGCACTTATCGCCAATATGCATTTTAACACGAGATTCAGAGCTGCGCGCGCTGCGGCAGTAAACAGCATCTAACACAAAAAAGGAATTAAGAGATCATATTTGCGTGCAAAGCCATAAAGAAAAAAAAATGAAATAAAATAAAACACCCGTTACATATTCACGCTTCCATCTGGCACTCACTCACACACACACACACACACACACACACACACACCATCCAGAAGCTCACACACTCACGAATCGCGCGCACACACGATGATGGCTAATGATCTAAATTTTTGCATTCATATTTTACTTTTTCCATCAATCATATCGATAGCCGGACACCGTCCCATTCAGTATGCAGGCCGTGTGCGTGTTTGTTTTTACCATAATTAACATTTAACACAATCCAGCTACAAAAACAAATGCGTTTTTGCTTTTTTTCTCTCTGCTTCTCTGTTTGCTCTCTACATTGTGCAGAAAACATTTTTTTGCGCGGTGTTGGTACGGAGAGTTGAAGTGAATGCACCTTTTTGAATATAACACCAAAAACTAAATATCTCCAAATCGAACAGGCGAAAACATTCCAGCAAAATTATTTTTATTTACATGCGTTGTTGTTGTTTTTTCACTGTATCATGAACTGAGTTGTGTCTCGCCACTCGGGGCCTTCAATCTCTTTGCAGCCGAAATCGATGAACCACACACTAATCGCGCCGGAACAACAACAACAAGAGAGAATAAAAACACAAGCAATTGAACTCAGTACCCGAGTTCAATCTTGGAAAAATCGATTTCGATTGTAATCGGAATCCGGCGCGCATTTCGATTGAAATCGAGTGGCAAATTCGCTCGAATTTCCATTCAAGTTCATTGGATGCGGGCACAAAATCCATCCACTGTCAGTTTCATCATGTTTACATAATGAGGGAAATGAGGGAAAAAAAATACTTGGTCGCAAACGCATTACATCCAAAAACTAAATGACAGCCAAACGAAACCAACGACCGAGAGGGAGGGGGAGAGATGGAAAAAACTGTTATGCCGGCGATAGAAACGGCTTGAAAAACAAGTGAATCCGGAACGAAAAAAAGCATTGACCCTGTGATTAACATATACCGAAGCGTCTCTCGTCTGATAATGAAATGTTTTTAAATGTTATTTCGTGGTCAATGATTTTGGTTAGCGTGAGCGCGCTTGTCCTATGTCGCCAGTGGAAAATGCGTTCGGATGACCAAATGCGTTCGGTATTTATTTTGTTTTTATTCTCGTCAGCCTCATTTTTGTTGCTGCTTGCACACTTTGCAACTGGATTTTTGCGTAAATATGTGTGTTTGTACTTGCCACGGCATTATCTACCGTCAATGCGCCACGCAAAGAGAGAGAGAGAGAGAGAGAGAGAGAGAAAAAAGCACACGACACAAAATCAAAACATCACATTTGGTCGTCGGTTCAGTGAAAGTGTTTGCGAGAGCAAGTTTTGTCGCGAACGCTCGACGCGAACATGGCGGAGAGAATGCAGAAAAAAATACAGCACACACCGTGTATAAAAATGGGAAAATGGGCAACAGACAGAGAAATGATGGCGCTCGAAAAATCATCAACATAAATGTAGAGCAGTGGAACAGAGTAAAAGAACCGTAGAAAGGGATATTTAGAACATTTTTTGGCACGCGCTAAAAAATTGCATCGACATTTGCAGCACACAGCATTTTATTACTGCAAATAAAGAGAGATGAAGAGCGAAAAATGAATGAATAAATAAGAAAAAAGTGGAACTGATGAGGCGCACACGAACCGAAGCCAATAAGCAGTTTTTGCTTTTTTCTTCTTCTTCTTCTTCTTTTAACTGTCGATGATGATTCGAATTGCACCGATTAGCTCAATTCACACACATAGACAAGCACAGACAAAGTGTGTGCGCACACGAACTTTCGCAATTTGCCTACATTTGGCGTTTGCAATCAATGTGGATGGCTCGTGCATCTTTAATCGAGTGTTAAAGCGAATCAGAATTTGATAGCGCAGAAAGAAGAAAAAGAAGATCCAACGCGAAAAATGCATTTCTGCCAACTTACCATGTGATGCTCGCTCAGTGGCTCACACTTCAAGCTCTCGGTTGATTTTCATCGTGAACTGGAATCTGTTTCCAGCTCGAATCGTGTGCACACATTTCAGCTGCAATTCAATGTTTAGATTTGGTCCAGTTGCAACGATAATGCGTGAATAAATGATTTCTTTTTCTTGATACAGCTCGGTTTGTGTGTGTGTGTGTGTGTGTGTTTTTGCATTATTTCATTCTTGTTTTGACTCACGCGCACACTTTTTTCCCATTTTTTTTTCTTCTCTGCAGTGCATTTTATTTATTAGCTGCTGGTATCGCGTGCACACATTCCACATAATTGCGAAGCGAGCCGTACAACAGAAAGAAAGACAAAATACAATCACCGAAAAAAATTACGATTATGGTTCGCGCGCTTTAAATAAAAATAAAAAAAAAACAAAACCAACGTCTAATTTCATAGCATCAAAATTAGTGTAATTGCTTTGGCAAAGAGAATATTATGAAGAACGAAACTGTTGCTGTTGATGATGATGATGAACAGTGCTTTGCTCATGCTGCAGCTAGAAACCAGCAACGTAAGATTGCACTTTTAGGGCAAGCAGCTTTTTTTTCTTCTTCCATATCTTCTTTCGTTGGCATCAAGTGTGTCTTCTTTTTTTGCGTTCGAATTGCGCACGGATCTATGAATTTTTCTTCTGTTCGTATCGTGCTCTCGCGTAGAGCAGAGGAAAATGGATAAATATTGAGACCACAATCACTTACGCTTTGGCCACAAAACGAATTCAATGTAAAAACATAAATGCAGATTCAATTCGCATAGCTCTGTTTTCACCCATTTTCATTTATTTGAAATCTCTTTTTTTTGCTCTTGCCAGCACCTCGGTTCGAATGATCGAACGATGATGATGCAGAAGAAGAAAAAAATGAATACATTTTCAGTAAGCATTCGAAAAAGAAACACAATCGCAGTTAATTTATATCGCATTTTTTGGTCAACTGCATGGATGGCGTGCCGTGCATCAATTACGTGTATTTTGTTGACCGATTTTCAGTCTGCCTATTCCATGTCGGCTTTTAGGCATCGCAGAGAGAAATTCAGCTCATTTTCATTCAATGAATTCAACTTCAAATTATCAAATTTAGTGTAATTGCTTTAATTCACCAATTTATTATAAGTGCGAATACATAACAAATGACCGCGATTTCATCCTGATGAAACAGAGCGACCTCTGGTGCATTTTATTCGAACTTAGCATGTACACGACCCATTTACTGACGATGAACTCCCGAAAACTACGTAGTGGAAGTGCCATCGCTAGTGTCAAACGCTGTCGAACTCACTGTTTACGAAGTGAATAATGTGCTTTTCGGCAGAGTTAGTAGTACATAGAGAAATATTTTTAAAAAGAAGTGAACAATTAAATTCATTGAAATGGACGACTTTGTGGAACCAGGTGCCGTGCGACATGGGAATTTCATAAATTACTATGACTTCAATTCGGCACCAGAACGTCGTGATTTATTGCCATTGGACGATGACCTGTGGAGAACAACAACTGAAGCATCACAACAGCCTTACCTAGTCTTAGATGTTGGATGTAACGCCGGCAATTTCACACAACTACTTTACGAATTTTTAGTGCAGAAAAAACCCAATCGAAAGATTATCATGCTTGGCGTTGATATTGATCCGGTCCTAATTGAACGAGCTACACAAGCGAATCAATTTAAAGAAAATGTCTTTTATTCGTGTTACAATGTTATGGAATATGACGATGCAGAGAATTGCATAGCAAATCATTTGAAAGCCCAAGGAAAATACCAATTTGATGTTGTCTGTTGCTTCTCAATCACCATGTGGATCCATTTGAACAACGGTGACGATGGTTTGCTACGATTTCTAGATCTTATGGTACAATTAAGTGAAATTTTGGTCATAGAACCACAACCGTGGAGCTGTTACAAAAATGCAGTCCGTCGAATGAAACGAGCCGGAGCTCAAGATACATTCCCATTATTTGGGGCGTTGAAAATGCGAAATGACGTTGAACAAAGCATTAAAGATTATTTGAAATGTAAGAAACTGCTTGCGATTATTTATGAAAGTGATGCCACCAAATGGAAACGAAAGATTTGCTTTTATCGAAAAGGTGCTTGAATTTTCAGAAGGGAAAAGTGGTGAAAGGTGGGACAAAAATTGAAAAATGTACAAAAGATGAAAGAAAAGAAAAGAAAAACGAAAACGTAGAAAAATAAGCAAAATAAGGCAAAAAAAAACAAAAATTTGATAAACATGTAAATTGAAAGAAAAATTGTTGAATGAAAAATCGACAATTTGTAAATAACCATATCAATGAATTTTATTCAACGAATATATTTTTAATAGAACTCATTTTTTTTTATTAAATTGCAACACTGATCGGTTTTGTTCACTGATTGGTTTTGTTAAGAATGTTCAATTCGATTGTTTTCTTCATCTGTCTTTACTGTCGTTTGCCCAATATCAAAGAAGTTCTTCTCAACCACATAGCGAACACATTGCAATAAAACGTTTCGTTCATGTCGAATATCTTTTTGTAGCAACTTCTCCAAAAGCGTATTTTGATTTCGAATTTTCCTGGTCATATCCAAAATGGTCCTCTTCTTCAAACTTCTGTCATTTGTCAATGTTTTCGTGTCATTTTTCTTCTTTTTCTGTATTTCAGTTGGACCAGACCCATCTTCGGATCCCTCTTGCTTCTTGTCAATTTGTCGTTGAATGGGCTGCTCTTCGGGTGCATCATCGTCCGATTCATTTTCTTTGCCATGGTCTATTGATTTATTCTGCTCACTTGAGTCAATTTTTAATTGTTTTATTGGTAATTCATCGTCAACGCACGCAGATCGTTTGCGATTTTCCATCGATTCATCAGCAACAACATAAGCAGCACTGTGTTTATTCGATTCAATAGCTTTTGAAATTGGATCACTTGCTGCTGTAACATTGTCAGTTATGTTACAAACGTGTTCTTCTTGTTTGTTATCCGGTTGTTTATTCTCAGACAGTGTCGCTGCCGTTGATGCTGTTGTTGCCATCGTTGCTACTGCTGCTGCATCGTCTTCGTCGACATCGTCACAGTTGCTGTCTGAATCCGTACCGTACATGCCCATAATTGTAGCCAGTGCATTTGTGGTTGGCACTGTTTTCTCTTTTGATGAAGCCGGACACTGTTCAATAGCCGTGGCCGCTTCGGATTTCACAGAATCGCTTTTCGCTGCTACAATTTTGTCATTTGGTGTCGTCTTGTCTTTATCATCTTTATTCTGTTTGTTTCGAGTTCGACGACGTTTTCTATCGTTTTTCTTTTTATTATCACCCGTTTTCTGTGCCCGTTTTTCATCATTTTGTGTGAATGTACGGTGTTGTGCGCTTCTCCGATTTTGAATGCTACCGAAACGATGATTTGGCTCTTGAATACGTTCGCCTCGTTTGAGTCGCTCTTCTTGTGCCAAACGGCGTGCTTCGATATTGGCCTTCGTTGGATACCGTTTACGTCGTTCTTCACGCCATTTCTCAATGTCTTCTTCGGATTCAATTCGCCCAATTCGTTGGAACAATCCACTTTGATGTTGCGTTTCAACGTGATTTTGCAACAACTTTGCACTACCTTCGAACGTGCAATTGTCAAACCAACATTTTTCATGCTCATTCACGTGCTTTTGCAATTGTTGCGGATACTTGAAATTACATTCACACAATTCGCAATAATTTCTTGTTTCGGTAGCATAATCAGGCCTTTCATTTCGATTATTCCGCTGTTGAATGTTTCGATTGAATTTCGCCTGATACTGTGCCTGTTGATTCATTCGCTGTTGATATTCCTGCTTCTGTTGATTGATATCGAAACTACTGCGATACCCATGGAAAATAGTTGTATCATTCTGTATGGTCTTTGGTGCTGTATTCAAAACTGGTGACGGTAATGTTGCACTTTGAAATGGATTTGGCAAAGCCATTTTATGTGGTTTTTGGAAGAAAATAGAAAAATTCGTCAAAATCGATCACTTTTTGCTACTTTTCCACTTGATTCAAACTAAATCAATAGCAAATCTGAGAATTTTCAATCAAAAACACACACGTGCGTTTGTATAATGTTATTATCATGACTGTTTACTTGTCAAAAGAGAGGGTTTACACGGTGCTCTCTGACGATGCCATCAAGCAACACTACAACAACGGAGCTTCTGTTTTGACATTTCATCGTATACACAATTACGACGACTACAATTGTGAAAAAGCCGTAGAAAAAGATTTAAAGTCGCGCTAAAATAACAAATCCACTGATTTTCCCTCGAAAAAACCATGAATTCGGCTACTAAGGTGAGTTTGGTTGTTTTCGAACGCAAAACGCAATTCAATAATGTAAAAATATCAATGTTTTTCCGTGGTTTAATTAAAAACTGAACGAATTTCGTGAATAATTTTATTAAATACGGATTTTTGGTTATGTTTTACAGGTTGGAGAAATTTTCGCTCAAGCTGGGTAAATATAAACATCAAAATACACTTTGATGAAGTCAAAATAACGTTAAACATTTTAAATGGTTATTTTATTACAGGGCTGCATTCAATCGTTTGGGCGAATTGACGATGCAACTGCATCCGACAGCTGACTCTCCTGCAGGGTAAATATATTGTAATTTTAAGCGCCTAATCGGTATTGTTTGTATTTTCCACTAAAAAAAAATCGGTTTTGATTCAAGGAGCAAATGGTCAGATGAAGAGATTGACATGCTTCGGTCGGCGATCACACAATTTTGCGATGATCTGAACAAAATTAGTTTACGAATCAAAGGGCGGACCGTGTAAGTCTTTTCATCTGTTCTATGAATATAAGAAACACTTTTTTTCCCCCCGAATTTTTATTAATTGAACTTCGATTCCATCGCAGATCACAAATTAAGCAAACACTAAAGAAGAAAGCATTCGAAGAAGCGGGCATTCCAGTGAAACAGATTTCATTGATGCAATCACCGACACACACCGCACCCGAAACCATCTTTGTTAAGAACGATCCACAAATATTATCAGCCATTCCATCCACATCGACGGCAATCATCGTTACACATCCAGAACCACCAGCCGAACTAATGGTGCCCAATGTCAAGACCGAAGAAATTCACGACGAAATCAACTTATTAACAAATCCAAATGCAACGCTACTGAGTTCAATAGATACACCCACAACGGTTGACGATTCCACGGACGATTCAAGTGAAATTAAACTGGAAGATTATACAAGCGGATAGAATTAAGAACTTATTTCATTTTTATTTATAAAATTGTCCATGCATTTCATTTTTTTCTCATTTTTCTGTTTTCCTTTCTGACATTTTTGAATATTATCTCTTTTTAGCGCGTCATGTTATACAAAACAAAAATTATGAATTAACGTGAAATGATGTAAATTTTTCTGATAAAAAAAAATGAATTGTATTTAAGTGAATCCTATTTCGGACGATGCATGCCAATAAAATGTATTACAAAGTGAGAATGCCGGCATTTTTTGTTGATTATTTTGACTTTTTTTATTGTGCTTAAGTGGTTGCATTGATGATTTCTTTCTTAAAATCTAAAAATACATTTCTCCCTACATTAAAAGTAAATTTTGTTTTGAGGAAAAAATTTGCGTTTCAAAGTGTTGCTTTTCTTTTAACAATAAACGATTTTGATGGAGTAAAGTAAGTTATGAGCTAGTTGGGGTAGTTGTAGTGACCGATGTGACGGGAGCCGAGTTTGGTGTTGGAGTAGTAGTCGATGTGGTCTCAGGTGTGCTGCTTGCTGGAACCGCCGGTAGACTCGATGGTGTTGGTTGACCGGGTGACGGTGCTGCTGCTGTTGGTGTATTCGGACCAGCACCTTGTTGCTGCCTTTGTTGACGTGCAGCTGCTTGCATGTATTTACTTTTTGAATCGTCCAATTCGCGAACACGAGATCTGGCGTGCTGGATTCGATGCCATGCCATTTGCAGAACTTTTGCTGATGCATAGCCAGAGCCTTCGTGAGGCTGCCCAGTTGACACTTGTGTTAGGTAATTGATTTGCTCGGACAGTTTTGTTTCGATGATGTTCAGTGATTTGAGAAATTGCTGAGTGTTATTTTCCACGGCTTTTTGGCTGGTTTTCTCCTTGCCCAATTCTTGCAATGATTGACCTAGAGAAGAAAAAGAGATTTTGTGAGTGAAAATGGTTGATGCCGAGATTGAAGTCTTTTGAGAGATACATTCATGTCCGTGCACTTTAGCATTTTAACATTTTAGCATCACTCCGTTTTAAACACTCACCTGCACTCTGTAAACAAGTGATAATTTCCTTTTCAATGGCATCCAACGCCTGAATTTTATCCAACGGGCTGTGCGACATATTGGTCAACAATTTCACAAAAACAAAAACAAAAACTCAAAATTCTTCTCAATCAAATCACAAAACGAATCTCTCTCTGTCTCTTCTGATGGATCTAAATTGTGTTTTGCTTGTGTGTTTGACGCAAGCGACCCTCTGGTGATGACCGGCAAAACTACAACATGTCAGTGTCACAGAACGAAATAGATGGGCGCGTTCTCAATACAATCGTCGAGAGAGAGAGAGAGAGAGAGAGAGAGAGAGAGAGAGAGAGAGAGCGAGAGAATATCATTTTGTTTACATATTGTGTGAGTTCAAAAGGAGCATAGAGATATTAAGTAACATGTAAGCGAGACATTGTTCTTGGTTTCTCCTCGGTTGTTGTATTCGCAAAGTGTGTATATATGTAACATCTGTTCGATTGTGTGTTGTTGCGTGCAAGTACGAAGAACTCTCGCACTGACGTTGTCAAACAAAGACGGTGACCGAACACTGAAACTGAAGCAAAGCAAAGCAAAGCAAAGGCGAATCAACATATTCGGCATCGATTACAATCGAGACAACGAGATTTTCGCGGCGTTCAAAGAAGTATTTTTGGATGCCTGAAGGTGGTTTTCATTTGTGTGATAATTAAATTAATTTGCAAGTCAACCGAGAGTGACGATATACATACAGAACAATCGCAACAACACCGGTAAGTTGGTATCTTTTTCAATGTGTCGCGTAGAAAGCAGAAAATCGGTGTCGCCGCAGAATATTCGCGAAAGATAAAAGAAAAATACATTTTGTCATCTCAATGTAGCGTAGCTTGTTAATGCAATTGTGAACGAAAAAGAAGAAAAATCACCCGGAACAAGATTAAGAGTGATTGAGTGCAAAATAAAAAGAAATAAAAGTGACATAACTAGGCAAGATTATTGAATATATAAGAAAAAGTTTTTAAACAAAAGTTTTAACTTAAAACATAGAAATGATATTCATAACAGGTGTGATTCATTGGGCAAGGGGACGGAGAGGAACGGTAATATTGCTTAAAAACGAATCGCAAAATCTTTGTAGTCGTATCGTGATAAATTCTTGAGATTGGTCAGTTCCAATTTTTCGATTCGACAACCGGGCGATCCTTCGTGCCGCAACCACGCATTCCTATTTCAACGAACAAAAGAAATTCTGTTTTAATAATTTGAAAGTGAAATGGACAACCAGAATTGCAGAAAAAACGACAAAAATAAAAACAAACAAACAAAACTCTGAAAAAACGGGAACAATTTTTTTCAGAAAGAATGTAAAAATCTCAAAATGACCGAAAAAACTACAAAGAAATATTTTGAATATTGTTATAAATCAGCACTAAAGTGGCATTTACTCATTAGAAGGCGCAATTTAATGAACTTGAACTTGTTGTAGTGACAATTAGCGCTGTTGAAACTAATTATTATCAAAAAGTGGTTTCCTCACACATCGAATGTTCTAGCAAATGTGAAAATGCGACGCAAAAAGCTGTTCACGTGTATGTTTATCACTACTGTTTTGTTTACCGTTCTGAAGGCATTTGGCGAATGTATCACTTTACAACTGTTCATTTGTCATTGTTTTGCAAGCAGAAAAATATGAGAAATAGACACGAAGAATGCCAGGCCTTACATTTTTTTGGCACCATATGAAAAGAAAGTGACAAGTATTTATACAGTGACCGTCAAATGAAACAGGTCTCGTGTTCTTGCACTGTCATTTGGCGCGTACGGTTTTTTGTTGTGATCAACGAATTACAAAGTTATGAATGAATTTCATAGGTCGATTGATAAAGCGCCAATTGATTGATTTTTAAACGGTCATTTACGGCTTCATTGACAATCTTTTCAAGTTTTTATCTATCCATCAGTTCAATTTTGAAATGCTTGACGAAATTAGATTAATCTCGTTCATTTTGTTATTATCGCTTCAATATATGTTTGGGTTTCGAATAAAAAAATTGTTGCTTTCATTCGAAATGGTTTTTGAATCATATTAAAATCGTTGGAAAATGTGTCACGAATTGATATGAAGGAAAATGTTCTGATTCATATACTTCAAGTCGCCTTTAATATTTCATTAAAAAATCCTTCATGAACTTCCGTTAGTATCAATTTGATACTATCAACAGATTAAGGCCTAGTAATACAAAGTGACTAAACTCTTTTACATTTTTCATTCTATAAAAAAGAAAATCGACTTACATTTTGTCAACATTGGCTTTGGTGCCTTGCATTTTTCCCATAATAGTGCCAGCTTTGGAGTTTTTCACCCAACCCGTAATGCCGAGCTCGTCCGCTTTTTCGCGTGCACATTTCGTGAATGAACAACCTGTGGAATACAAATGTAACATGTCAACGTTTTTTTTTCCTCTGGCAGATGTTGAATAAACCGAAGGGAAATGTTAATTAATCGTTAACACTGAGTAAACAAAACAAGCGTTGAAATGGATTTAATTAATGACATGATAAGCTAACAACTCTTTGCGATTTCCTATATTCATTGTTGCGAATGTGTTCTGATAAGATACATCTTTTTGTAATTAAAGCCATAACCATTGAATTTACGAGCCGCAATTAATCGCTAGAAGACTCTTCTATCTCGTATTAAACGACTCAATTGTGGTAATAATTATGCTATTGAAACATCTTGAAATCGCTAGCAGACAGTATCTGTGTGACAGTTTTCCATTGTTTGGTGGAGAAGGTGGAAGAGGAAATAAAAAAAACACATCCATTCCTTTATCAGCGAGTCTAGCTGACAGCGACCAACGCGTAGTGTGCAAATAAAAGCAAGACTTGTTAGACTTGTTTATAACTATGCGCACAATCATTATCCACATACAAAAAGCAACTACTGAACAAATGAGAGTGCATTTAATCGATGTTTTTGTCGCTGCGTATGAATGCTTTCGTCTAAATAAAGCACATTCGCACATCCATATCGTACTAATTTTAAGCTCACACATTTTGCAACACAATAGCTCAAGGTTATACAGTAATTTAATTTATTTTTGCGAACAATTCGTTCATTTTCAATCAATTTGTGACATTTTCTCATCAATTCAAAACGTATTTTTCTTGTTAAATTTCAAAAAAAGGCAATGATTGGGAAAAGATGATGCAAAAATGGTTTGGCTCTCACCTTGAACATGTCCAAAAACTTCAAAATCCACTTGAACCAACATCGTACCATTGTCTTGAACACCCATCTTCATTTGTTTCACTAAGTTTTTCCTTTACTTGAACACAAAAAAACCCACAATTTTTATTCCGCCAAGGGAAAACTTTCTCGAAAAATCGTTTTTCACCCAAAAAAATAGATTTAATAGCGAAATAGATTTGCGTTTATTCAACGAGTTAAATTGTGTACTGTTGCGCTCGCAATAGGTATCAATAAGTTCTCAAAGGGATTCGTCGATGTCGTGTGGTTTTTAATCGAGACGAGAGTTAAAAATATCTTCGTGCCATCGAAAAGTATGTATCGCCCAAACACGAACCGACCACCGATGATGACGACACTCACATCTTGGCTCATCGGTGCATCGATCAAAGAACGTCCCGTTTACTTTTGAATCGCAATAACAAAAGTGAATTTTTTTTTCATTGATGCTGTTTGAAAGCGACCAAATAAATGCGTGCGTATTGATAATTCATTAAGAATCGCCTGTTCAACTGAAGGTATGCAATGCCAAATCAACGAATACCTTGTACAACACCGGAAGTATAAACATCCCGTCGAAAATACACCTAGAGCAAAAAAAACAGTTGTTGTTTTCAAAGCAGCCGTAACTCGATTTAGTTCTCGGTCAAAACGAGAGTTGAAAAACAAAACCGACCGGGCGGATGAACTATTAAGAACTAATTAATAGGCCATTTCGATGGTAATTTAAATGACTCGAAAATTACGGCGAGCGCACACACACACAAATGAATTAGACCTGATTTAATAAATGTTTTGTCGGCTGCACATGGAAACTGGTGGTGACCAACAGCATCAGCAGTTTATGAAATGGTTTTTTTGAATATTTCAAAATCTACTGCAGTTTTTTTTCTTCTCGAGAGGCGAGCTAATTGTGTGTGGCATATATGATCATTGCCGGTTCATTGGAACTGTCCGTTGGTGACGTGACGTGTGGAACACAGTGTGAGTATCTGCAGCAGATTCGACACTTGTTGTGGCACAACCGTTGTGCTATGGAACAAACTGCTGTTGTTGTTGATAAGCAGAAATGATGACATTATTCTATTTGGCCGCACAGCAAGAGGTCTTTTGGGATGCTCATTCTGGAAATTAACATTCTCATTGAATTAAAACTACATGGCCATTTCAATCTGTTTTCTCTGAAACACGACCAATTGATTCAATCCAGAAGATGCGCGAATTAAGTAGAACACATTCGTTGGAATTGAGATTCAAAAATGTAACTGTGTTTTTGTTTATTTCATTTAACATATCGTATACTATCATTTGAGTTCTTAAATATTTAGTCAACAATTTTGATGAAGTTATCTCTGGGATTTTTTTTTTCAATCTTAAGAAACTTAAATAAAATAATCTTGAATTAGGTTTTGAACATGCTTCAATTTTGGCATCGAAATATATTAGCTAAATGACGAATTTTATCCAGAATACAATATAAATGATTAGTAAAATTATATACATTGAAAAAAGTTGGCCCTGTAAAATTGACAGATGATTCCATCTATATAAATAAATATGCTATGATTAAGGAATAAATTGTCATTTGATTGGAAGTGATTTTTTCGTTGAGCTGCAGTAGGTCAAAAGTGAATTAAACTCCGCGGAATGAAATTAAATTTTGATAAAAGGACACAAATTGGATGCTTCGATTCAATTAATTTATGATTATTTGGCTCAGAAAGCTTTTCGTTCGTAATTTTAGAGTCATTGGAGTTTTTCCACATCAAAATTCATTATGTTCATATTCAAATTTTGAATGCAATTTGATTCTCTATGGATCGACTAGTTAATTAGTAATCGATTTTCCCTGCATCTCGAAATATTCGAGAAGGAAAACCAAAATGGATGTCCGCTTTGAATTTGCTTCAAATTTTCTCGCAATTTTGATATTAAAATGATTCGCCGTATTTTCTGCGTGCGTTTGCAATGTGTTTGTGTATTAAATTTGTTTCCCCTAAATCAACCCAATTACCGTTAAGTACTAAAACCAAATTCGAGAATGTGATTTGTGTTTGATTTTGCTTGTCGTCTCATTTGACGAGGAAAAAAGCGAACAAAAGAAGAAGAAGAAGAAGAAAGAAAGAATAATTTCTCGGGCGGTCAATTCGAAACAAATACAAAGCAATCAATCAAAAAGCCAAGTATCACAACGTTGGTAAGGTCACAGGAAATTAGTACACGACAATTTCAATTTTTTTTTTCTCTCTCTCTCGTTTTTGTTTTTGTAAATTTCAAATTGCCAATTAGCGATGTGACAGGAAGAATTAATCCATTGTCGTTGTTGTCGTCGATGTCTATGTGACGAGTTTGTGTTCACCGTTTGCATTTTTCGCGATATGTGGTTGACTTTTGTCGACGGTTTCCAGCAGTAGTTCCGTTTGTTGTTGCTGTTGACCTTTTTCCGCATCGAGCAATCGTCGTTGTTTTTTGGTTCGTTCTTTTTGGAAATAAAATCGAATGTAATAGACGGGAAAAATGACACATTGACCGCCCGGCTCTTCGGCGTCTATATAAATGCCTCGCACCAGCACTGAATTTGAGCAATTCAACATGGCCAGAAAGACTATCGAGACACCATGCGTTATTAAGTTACTGATGAGCTGTTCATCTGTTGACATAAACACAAAAGAAAAGAAAAAATTGAAGCGAAATCATTTGACCATGGTCGAAATTGTCATTAATATCGTAAAATTGATGCGGTTCGTTTACCTGGTATAAAGTAGATATCAAGTATGGCCCATAAGCCTCGCCACACATTCGCCGTGCCAACAAAGCCGAGAAACAAGAACACATCGGCAACAGCTAATCGCCAAAAACCCGTCAAACGATCGCATGCCCACTTCAACAGAGGCTGCAGACCAAATGTCACTGCTATGATTCCATAACCCAGCGCCTGTACGTGTGTGTATTCCACAAAAACCAGATACAAACATCAATTGTTAAAGATAAATCTATGTTTTAAGACGCAAACAATGACATCAAGCCGTTTTCGGTTGAGTAAGTTGAGAGACACAGAGAATTGTGTGCGTTGATTGATAAAGAATAGCATGCGATTTATTTGGAATGCTTAATTTGTTAACAATGACACCACAAATACTCAGCAAATCTATCGGTGAAGTTTCATCTACCACAATCATGATCGTATCAAAAATAATGACCAAATTATGCGTTGTGTTTGTGGCAGTGTGTCTGTGTGCGTTGCGCTTGTAATTGGATAATTTTCGATTAAACGATACTTTACTGTAACTTAATCAGGCATGTAAATCGTGTCAGTGTCATAATACCATACATGCCAAACATAAGCCGCCCGAATATTTCATAGATTATATTGAATCGACACAACACATCTAGTTGGAATGGAATGCTTAAGATGCTAGCACAGTACACATCAATCTACACACAAACAGTGGCATTAAATTTAATCACTTAATTTAAATTGAATGTGAATTTTGTGAGTGCAAAGAACTTCGACCGATAAAAATTGCACTTGCGGAAACTGGATGAAACTTATTGTTGAACGCGAGCGCGGGAGAAAACATTCAAAAATTTAATGGGAACAAAAAATAGAGCCATTTTTAATGAGCGAACTCACCAGCGAATAAAAAGCGGATTGGCTTTCGTTAGTCGGATAAATGAGTAAATCACACAATGCAAACATACTTCGCCACACGAAAAGAACTAACGTACCGATTACCAACACTGAAAATGTACAATCCATGAAATAGAAACCGGGATCGCTAATCGGCTGGAAGTAAGAGAAAATAAAGATAGATTTCTTCTACTTAAAATCTAAAGTCAAAATTACGTTTTCCTCTTTTCATCTAAAAAAAAAAATCGATGAAAACGAGCTTCGTCATAAGCTTCATGCCATTTAACATTTTTTTTTATTCTTACCGATGCTTTGAACATTGTTGGCACAGTGAAATAGTCTTTGGAATGGTCCGTTGAAATGGCAAGCGGTGAAGCGGAAATGTTGCGCAACCCTTTACAAAATGCCAACAGAATGCAGCTAATCATTAAGATTGCAAAATATGCATGCACCTTTTTCGGAATGTACAAGTCCATTAGGTTCCATCCACCACGCCAGCTATTCACACAAACAACACCATAGATGGCCGTATAGATTCGTGAGATTATCATGAATGTGATGCGATGCTTGTCGGGATGAAAGCTTTTGCTAAACCTTCGTTGGTAATAGTAAAATATGAAATGGCCCACGGTACCGATAAAACATGAACTAATCGCACTGAGCAGCTCATCATCGGGGAATAGAAAAATTGTGATTAAATTCCAAGTGCCACGCCAATATGCGATAACAGCAGGTGCGGCTAACAATGACGAAAACATTACATCGAGAAACACTAAAAATGCGGCATGCACCGTATCCGGTGTTATAATGGTGCCCTCCGCTAAACCAGCCGTACTTCCACGCATCGTCTTTTGATGCTATTCACTATTCACTTTCTATGATGAACGAGGTTTTTTCGCTGTTTCAAACACTTTTTCACAGTTTTTAAAGCTTTTGCAGCTATTTTATACGCTAAATTTCACGGATCATTCTTTTGCTCAACCTTGATTACGAGGTAAACTGAAATAAAGGAATTCGGTCCATTAGTTTCAGGCTTTTGCGCAAATTTTGAATGGCACAATATTTTTAAATATTTTTTTCTGTTTTCACAATTGCCATAATTACACAAATTTAGATTAGATATGTCAGAAATTATTTTTTACGCTTGTCCACATACGAATTTACATATGATACGATAACGCATCCGAATTATGATAACACTTGTTTATGGATCGACTACGTATGGCTACCGTTTGTTTATTTGTAGAATACCGTTGATTTTCGTTATACAAATTTACCGATTTTTCCATCATTTCCATAGAAAATCTTTGATTTCCATCCAATTCGTAGATGTTCAAAAACGACGCACAAACAAAACCTTCCAATTTCCACCTACCACAATAAGAAATGAAGTAATAGTGCATTGCTGCACATATTCCGTCTGTTCAAGAGATGGCATTGAAATTTCGTTCGGTTTCTCTTCAATTTCCCTTGAATGCAAAAGCATCTCTCGCTGTACACACAGTATGACCTGATATGTGACAGGATTGCTCCATTGTTAAGGCAGTCGCCATTAATGGCAAAAAGTTTTGTTCAGCCGATTCACACAACTGATACGTATATATGTGTGTGGGGGTGTCAGTTAACATCCGGAAGCATTAAAATCGTATAGATAACCATGATAAAATACATGGAAGTATAACAAGTCGTGAATTGTGATTTATTCTAGTATGGCTATGGTGGTGTTGCAATTTCGAGAGTTTCGAGATTCGTTCACGCGTTGGAGTAGATAAGCCATTGGTCTGGTATATCTCTGTAGTCCGATAAAGAGAGTTCTTGTGTTTCGATTAGAAACATTGTTGTCATTCCAAACATTTGAACGTTTATTTTTGTGTGAATTTCAAACAAAGACTCAAGCAAATCAATGATTGGAAAATTATGTAATGATAAAGAGTGTTTGGCACTTTCCAGGCCTTCCATGCATATGAGGAAATGTGTTAGCGTGCAGCAGAAATCCATCAAAACAAACAATTTTGAAAGTAAAGAAAAACCGTTTTGATTTTGAATGAAATAAGATTTAGATGTAAGAAAAATAATGCTTTTTTTTATTCACAACATGCTTATAGTTTGATATGCGTTCATTTACAATTTTTTTTTGTTCGTTTCGTTTAGCATTTAGAATTGCTTAGGCTTAAATAGTTAAACTTCGTTGGCTTAATTAGCAATCAATGACATTTTGACCTTATCATTTATTGGCTTTGGACAATATATGTTTCATTTCGTGATCGAAACAACAGAATGGCACTTCGGTTCGCATTGAATTATAATAAGTGTTCTTCAGCGCAAAATGCATGATTAGAAGAAATATTTACATATTGGAAAGAATTTTTTTTTTATTCTGCAGATTATGATACAAAGTAGTTTTATTTAGCACTACATGAAATATAGAGCTATTGTTTTCTTTTAAATTGTAAAAGATTTTGATTCATTAATAAATGCATAGTTTTGAAGGAATTTAGCGTTTTTTGCTAGCACTTTCTATAGATTGTAAAATTCACAATGTGAATGAATGTTGCCACTTTCATCCAACCATAGGAAATCTTAAAACTAAACCATAAATATATATAGTAGCTGTGAAAAAATTCAGTGTTCATTAATTGTGTTGGTCTTATATTTACAATATAGAATGTGTTGGATGCTAGTTTTTTTTTCATCATTCAGCTTGAGCAGAAAGGATTTTAATTTGAAAAAAGACTCACTGACTAGCTAATTTTTTTTTTATTATAAACAAGCCTACAATATGTTTTTCGTTGTAATGCATTTAAACAACCTTCATCTTCGTCTTTTATTCTCGAAATATTCGAGAAGTGTCGACTTCTCCGCGTAAATCATTGTCGTTTCGATAGCAACAATGTAATCCAATTGCTTGTTAAGTACTAAAATTTGATGATTTATTTGATTATTTTTTTTCGTAAACTTTTTTTTAGTCTTCATTTTTTTAAAACTTATCGTAGAGCGATCAATCAAACAATCAGATATCACAACGTTTTTTTTTCTCTTTAAATTGGAAACATCACATGGAATTAGCAGCCGGCAATCTATAATATTCTACTATTCAATTGCCTAGGAAAGACACACTGTTATCACATTATCATTGAATGTGATCGGAAAAATCGAAAACTATTGGCCAATTTTATGTTCACCATTTTCAACACCATTTTCATATAGATGATTCTCCTTGTCCAAACCATTTTCGTACAGTTGACACGGTTTTTCCGAGCCATTCTCGATATTCGGCACATTTTTCGGCAAATTTGCGGCCATATTTGTCATTTCATTCGATTTTGATAGGCCTTTCACAATTTGTATCGTATTCTTTTCGGATTTTTCCAACAGTTCCGTTTGTAGTTCACCTTTTTCGAGCATGTCAATCATTCGGCGTTGTTTTTTTGTGCGCTCTTTTTGTACAAACAACCGAATATAATGCACAGGAAATATTACACACTGACCGGCTGGCTCTTCAGCATCGATGAATACACCACGCACAAGCACTGAATTTGAACAATTTAACATTGCCAACAGAACAAATGAGACGCTATGGGTTAAGATGTTGGAGAGCAAAGGATCATCTGGAAGTGGAAAAGATGGAAAATAATTATTTATTAACGACAACTCGGTTGGAATTGAAAGCAGAAAATCTCTAAAATGAACGACAAATAAAAAAAAACTACAATCTCAAAAATATTCCAAGAGAATTTATCAAAAAAATCACTGTCTTTCCCTAATCTTAAAGAAAAATAATTGATCCAAAATATTTACCTGGCAAAAAGAGTAGATCTAATAATTCCCATATGCCTCGCCACACATTCACCGTACCGACAAAGCTGAAAAATAAGAATGCATCGCAAACGGCAACTCGCCAAAATCCAGTCAAACGATCGCACGACCATTTCATCAGTGGCTGTAGAGCGAATGTGATTGCTACGATGCCATAGCCGATAGCCTGTTGAACGAAAATGAAATGCGAATGAATTGGGTTGCACTTTGAAATGGAAAGTTTTTTTTTCAAGAGACACTCGGTCGAGGCGACAGAAATTGTGTGTGTGTGTTGAATGTTGATTGATGAAAAATAGCGTGTGTTGTTTGTGTATTTCAAGCTTAAAAAAAGGCAAATTGGTGAACAAAGACGTCGCAAACACTTGACGAAAAAGTTCACACTCACAAAAATGGTTTTGTTGGTTGAAAGCGATAAGATTTGAATGAATGGAAAATACATGTTCTATATCAACTCAATAATTTCATTGAATAATTTCGACCATTGTAACGGAATCAATTGAACAGTTCGCCGAATTGTGTCAGTGTCATAATTCCTAATATACAAACGCGCTAAATATTATAGTTTGGTCGGGATTAAGATATTAGCCACTATGAAGAGGTTTATTCACAACAACAAAAAATTCAATGAATTTGGCACTCACCACTGAATAATAAGCCGATAAAATTGGCTCGCCTGGGAAAATGAGCAAATCAAAGAGAACCCACAAACTTCTCCACACCAATACCACCAATGTACCGATGACTATCACCGAAAATGCACAATCAATGAAATAAAATCCTGGCTCGTTTGATGCCTGCAAAGAAATTTCCATATAATTTATTCACACTAATCGTTCATTTTCGAAATGATGATTATTGAAAAATTAAAAAAAAAAAACAATTTTCAAACTGTTCATTCCAAAACGGCCGAAATTTTTTTTTCTTCGAAACTTCAAAGTACTTGAACGAAAATAGCGCGAATTTTTAAATTATCGTGTTTTTTTTCTCACTCGTTTAGCAACATGAACATGAACTTACGGAGCTCTTGAACATTGTCGGCGTGACAAAGTAATCTTTGGAATGATCGGTTGAAACGCCGAATGGCGTCGACGAAACGTTGCGTAATCCCTTACAAAACACTAAAAGAACAGTACTAATAACGGTAACGGCAATCAATGATGGAATTTGTGACGGTGCGCAATACATATCCAATAATAACCACGGGCCACGCCATGCACTGATACAAATGAATCCATAAACGGCCGTATAAATTCGAGAAACAATCATGAATGTTAAACGATGCTTGTCCGGATGAAATGTTCGATTGAGCCATTCTGAGCAGTAGAAAAAGATGAAGTGTCCAATGATTCCAATGAAAGTAGTTACAATCGCGCTCGCCAATGGATCATCTTGAAAAATAAACTGCATCAAATTCCATGCGCCACGCCAATGTGCAATCACAACAGGTGCTGCAATCACAGACGAAAACAGAACATCAAGTAGCACGAGAAAGGCATCGTGCACTGTGTTCCGTGTTTCAATCGCTCCTTCTGCCAAACCGGCTGTACTTCCACGCATTTTTTTTTTACCACGTTTTCTTTCTTCTTCACTTTTCGTTTCTTTTGATTTATATTGTGATTGGTTTTTGGAATGCACAGCACCACTTTTGGCAGCTTATTCGGATCGATTTTTCTACAATTTGGAGTATATGTTTGACAAATTGGCTCGTTTAATTTCATATGTGTATTCAATTCACTGATTCACAACTAACAATTTTCCAAAGCACTGCGACACATCGGTTGATTCTCTTAGTGTCAGTGGATCGTATTTGAATCGACTATTGAATCCATATTTCCTGATGAAAACAACATTTGTTGGCAGTTTGACAATTTTAGAGAGCTGCGTAGTAATTCGTTCGACAGCTTCCAACGGAATGTGGGGGCCCTTCAGAGGATATCTGCCTTTTTTCGCAAAGTGGTCGAAAACACACTAATTTAGATAAGATAAAAGGCAATTAACTTTTCTGGTCTCACACACTGGTCAACACTCTACTGCACGTCATCAACGAAATAAAAGAAAAATATATTACAGAAATATATTGAACTTGTTCAACAAATCAAATGGACATATAAATCAATGACAATAATTTTTGTTTAACAAACAGAAGACAGATAACAGGCCAAAACACAAGCAACATGCATTCACTGTCCACATGCAAACGCCTCTCTCTCTCTCCTTCTGAAATTGATATTTTTGCGAGATAATCGCAAACCGTTTCGGTTGTATGTCTACACTTTCACATTTCACATTTACAACGCAACCACTTCTGACCCATTACCGATAGTACTCATTCGGCATCACACGACTCGTGATGCAAAGCAATGCATTTTGATGTTTGAACGGAAAAAGACGAAGATTTTGTTGTGCGTCATTTTTGAATGTTCGATTTACAGTTCAATTTCTTGTATGTCGATGAAAGTCGAGCTACTTCTGGTAGCTTCAGTTTAAAGAAACATAAATGAAAATGGATGCTCTGAACATTTCAAACAAAAATAAAATAGCGTTCAGTGTTGTTATTCCAGGAACAAGGTATAATGCGTTGTAATTGTTTTCGCGATGAAATTCGTTCGCTGTAAAAATCGATCTAACTAAGCAAAAAGCCAGAAAAAAAAGTCTGGAAAATACTTGAAATTGGTCTTGATAAACTATTATAATCTGATATCGCGTGCAATCGATAAGGAACATTCTGGATGGGAAACGAAGGCGAACGCATTTAATTAGTTTTTATTTGTATCGTCGCGTCTTCGGTGTAATCAATAAAGTAGCGCGATTTGGCTTATCACAAACTTTCAGTATTGATAGTGAACTTTTTATGCGATAATCGAAGTGGTTATAGTACACAGCCGTCAAAATCGGCAGACGAGAGTCAAGGACTGTGATAAAAATCGGTATTCCTATGGAAGCTTCCATTCTCGAAATCTGATTTAGTTATCAACTAAAATGAGATTGGAATTATTTCTGTCTTTCGTTCCTAAGCGAACGTGAGCTAACAACCCCACATTGTTCGGTAGCGATTTGAAACACGCGCACGAGATCACAGAATATATTTATTTTTTTTTCGACTATTTGAACGCTGTTCCTCTCTCCGCACAGCGAAAGATTTTTAAATTGAACAAAGAAAGAAACAAAGCGATAGAAAAACGGCACTGGATCTGCGCCGTTGTGCAACGCAAACTGATATTAATTGGGATAACTAGTTGACAAATTTATTGTGGACGACAAGCGATCTCGCGCGTACGCTTTATTCTTTGTAGATGTTGTGACGACGACGACGACGATGGAGACGCTTACTACTAGAAGCCACTCGACAACGGGGCTAACAACACTCTACTCTTGAACAAACAAACAAAAAACACAATTTTTTTTCTACAGATATAGTTTTCGCTGTCATTCATTCCGTGATCTCAATAGGCTCTCGAATAAAATACAAAAAGCTAGCAAAATTTCATTTTCCGCTATACACAAGCGCGTTGCGCACCGTACTATTTTTTTTTTATTTCTTTGTCGTACGCAATTTTATACTGAACCTAAAGTAGAGCGTAATTCTTTTTTTTTTATTTGGTTGAGTTCTGGTCACAGTTCGTAGATTCACTCTTACGACTGATGTGTGAGAGGATGATAAAAAAAAAATGCAATCTGAACTTTGAATAAATGTCGCGTAAGCAACACCCACGATCGACAATCGTTTTAACAATTCTGATTCAGAACGACATTGTTTGCCAGCGAAAGCCTGAATTTATTATCACCAAAGGCACAATCACTCGAAAAATAAAAACTATTTGATATTCCTATTTGAATTCAGCACTTTCAGTGCTCGAAAAGTCGAAGCAATTCACACAAAATCTCGTTGTATCAAACGTTTTTTTTTCACATTTTTTTGTTCACCTTTTGAATTTTAACACCCGAAAGAAGAAAAAAAAAACAACCAACAAAATCCAACGCTTCAAATCAATCACACCAATTTGACTGTTTTACTTCAATTGAATTGCACAATTCGCGAAATTGACTTTATTTTTGTATTTCGTTGGTGTGTCTTCACAAAAATAAGTGACACGATTTTGGAGCGATTTGATTATCTTGGCGATCTACCGAGCAGAGCAGTGAGCTACTGATGATGTGCTCCGTTGCTGTTCGACTACTCACTGGGCACTCTCGTTAAGTGCGATACGAATCGCGATTATCAAACATGAAAATCCATATGATTATCTGTGTGTCGGTGCACAATGGCCAAGACCAAATCCACGGTGTCCAGTTTGAATTCGTTTCTTTGATTGAGCCTAAAGTGATCAAAATTCATACGCACACACTATCAAATACTCACTCACTTACTTACTCTGTCTTTCTCCTTCGCTCTTTTTTATTCTTTCTCTGTCTCTCCACGCTCGCTCTATTGCTCTTTCTATCTCACTTGACCACCGTTGCGATCTATTCAAATCCAAGGAAAAAGGTACACAATGCAAACTTTGCCGTACACATTCACTCGTCAGCGTCACTGATAATAAACCCCGTCCACATAAGCCCAGCCGTAAATAAATATAATCATAATGATATGATTCTTGTGTCGTCGGTACATAATGGCTGGTTGTGCTGATGATTGCAATGATTACAGCCATTTCGATCATGCGATAAAGTGATGACACGACATAACAACCGATTGTCTCATGTTACTTATGATCTTCAAACGATTGCATAAACAATCCAGTTGCGCACATACACACCATCCATTGTGTTCGTCCTTTTTCTTTATCGCTGTTCGCGTGCGCTTGTTCGTTGCATTTTTTTCGTCTAGCCATATCGAACATGTCACTTCATTCTAAGTGTGTCACATAGTGTGATTTATTTCGAAACGATGTTCCGCGACACAACAATAACTCGTTCCAATTACACGGCACTTGTCATGTCGTTGCCCCAAGTGAAAAAAAAAACACAATGTCTTCATTCGGTTTCGAGTCTTTTCTACGACTTGATATTTACGCGGATCATAAACACTATACACAATGGAAAACGAGAAAGAAAGAGACTGGCAGATACTTACGTGTGATTTAAAACGTGTTGGAAAGGCAAACGAAACGCTTTTACAGTCAGTTGCAATTGCCACCGGCGGTGCAATGATATTTCGCACGGACTTTAGGCACGCAAGTGCCGTACCAGACAAAATCATCAGCAGTATGGCGCGACTAACACCGTTGTCTGTGAAAGAGAACAATATTTTGAAGAAGATGAAAGAAAATTGTTAGAAGGTGAGAAAAACCATTAGAGGAAGAAAAGATTGAAGAAGAAAAAGGAAACTATTGGAATGGGAAATGATTATAAGTGAACAACTTTGCAAAGAGAAAAAAGTAAACGAGAACTTCTCGTGAAAGAACAACAAAGACGAATGAAGACATCTCCACTCAAAAAAAAGTATTTGGCGATGAAAAGGTCACGATGGTTTATGTTACGGTTCATCAATTTGATTAAAAACAAGTTAAAAATTCAATAATGGCGAAAATTTCCCAAATTCAAAAGAATTCACACGGAGTTTAATTAATTAAAACACTGAGATTCTTGGGAGGTTATACAACATAGTGGAATAGCGACCATGAATAGCGAATTAGGTTGAAAATCTGTCCTTACCGTATGGTTCACAAAGTACAAAAATCGCTCGAAACGCCATGATGCAGGCGATGCTGAACACGTAAATGAACAATTTGGTGAAAATGTATCGGCCAACCTTCTGCATGAGCGTTCTGTCCCGTAGATGTGGTGTTTTGACTTTTTCGTGAACATGATGGCGTGACAGAACAATGAGCAGATGATAGCAAGTGCCGAATAGAATGGTGGGTATGGGTGGAAAATATTCAGCATGATTGTTCATAAACTCCCACGTGCCATACCAGTGGCCCACAACCAACGGTGTTACGATGACCAGCGCAATGAATGTGTCACTGAGGTGCAGAAATCGTTTCGTGCAGCGATTTGGTGCCATTATGCAACTGTATGTTATCGCATGCACTTCATCTTCTTCTTCTCCTTCGTGTGCTTCGTCCTCGTCGTATTTTTCCATTTTACTTGCTTATTTGGGGGCAAGATTAACTTAACTATCGAATCAAACACGAAAATTCCACTGACCAATGACACAATGATTCTGCTTCAATGAAACACGCTCGCTTTTCAAAGGAAAACACACACAATTGCTTGGATTTAAAGTGTCGAATATTTTGATCTGAATGTCGACCAAGTTGACAATGGGTCGAAAGTAGAAGAGCACAATACGACAATTGCGTTCAATCTCTGGCATTTAAATAGCTTGGTTTCTATTTTTACCTTGATCCACCCTATCTACTACTATATTGAGTTGTTTTTGTGCTTGTAATCGGCACATTAAAACGAATGGTATTGAATCTTATCAGAAATTTATTTGAGAGATTTGATTGTACACACTCTCTGTCGCGCGCGCGTTTTGTCTGCATTTCCCATGTGACAAAGCGTAATCAGCAACGCAGTCACATTGTTTTGCAAATTCGAAATAATCTTGTCATAAATAAAATAAATACAGAAATTGTTTGTATCTAAATGACAGATCAAAAATATACATAACTAAACAACGCGCTGTGTCGTTGTTAAATTGTCGCAATTCCATCATTGACGAGACGAAATGCACGAATCACAAAGCACTTCATTTATTTATTTATTCCGTCTTGTTTATTAGAAAATCACATGATTTTTGATAATTAAACTTGAACTACTTCTGGTCGAGCACGGTGCAGCTGCAGCTGCAGCAGCAGCAGTAGCAGTAGCACATTTGTTTTTTGATGGTAACCATAGAAACCCTGGCCAATTACTGCACACGGTTTACGTACACACTGCATTGATTGACGTTTCTGCAAAATCTGCATGCTTTCGCCAGTGTGTCCATAGTTGGGCCCCGGAGATGGTGTGAGTGTTGGTGGTGGTGAGACAGCAAAATAGAGAAATTTCGTAACACCATGCGCGCCTTGTGCATGCTCTAAACTTCAACTGGATAGCAACACTGACGGAAACTGTGTCATTGTTCGCAACTTGGAAAATTAACACCCGAAAATGTGAAATTTTATCACTAAATTCTGCACAACGCGTATGGGTGAACCGAATTTTATTGGCGATAAATACGTTTTATTTTTACGATTCGACGGAATAAGCTATTTAGACGACCGACTCTTGGATCGCCAGACACACGTCTCAACGCAGTCAAAGTCGAAGTGAATTATAAATTTCCCTATTTTTTTCACCCGCATTCGTACATTCGGTGTTGAGCACTCGAAGGTGTTGGTGTTGGTGTATGCGGTTCTCCAACACCAACGTACTAACGACCTGTCAAAACTAAACTGTAGTTCTATTCTATAAACAAACATTTTTCTACCAATCCTTCTTTATTAATGTGAATACCCATAAATTGTTATGATATTTATGCACGTTATGACCGCAATTATACCGTTCATATTTCGGTTTGGCGCAAAATCTACTATTAAAACCTGAACACGCTTTGTTTACCGTCGAATGACGTTAATTTCAATTTTCAATTCAGTGCTTTAAGGATTTACATGCGAATTTTTTTTTCAAACCAATTTGAAATTTGTAATTTGATACGTGTATCAAAGTTCAGCGTATACTGAGTTGACAAAATGGTTTGGGTGAACAAAGTGTATGCTATGTCTGTAAATGTTTTTTCTTACTGAAAAAGCGTACACTTTTTTGTGTAGCCAATTTTTCCTTCAGTAAACATAGGCTTTTCCCGAGCTGCGGAAGCAATCCCGTCTTATCGCAAAACAGCACGGACATTCATTAAATAGCAAGAAGACTGCGAAAAAATTTCTCTTTCACTTTTTTCGAAGGGGACCGCATGATGATAAATAGGCACAAGAAATTCATTGCCCTATAATGGCGCTGCTATTAAGTTACATTAATTCCGTTAACTGTTTGCTGAGGATTGTTTACCATTTGATCCCACATAATTTATGTTCATATTGCGAAGACAGACAGCCGTGTACATTTTTCCTTTCATCGAACAGGCCATTGGTCTTGTGCTAATAAAAAGCTTCAAAACAAACAACTTCAAAGTATTTATCGATAAGCGAAAGCAATATTCATCAAATCCATCGGCAACAACGAAAAAAACACCCGCCTTTATCATAAAGGCTTTATGGCAACGATAATCGATTTTTGGTATGATGTGATTATTACTTTGTTATTGAATGGAATGAATACACAATTAATCGGCGTGCTTCACCGTATGTTTTTTTTAAATAGTTAATAGCAACATCAACAGTAATTGCAACAACGTTGTGCCTTCCATAGTTGGATGAAACAGAAATCAAACAGTTTTTTCTGCAATTGAATTGACTTCGTGTCAAAACATGGATTGTGTTTTAGTAAAAATTAATCAAATTGACCCACATGTCCATCACTTTTTGAGTGTTTGCTATTTTTTTTGATCGTTTGCCACTTTTTGGCCGGTCGTCAGTTTGTTTCTGACCGTTTGTTGCAACTTACAACTAATGATTCAGAATCATCGCATTTTAATCTAGTGTGATGATATCTGGGCTGAAATTCTCGCGTAATTGAGCAAGTCCCAATCATTTGCTCACAAAAGCTTCAATGATAAAAATAGATTGTCGAAAATAAATGAAATTTTATCTGGCCCTTACGTGAGATGTGTGCCCATGTCTCACACACACATTTTATGATTATATTACCATGTTCATCCGATCCAAGTCGCACGACACAATTATAGTGATTTCGTTGCTAAAATCAGAAAAATTCATAACAAGATCACAAATTCAACAAAATGTCAATATTTAACACGCATATTTTTATTTTAACAACTCTCTGATTTGACATCAGTATATCATCGTACAATATTGTTCGTTTCCTCTGTGAGTTTGACCTGGATTTAAATAGAATATGATATCATTCCCATTGTCCTGTGTAATTTATCTTCATCGTCATCTTCTTCTTTTACTGAGTTTTTATCTTCTAAAAGGTCTTCAATTTAGTTTTATTTGTTTATTGAAAGTAATTGATTGTTTTTATTATTTTTTTTTTATCTCTGTTCATTTTATAGTTTATGATCTTAAGTGTTCAAAGTCTTAAATGCTATTGATGATACAGTTGTTAATGTCTCAGAGAACAAAATTTGTTTAAAGTTTTGTGTCTTCTTTATTTTCTCCCCCGAAAAAAAATTAAAAACTATGTTGAGACTACATTTTGGTTTCTAATTATTTTTCTTACAAATTCGATTGAGCTTCGTTATTGTGCTTTCGTCATTCGTTGTGATAGTAAAATGAAGCTCGGGGTAAAAGGAAAGGGACTCATGGGAAATGGGGCTAATCATCAACTAAAAACGCAAAAACTCTCGTAAAATGTTGTATCGTGAAATATTGATGCAGATGAAAATTAAAATGGAAAGAGAATTTGAACAAAAAATAAAATTTCCATTAAATTAATGACCATTAATAATATAGACGAATGTTATAGTAACACTGACTGAGAGAGCACAGCGCAATATGAAAATATCCAACCTTGAAAAGTTGGAAAAAAAAGTGCTGAAAACAGAAAAATCAATTGTAAAATCGTTATTTTTCTTCTGCATTGGCATCAATGGATGGTAAAAATATTCGTTTTTTTTTTTCGTTTCTGGAAGCACAAATACCAATGATGCTCCGTTTCTTCTTTGATTTCATTCACTTTGAATTTTCGAAGCTGAAGAACAAAGAAACACGGTTTTACAAAACAATGCATCGAATAGAAATGAACATGAAGTAAAATGGCTAAAAATGTGTCTAGGTTATTTTTGATTAAATTGAACATTGGCATTGACTCTAGCCAGCGGTTTGTTTACAAAGGATATTCCCAAAGTTCTATCTCCCGTGGCGAGTACACCGCCATGTTCAACAGCATTTTCATTACGATTCAGCTTGAATACATTTTATATTGTTTATGTGTACTGTGTATATAGGTGAAGAGATGAATTGAGATGAATAATGAATTACTCCCACGCTGACTCCTTTCAATGCGATTTACAACTTAAAAATTCCATTAAAAATACTTCTTGCGCTTCTCCCGGTCTCGAATTAAAAATATGGTTACTTTGATATTTAATAATAATGATAATAATGATAATAATAATAATAATATATGGAAGCAATTTTCATATAATCAATTTAATAAATATGGAATTTAAACTATGTCACTTTTGATAAATATATATATAGATAATATACCATCTAGGCCAAAATGCGCACTCATTTTCATCCAGCATTCTTATTGTTTGATAAAATTTTCTGTGTTGGATGGTGTTTTTCATTTTAGATTTTCATGTTTGTTTGATATTTTTATAGATTCTAATGACAGCCAATTTCTTTGTTGTTTTTTTTTCTCGTTCTTTTGATGTTTAATAGATTTATAATTTTTATCTTTAATGATTTTATTTTTGTTCTAATCAGTTTTTTTTAGTGTGTTTAATCTCAAACTACTAAATTTACATGAAGTTTACAAATACCGTAGAAAATTCAGATAATAATTGGAAAAAGGGGGAGGAGGAAGAAGGAAAGGCGTATAATGAATAACTCTCTGGCTTTGAGATTGGAATGTGTTTGTGAGTTCAAAAGAAAGAGTATGATTCATACTGTATGAAAGAGTGAGCGATGATGTTCCATGAGACAAATATATATGGGTTTTGTTCACAGAGACCCTGTTTTTTTTTGTCATTAAAGTCACTTTTTTTTGCAGTGATCTCGATTCAGTACAGATACAGATAAAATGGTAGCAGTTGATAGAACCTGAATTTGTTTAATACATATATTTGTTGTTGTTGTCAAAGAGAAATAATATTAATTTACTTATACTACTACAATAATAATTAATAAACTGTTAATAAACATTAGAATGAGATCGTCTCTGTTATTATTTTTATTTAACTCTGCACAACCGAAAAAATGCCACAATTCAAAAATCACATTGAAGCGCTTGTCTGCAAACTTCTAACAAATTCTTCATCAAAAATTCCACTTTTTTCTCGTTTGCCCACACAAATCCAAAATTGACTGCTTAACCGTTCGCCTTAAATAAACACTATTTAATGATATTGATTGAGAGAAAACATCAAAAATTTCAACATAACTATCTGTTTGCATTGCATATATATAACCCTTCGTTTAAATGTCAACAAATTCACTTCTTCTTCTTGTTCGTCTCCTTTTTTCCCTCGATTCGTTTGCGTTTCAATTTTCAAAAGATTTGATGATTTAATAGCATCATACCGCTTGCTGATTGCAAGAAAATGTCTCATTAATTCGGCCAGAAAACCCAAAAAGGGAAAAACCGCAGAAAACTCAGTTTCTCTGTATGTGGCAAAATTGCTGCTTGGTTTCGCCTGCAGCCATGTATGGGTTGCTTCTACAATTGCTGAATATGCAAATGAATTGTACAACTGATCGAAACAGCTCCATTTTTTGTCTCCTATTTTTCCATACATTCGATGATAGATTGAAGATGAAAAAATGAATCTATATTATTTCATATTCGACCGAAATGTATTTCGCTGATTATTATTATTGTGGTATGCTCACGGCAACGAAGATGCTTCTGCTGCTGCTTTTGCTGTATGTGTATTGTGAATTCGCTTGTTATTTACCTTATACGCTCATGCATAATTCATCACAAAAGTAAATCTGTATGCAAAAGTAATCTGCCAATATTTTTGCAATTGCCAAAAATATGAGCACACAATTTTTCACGTCGCTTGAACAAGATTCTTACTCAATTACCAGTTTCGACAAAAAGTTTTTTTTTCTTCTTCTCCTTCCATTTCTGATTCGTCTTCGAAGGCATCCGACGCAAAAGAATGGATGATTTGTTTCATTGTTGTTGCTGTAGCCACTGTTGTTGTATCCATGCCGCCGTCATCGCCTTGAAACCGTCGGAATTCAATCATGCAAATGGCCGGAGAGCCATTCTGATTTGAATCATGGAACAAGTGATGTGCGATGAAGGTTTATTTATCGGTCGGTAGTTTTGGTAGCATGCGATGGAATTTTCGCAGGCTACCACCGCGCTTCTTGCGTCGCTCTTCCGGTTTCGACGATGACGTCGACTGTGAACTTGGCAACGATTCGATGGCACAACTATTTTTCCTACTATTTATAAATGATTCAGGAATTTGACACTGTTTTGAGAAGTTGGGACACAGAAAATGGAGAAGAAAAGAGAGATAGAGAGTGAGAGTGAGAGTGAGAGAGTGTTGCAGGAAATCGATTGTGGTTTTGGAATAAGTGAAAAAGTTGTATATGCCATAAAATAGTTAACTTACATCCAATACTGAAATGCGAGGTGTGATTATTTCCTCGGGAAAACGCCACGGTTTGCGATCACTCGTTTGTGCCGATTTCCATCGTTTATAACCCAATGCTGCTTTCCGTAAGTCTTTTACCATTCTTGGGCCCAACGAATGTGTTACTTTATTCACTAGCCAAGGTGGTAGTGTGCCTTGTGGATCACAATGTGCTATATAACCAACGCGGCAGCCACCACGCGGTTGTTGCCTTATAACAAATCCAGTTATGTGCGATACAGCTCTAAAAGCCCATAAAATTTATAGATTTCAAATGAAAATGTGTGAAAAATGTGGGACTGAAAGGGATGAAAAAGGGAATATGGCAAATGCACATACCGTACGTATCCTTTTTTTGGTGGATAATCCTTGTGAATGATGGAACGTGATAGGAGCATTTGTTCACCCCGTGGTCCCGTATCTAGCCATGACCGTAGTAGCACAAAATCTCTTGGCTTTAGCGGTGGCGGGCATGACACTGTTTCCAATCAAAAACACACAATGTACAATAACAACAGAAAGTTTTTCGTTAGCAAAATGCACTCAGAGAGAGAGAGAGGGCGAAAACTTCAGACTTAACTTTTTAATATTCTTGCAACGAAAGTTGACAAGAGACACATAGGAAGAGAAAGAGAGAGAGAGAGAGAGAGAGAGAAAATCAACTCACTTGCATAGTAGCCAACGTCGTTATTCACATTAAAATTGCCAATATCAAAACTTTCAAGCATATGGGAATCCCATTCTTTGCGATAATCCGGGTCGAGCAGCACATCAAACACACATTCTGGATCGATGTCCTCGAAACGGGAGTTTATCTTAACCATTTGAAAATTGCAACCGGGCACCGAACGTGTCCACACCAATGTGTTTGCTTTGCATACTTCGAGCGACCAACCGTCATCGGTGTCAACTAAACGCTTCAACGATGCAAAATCATCGTCGTCTGCAATGCACGCCAATTCTTCCATTTCGTTGAATCTAATTTATTATTTTATGAGCGAGTGAGAGCAAGTGTATGCGTCTGTGTGTTCTGAGTCTATGAAGCGAATGAGCAATTTTTTTTCTTCTCGTTTTTTTTCCCTCTCCGGTGGTGGTGTCGCCAGATCTAAATTGCATCCGATAAATTTAACCACTTCACTGCGTATACTTTGCCACTAACTGTCTTTCCCTTTAATGCTGGCGCTAATATGGTTATGGTGTACGCTTCTTGTTATGTATACTTTTTTTTCTATTCGCTACTGCTGCTGTTGCTGCTCTTCTCACTCACTCACTGGAGGCAAACACGTTTAACTAATATCTGACCTAATTTCTATGCATGAAATTGTTTCAAAACATGCCTTTGTGTGCTTTCCTTTTCAATATATTCATCACTTAACTTTCCATTTTTCCTATTTCATCATATATATTTGTATATGAATGACTTTTGTCTCAACAACTCGCTCTCATATGTTTCGTATTCTATATTCTTTGTGTGTGTGTGTTCGTGTTTTTTTTTTGTTTCAATCAACCATTTACTCATATGATTGTTATGGCTTTTGTTGTCACCCAAGTTTTTCTCTTATTCTTTTTGCCTTCACTTTCCATTCATTTTGGTGGAAGTGATTCACGTCGCCCGCATCATCACTATCATCACACTGTTTGTACGCTGAACAATCAACAGGCTTTGTATATATGATGCGATGTGTGTGTGTGAGCGCCAGAGAGAAAACTGAACTCTCTATGGCTATACAGCTATGACGATGAAATTGAAATTCCAAGGAAAAACGGAACGGTTTTTTCCTCTGTCTTCCTTTCTTCTTGTTTTACTATCACAAAAATTGAAACCAAACAATAAACCGCCCAACGTTTCGTATGTTGAGTACACAATCTGTTCCGCACAAAATTGAAAGAAAAAAAATTACACCAAAAACGAAATGTCTGGTCGTGTAGTGTGTGATTGGTGCTTTTGTATTGTTCATTTGATATTTTACACCCTAATTTCTTGATATCCCATTTAAATACATCTGGCGTGTTCTATTTATCATCATAGAGAAAAAAAATGTGCTCTACACTCACTCACTCACTCACGCGTTCCGTAATTCAATCAATACTACGAATGAATGTTTTCCGTGTTCTATAACATTTTAACAAAAATATCACATATTTTTCACACTTCTTCTGCATGTTGGTGCGTACAGTACACGGCACCAAATAAAACAGCCCGAGAAGTTAAACTCCAAATTAAAAGTAATAAAACCAAAAAGGAGAAATTAAAATGGGAAAATTAAAACAACGGAAACGCACAGCAGAAAACTTTACAAATATATGCCTTCCGGGAGGGAGGGCGGTTGGTGTGTGTAAGAGGATTTGTATGTTTTTTTTTTTAAATGTTTATTGCTGCTGGTTGCGTTTTCTAATTTCGTTATAATACACACCACACATAAAAAAGGAAACTAACTATGTGTATATCCAAGCGCAGTGGAGAATAAGTTAAGAGAATAGCAAATTTGTTTGAGCTTCGGATTCAGTGAACGTATTCCGAATGACTGATGATTGCTGACGACAGCGAATCAAATGCAACCAACATCCAAATGCTTTTACCGTACCGAGCGAGAGAGCGTGTGGAGAAGAGAGCGAGTGAGAGAGAGAGAGAGAGAGAGTGCGAGGAATATCGAACAATCTCGACAAACACCAGGATAAAGCTCAACCACCGTACCAGTGTGCGAATGACTGTGTTAACACACACTCGACGAACCACAACGCTTTTAATAATCTCTGTGAAAAGCTCTCTCTCGCTCCAGACGAAAAATTTTCGTCGTCGTTCTTCCAATTCAGTGATTCATTCGGCAAGCGAGCACAGCGCATGCGTCATACATTTTCTTTGTTATTTTTTCCCTTCATTCGTTTGGTTTGTTTTGTTTTGATGTACATTTTAATATTGTGCTTTTTTTTGCTGCTGCTGTTCTTCGTGCCGGAACATTGTGTATACGGTTTTCCCACTCGGGCCTCTCTGTATGTGAAACACAGTCTCAGCCGACTAGTCAGTGTTGATTTATCGACGTACGATGTTTAACCAATTTCAATTCCAAATAATTCACACAAATTAATGTTAGGCGTTTTATGTTAGTTGTATAAACACTTCCCGAGTTTGATAACACAGTGAACAAGGCGAGGATAAAACAGTTGACACAATTTGAAAATACCACACAATCATGATAAAGAAAATTGTGTGTTTTCGTGACGTATATTTGCATTTTGGCCTCGAACCGAGCCTCGCACAACTAATTTTCCATTACGATATACCATTTATTATTTATGGTTATTGGATTTTTTAATTACTTGCCCATTCATTTGTACGCTGGCTGCTGGATGAGTTTTTGTTTGTTCTCTCGACAAATGACCGTGGAATTCCGATGGTAGAAACCATGTTTTTTTGGTGATGGGCACAAGTCAGATATACATTTTGCTGCGTACCATTTCGAATTTTATTACGCATTAAATTACAACCACCATATAACCATTGGCTGGTTGTCTTTTTGCCTGGTGACAGAAAATAGCAAACAGCTAAGAGAAAATCAGATTTTGTGATGAGATCAAAATGAGTTTGTGTGTGTGTGTGTGTGGTTCTTATTAAATGAAATACATCTTCTGAATCGAATTTAATGCCATTATAAGAAATATCGACCGGAAATATTATGACGACGACGACGACGACGCCACCACCGCTGATATTTCCACAACATGGCCAAAAACACAACGAAATTAATGAAGCGCGATGGTTTTCATTGGAAATGTTAATTACGAAAATTCTAATTCGGTTTTTTATACGTTATCGCGTTGACCTTAAATGGTGGTGTAATAAGGCAACCGATCGAAATAACGTCAATCGAGAACGAAGTGAATAAACACAAACGATAATGATTGGAAATTGATAAGTGCTCATTTGCAATGTGTTGTTGTTGATTTTTCTGTTGTTTTCGGTCTTTATCGTTGCATAGTTTGATGTGAACGCGTAAAAATGCCAAATCAAACATAAATTCAATTCGGTGGAACGGCAGCGTGCGTCTTCAGCGGAATAATAGTATGCATTGTGCGCCCTTGCCAGAACACACAACCATTAAAGTCAAACAGCCGAATTATTGCTAGATTTCAATCTATGGATACGCGTGCCATGTTGGCTATAAATATTGTTTCGGCTAAAAATACCATTACTTAAATCTCTCCAATGGAGACGTGATTAAAATTCAAACGCCTTTGATTTTGAGCCAGAGCGACCCACACTTTGCAGAGAACCGAGTTTTGATAACGATGTTCGGAGACGTGTCATTCTTACGTACGTTGTGCGTGCTATGTGCTACACACACAGCTGATAAATTGCTCTCAAATGTCATGAACCTTTCGATGTTTTTAATATTTATAGCCAGATACATAAACACATCACATGTCGTCTCCATGACACGTTCTCGATACAATCCACTCGCATCGAAATTGTAAGTGCTGTGTCACCAAACACAAAACCAGCTTTGTTTCACATTCGATTCCATTGTAACACAAGAAATAGCTTTTTCTGTACACGATTCAACTATTTATAAAAATAGCAACATAGTAGTAAATGGGTGAAGTCAAACGCATCATAGGTCAAAACGCAATTGATTAAGACGACACGAAGTCATTTGTTGTCGTGCCACCGATAACCACAATAATCAAGTTTGTTTTTTTTTATTATTATTAACCGATTGGCGATAAAAATCGAGTTTACTTTAATGAATTCTTGCCTCAGTTACGATAGAACATTCGACGCAAGTTAAAGTTTTACGAGGCACAGTTTCACTTACAGTCGATTTTAAGTCATTTGTGGTTTTTTCTGTTTCATTTGTTTCAGTTAAACTTTGCGGAAAATGGCTTTGAACAACAATTCGGAAGAATGCAGCGACAAATTGCGCGCCAAAATCGACGAATGGCTCAAATGGGATCGTGTAAGTGGTGAACAATTTTCGTGTAGATTTAAAGTTGGAAGAGTTTGGGATTTTTGACTCGAAAATGTGTGGGATTTGGATCAAATTGAAGTTTGAGTAGCATTTTTGAATTAAAACCAAATTGAAACGATTTCCTCTCTTTCTCATTTTAGTTTTTTCATTCCGAAATTTCAATTAATTTTTTTTTTCAATTTCAACATCATTCACATTTTAATCCTCATGTCAATCTTCTCATTCAGAATGAAAAAACTCGTGGTGAAATCGAGTCATTGGATCGTCATGGAAACTATGCGAAACTAAGTAAGTTGATGTTAAACCGTTTGTCATTCGGAACGGCTGGACTTCGTGGTGTGATGCAAGCGGGCTACAATGCGATGAATGATTTAGTGGTGATTCAAACGGCTCAAGGATTGGCCAAATACATCAAAAAGTGTTTCCCATCTCCTGATCAACAGGCAAACGGTGTGGTATTTGGCTTTGATGGACGATACAACAGCAAACGGTGACTGCATAGCACATTTTATTATGGCAAAAAACCATTGAATATTTCACACATTTTTTGTCCCACTCCAAGGTCATACCAAATATCACTAATCGTTTCTTATCGCATCCGCAGTTTTGCCGAGTTATCAGCTAGTGTATTTCTTAATGAGGGCATTCCAGTACATTTGTACGGTGAAATGGTGGCAACGCCATTCATTCCGTTCGCAATATCGCATATGAATTTACTGGCCGGCGTTATGGTCACTGCATCACATAATCCGAAAGAAGATAACGGCTACAAAGTGTACTGGAACAATGGTGCTCAAATTATCTCGCCACATGATAAAAACATTCAAGCATACATTCTCGACAATTTAGAGTGAGTATTATGAGTAGGTGTTTTTATCAGAAATTGCCATTTAATTGCTACATTTAAACGATAATCGTTTTTCTTCTCTCCCACTAGACCACTGTCGTCGTCATGGGATTTGAGCAGTTTGAATTCACCGCTTCTCAACGATCCTTATCGCGAAATGTTCACTTTGTATTACGAAAAACTACTGGCAAACATACCCAGTGACATCTTGACCGAGGTCAATGCAAAGAGTGATATTCGATTCGTTTATTCGGCAATGCATGGCGTTGGCTACAAATTTGTTGAGAACGCATTGAAAGTAGCGAATCTCAAGCCACTTATTCCCGTTGTTGAGCAACGTGATGCCGATCCGGAGTTTCCAACCGTTAAATTCCCAAATCCAGAGGAGGGAAAATCCAGTTTAACGCTATCGTTTAAACTTGCAAACGATGAAAAGTGCTCAATTATTTTGGCCAACGATCCAGATGCCGATCGAATGGCCTGCGCTGAGTTCAATGAAAGGTTAGATATCTCAAAAATGTTTCATCAAACAATTTTTTTTAAATCAATTTTCCCATTAAAAATTACAGCGAGCAACAATGGCGAGTGTTCACTGGAAATGAAATCGGTGCTTTGCTTGGTTGGTGGGCATTGGAGTGCTACAAAATGCAATCACCGAGAAATGATCTGAAGGATTGCTACATGTTGGCAAGCACTGTTAGCTCAAAGATATTGCGTACAATGGCCAAAGCCGAGGGCTTCAATTTCATCGAAACATTGACTGGTTTCAAGTGGATGGGCAACAAATCATTCGAGCTGATCAATGAGGGAAAGACGATTTTGTTCGCATTCGAAGAAGCCATCGGATTCATGTTTGCACCGACCGTACTTGACAAGGATGGCGTGAGTGCTGCATGTCATTTGGCCAGTTTGTCGGCCTTTCTCAAAACAAAAAATCAAACACTCTGCGCCAAATTGAATGAACTTTACGAGCGTTACGGTTTCCATTATACTAGTAACTCTTACTTTTTGTGCTATGAACCCGAGATCATCACCAAAATATTTGAACGCATTCGAAACTTTCAACATACACCTAACTCGGTAAGTGGCTCACAACTATAAATAGAATACAAGCATGAAGAATAGACAAAATGGACAGAAAAATTCAATTATTGTTTCGAAGAGGAAGAAATAGCTACAAATATAACGCTCTATACTTGGTTTTCAGTATCCATCTCATGTACACAGTGGAAAATATCCAATATCGACGGTGCGAGACTTGACAACGGGAATCGATACGTGTCAGAGTGATGGAAAATCACTGTTGCCTTCGAGTAAAAGCAGTCAAATGGTGACATTTACTTTCGAAAACGGTGCTGTCATCACGTTGAGAACAAGCGGCACCGAACCAAAGATCAAATATTACGCGGAAATGTGTGCTAATCCAAAGGAAAAGTGAGTGTTTTTTTTCTGTTTCAGAAAGCAGAAGCAAAGTATAGACCTTTAGAAGATTTTATCGATCTTCGTTCTTCTAAGAAAGAGCTTCCATATTTGTCAATTTCAGAATGAAATCGTGCATTTTTAATTACATTCTTTTTATTAAATTTCATTCTATTCGACAGGGATTGGACTGGTTTGCAGACAATTCTGCATGAAATGATTGAGGCAACCGTAAAAGAACTACTTCAACCAACCGAAAATAATCTCACACCGCAAAGCGACAAATAAAGATCAGCTCGCGTTCACATTTTTTTTAAAAATAAAGTGACAAATGTTGTGCTATTTTTCACACCATTCGTGTATCAACGCTCGCATATTATTCACAGATCTTTCAAATTGTACAATTTGAAGAATCGAATATTTTTTCGTGTTTTTATTTGGAATTGATCATGGTATTATGACTCAATTAAGCACGTGTTCACACAATTTATGATTTGAATTTCAAGATTATCACAACAATATTATCATGTTTAATCAAATGGGTAGTTTGGAGCGAAAATGTTATACAGAAAAGTTGCGCGGAAAAATATCAAATTAAAAGAGATAGCTATATAGTTCACTATAGTTTACTATACAGTATACTATATAGCTATCCCTTTTCCACTCATTTATCATCGACATTTTTCCGCGCAACTTTTCTGTATTACATTTTCGCTCCAAACTGCTCAAATGTACCAAAGTCCACTACAGACATTGTTGTTTTGATATTCTATCATCGAATATCAATATGCAATTAATTGTCGATCATTTATTTATTGTGTTTTGTAACAATATATCTGAATATTACATTGACTAAATAAAACGTTTTAGAACAATGGAATATGGTTGCTGGGTTTTTGTTGTAGACACTTCAACTCAATTTTTGAATTGCAGAATTTTCCATTTCAGGGCTTTATTTTCAAGTATAACGAGGGTGACATTGAGTTGATAGTGCCTTCATTTCATCGTAGGTAAAGTCATTCAATGTGTTATTCCATCGCTACTTGCATCTTCATCGCCTGATGTCATCGAATTCTCTATTTTTCTTTTTTTTTTTAAATAAACCACAAAAATATTCTTTTTGCCACTAGAAATTTGAAGAAAAGAAATTTTCAACGGTGAAAATCCAGAATATGTCAACGAAAAATGAAAACACAAGAAAATGAATTCGTTTGAAAATTGCATGTCTATTTTCACTTGATGTATTTTCTCCAAAAAGAAATCGTGGTTAATGGTTAGTGTTTATGAAAAAAAATGGAATAAAGTTTAAATAGATAAAAAAAATATAGACGGAAACTGAATACTCTCTTCTGGAATAAATAATATTTAAATAATAAAAACTTAAATTTAAGTACATTTACTGCCGAAAGAACTGAGTTTTTGTTTCATGTGGGAATATCTGGTATTCATTGCTTTAAAATTCGCATAATCAAATTATTGTTTTTGTATGTGATGTAATTTCGAAATAATTTTTTCCTTCCAAAAAAAAACGAATTGCTGGGCTAATTTATAGATTCTACAATTGATTTATGTTTCATCTTTTTTATTTTTTTTTATTTTCAGTTAGACCTAAGGTCACTGCACTGCACATGCGGAGGTGTCATGTTAAATTTTCTATTTTATTATTTAAATCTTATGCAATAGCTATAGCTGCCTAATATCAAAATGCCTTTTGATTTGAATGAACATTTGAAACTCAATAAATCCACATTGATTCGATAATTGAGCCAATAAATTCGTGAATTCTCAAACATTCATTCAAAACCAAAATGCGAACAAAAAAAAATCTTCCGTTTGAATCTCGTTAGCATTAAAATATTGCCACTAAGCGGACGACAATAATTTAATGTCATCCTAAAAAAAAAGTTCTGTTGTCGTTTTGTGCGATTTCATCGAAAATCGTTTATGCTGAAAATTACTTGATAAATCTTCTAAAAATGATCAAAAACTGAAACAAATAACAATGCTTAAATAGAATTTCTTTTTTTTCTTCTCTTATTGTGTGTATAAATAATCGATATATATAAAACACAAAAAAAACAGAAATATTCACTGCAAAATAAATCCATAAATCAATTGATTTTTTTTTGTCTTTTCCGCCGTAAAGCGGAATGTTTCGAGATTTTGAAAAAAAAATGGTTACGCCTTAAGTCTACGACATTTATTCTTTTTTTTCACAATAAAAAAATTTACTCCATTTATAAAATTGGATCCATCCAACGCAATGTCGTATTAAATATCTCTTTTTTTGTTGTTGTTATTTCTGTCAATTTTTTTCTTCTTCTTCTCTTATCTCTACAGTGTTCCATTCTAAATTGTTATACATAAGTTGCACATTGTTATTATTTTGTTGCTGTTTTTGTTGTTGTTTTAATCTTTCATATGTAAATATTGCCCAATCGAATTTCACTTGTTTATCGTTAAGTATTTTCACAGTGGTTTTTGTCAGTGTTACACTACGTTCATAGTCGCATTTCACTCGTATCGATATCTGACTCGATGGAATGAATCGAATCACTTTTTAGCTTTTTCAAACTATAGTCACCACGGGATCTGTATGCCGTCAGCTGTATTCGGGACAAATTGCAATTGATGGGAGGAAGAGAGAGAGAAAATATTTACGTCAATCATTATTATCATCACCACACAATTGAATTTTCACAAACAATCAATGCATTAGTCACAACTAAAAAATGAATTCTAAAAGGCAATGAAGCGGAAATATGAATGCAAATGAAAAGAGGCACGTACATACCGGTGATTAGTGATTTTTAGACAGAAAAAGAATGGATAGTTTGTGAAATGACCAAATGAAAAACTACTTAAATTTTGTGGAAAATTGGCACACAAAATAATAACTTAACATAAATGATAATAATTATTCTAAAGCACCCATAAGCACATAAATACAGCAACGCCACTTAAAATTAAAAAGTTCATTGTTTACAAACACGTAATATCATAAAAAACACGTCATTCTTGTTTCGATAAATAAACCGTGGACAAAATGGATTTTGTTTACATAAAATAAGAGACTTTTTCTATACAGCCACAGTAATTTGATTAATAAATTTTAAATTTTCTTCAGTAGAACAATTTTTGCATCATTTTATTTTACAAATAAAAAACCAAAATAAAGGAAAAAATTAAAAAAATTAATATTTTTTGAGTTTTAAGCAATAGTTTTGATGAAATTGCCAAAAAAAAAAAATGGAAAAATGCCGATTAAGAGCAATTTGTTGCCGGATTGTCTTTGAAAAGAGTAAAATAATTTCGAAAATAAACGAAAAATTCAAAACCAAACCCAGTTTTTTTTTCTGAAATGATAAAAGAATTGATATAATAAATGAATCATTTATCATTTGTTCATATTCAATCGATAAATGAATCATTTATTTGCTATGTATAATAATATGATCCAATGCCATATGCCATATGAATCAGCATCAAAATAAAAAGAATCGTAGGCCATAAATTATTATTATTGGTTTGGACCAAGGTTGAAAATTTCAACTTGGAACGAAAAAAGCGAATCAAGAAAAAAAAATTCAACCAGAAAAAATGAAATCAATGAGAAAAAGAAGATTTCAAAATAAACGATCAGACGGGAAAAAAATGTCACAGTCATGCAAGAGGGACGATTCGAAAAATGAACAGAAATTGTAAATATGGAAGAAAAATTTGAAATGGGAGCAGACACCTGTTAGCGAGACAGTGGTTGATGGTAGTATCGCGCAGCGAGATAATGATAGTATAAAACAAATGAACGACGAGATTTCTTTTTCGGTTTTGTTTTCTTTTCGAGATCATAAACTGTGATATGAAATTGGTTTTGAATGATTGAACAAACGAATTTTTGTTCGATTTGTAGCCGGTGTGCAAGTGGAATTTATCAAAAACAAATCTAGCCAATCCATTTCCATTGCTCAGTGTCCGGAGACGTTATCGGTGTTGCAAACTATAATTAGAAATGAAAATTGTAATTTTGACATTTGTTTTTTTTTCGCTTCTTCTTAAAACCGATCGATTGACGTCCCAAATGCAAAATCAATTTTATTCGCTTTTCATTTGATTCAACATGTTTCACACACATTTTTGTTGTGTTAGATTAGAAATGGTGATTAAAGTGCGACAGTGTTTTGTTGTTAGATGTCGATATTTACAAATATTGTGTTACTTTGATTGTTTTCTTTCTGTTTAACTTGTGTTAGCGGTTAAGAGTGTGTGTGTGTTTTTTTGTGTGAATGTGAAAAGCACATAAAAAGTCATTAGTATTTCATTTGATGATGTGAAAGAGCGTGTAAAAGTAGTTTGGCATTTCATTTGAATATACCTCTGCTTTCAAATCGGCCACTTTGTCCTGCAAATCTCTAACTTTATCAGATTCATCGATATTTGATCGTAATTCACCTTCGGCCAATAGCTCGGAATTCTAAATGATGGAAATTAGAAGACGAAAGAGATTCATTTAGACTAAGTTCGAAAGCAAGATGAACTTTGTTTTCGATTTCGTGATACCTTTGTCTCCAACCGTGATATTTCCTGCTTTAATTCGGCCACCGTTTGACTTTGTTCGGTAAATTTAATCTTAACATTCATTAATTCATCTTTCATGCGAGACTCCAAATCGGAATATCTGTGAAAGGGAAGGTGGAAAAAAAGATTGCTTTAATCCTGGGCCATCATCCGAAAAAAGACCTATGTCTAAATGGAGCGCTCTCTGTTTAACGCTCCATTAATTTAAGCATATTCTTTTTTATTCCCGAGTCTTCGGCACTCCAGGGGTGCCTTTTGGAGTAAGCGGCGTCATGCATTGCACAACCGCGTTCATAGGTGAAAATTCCCTTGCCAGTAACTAACCTATGCTGCTGTTCACGAGCTTTGTTAGCCATTTCCTTTTCGCGAGCCAGTGATGAGTCAAGCTCTTCGCGCAGTTTTTTATTCTCTTCATCTTGTCGACGAAGTTGATTGGTGGACACCTGCACTTGAGTCTCCAGTTCCATCACTTTCAAGCGTAGCTCCTTCAGTTCGGTCAATGTTTCCATTTCACGTATCCGTGTCGTCATCAGCTCCTCTTCGACCTTTTGCAGTTCGTTCGACTTGGAATTATCCCAGAACATCAATTTCTTTGACGTTGAATCGGAGGTATTTTCGTTTTTTTGTTCCTTTCGAATGGAAAAATTGGTTAGTTTTAGCATTAAATACGCATTCGGTTAATGAAAGCAATTTTAATTTGGTTTATGATTATTAAATTGAAGTGAATTTCGTTTGAATTGAAGCAAAAAGTCCAATCAAGTAGAATTTTGTTAATTTTTTCCATTATTATGATTCATGAAATCGATTATCCATCCATTGAACAAAGGAAAATTCCGTTAGTAATTGAAGCGTTTACCTGCAATTGCCGTTGCCATTGTGTACTCAACTCTTGAACACGTTGCTTCAGGTCTTTCAGCGAAAGACTTGCTTCGGCCTCTCTCAATTTACTGGCAATTAGTTCATCCTGTAGATGCGCCACCGAATTATCGGGTGTTGTTTCACGCAATGTCTTCTTATCTTCTTCGAGCTCTTCAATTTTCGTTCGCAAGCTACGGATGGTGTCTTCGCCTTCGGCCACACTTTGTCTCACTTTCACTAGCTCTTCCAGCAAGCAACTTACCATTTCGTCGCGTTCTTTGAGCGCTTCTTCTTTCAAGCACAGCTCGTCAATGGAATTTTGGCGCGAGTTATTCTATAAAATGGTTGATTAATGAGTGAGTTAGCATTCAAGGCGATTCAATCGAGTTAATGAAATGAATTGACATAACAGCAAAAAAGAAAAATCTTTGACCAAAATGAAAGCTGGTCATTTGAAAAGAAAAGAGAAAAAAAAACCCATGCAATGCAACGATTTGCGCTCAAATCCAACGCAAATCCAAAACTAAAGATTTCAAACCCAATTCAAATACAGAGCACAAATATAAAGTAGCGAATATATGATTCGCAACAGCGTAATAGAAAGAATGAAACGAGCACACAAACATAATAAGTAACACAAGCAAAATGCACTGAATCGGTGTAGGTTGACTTACAGTTTCTATTGAACTATCTTGTTGCTGCATGTTCGAAAGAGAGATTTAAACAAAAAATATTTAATTACATTAATTAGAATCTCGTTTTTTTTTGTTTTGTAGACAACAACAATCGATGCGATAGACTCTTTTATATAATAATATTAATGAATAGGCAAATAAACAACATGCCACTTACGTTCTCTTGTAACCGTAGACTAAGTCCACGTATTTCTTCGTTGGCAGTTTCTAATTGATGTGATAGTTCCAAGTGTGATTTTCGCAGTGCCAACAGCTCTGACTCAATAGCGAAGGCAGTTTCTTCTTCTTCGGCACGTGATACTTGGCCTCGAACTAGTCGATGTGCCAGTTCAGTACTTTCTGCTTCGAGTAGCTCATTTTGCTTTTTCAACAAGCGATTTTCGTTGCGAAGACGCTGCAAATGAGATTTTCATCAGTTTGTTATTAATTATACGTACTAATTTGTATTGATTTTTTCGATTAAATAAAAATTACACTAAAAAATTGATCTAATTTCAATATTTTAAACTAGTTTCAATGTTTTTCTCATATCCAAACCAATTTTCAAAGAACAAAATCTTACTCTCAATTCGCCCATTTCCTCTTGCTCCTTCTTACGAACAGCTGCATATTCTTTTTCCCATTTTTTCATTTGCTTCGTATTGATTTTCATGGAGAAAGCCAGATTGAACAATTGTTCCGGATCACGTTCAACTATTTCGGGAAGATCCTTTTGGAAGTACTGCAAATGGAAGAAATTCAACATAAAACAGGTGAACTTTAGTTTTGTCATTGATGTAAGTATGAGTTTTTAACTTTGACCGCATGAACGTTGGCTTTTAACATGTTAAATGTCAGCTTTACTTCTCATACTGCTTGACATAACAAGTGCATAGCTGTTCTGTACTTATCAAATAGCTTGTCATAGCACGTAAAGTAAACATTGAAAGTATTCGACGAGATGTAAGAAACAACCTATCTAATAAATGAAAATTGATCCGATAGACAGTCTATCCATTTTACCTTAAGCATAGCTTCCATATCCAATGAAAGAAGTGATTCCTTGCCAATGGCGAGCATAGCCAGTGCCATTTTAAAAATGAATTCCATTCCTTCGCTTAAGAAAATGTCCATCACACGGCAGCTAATTTGGAGATTCAGTGATGTTGTGTAGATTGTTAAAAACCATCGTGAAGCATACATTGACGTTTGAAATGTTTGTGATTGGAAGTGAACGTGTAAATCGGGGAATTGTTCCAGCACTAAATTCTCCAGTTGATACATACAAACGCCGAGCTCAGCCATTGATGGTTTGAACATATCGCGCATACGATGCTGTTGCATAATCTGAACTAAAACAGCGAACGCTTCCTCTTCGGGCATCTGAAAGGATTTTTCAGAAAAACGTGACACAATTAAAAATTATGAAACATTCTACGACAACATTCTACGAACGATTTCATCAGCATGGAATTTGTAAACAAACGAGATTACATGGATAAAAAGTATAAACAACTGGCATAATCCGATAAGAGTAATAAACGAATAAAAACAAAACAATTTCTATTTCAATGTCAGTGTCACAAACCTGCATTAAAAGCAAGCCGACAATAAATCCAGATCCTTGGCAGTAGCCTACTTCGCGATCGTGTAGCGAATAGGCTTTCATGACATTGAACAATGCCTCCTGGCCCAAGCCATCTTTCTCTTTGAAGAAATCATGCTCTGGATATGTACGTGCGATATCTCGTCGAATGACCTTTTCGCATGCGGAAGTCGCTTTGATATAGTCTGCATATTGTTTCTTATCAGCATCAGATGCGCCGCAGAGTAGTTGCCAAACGATTGCACGGAAATAATGTGGAATGCCTCGACGTACTAACTCTTTGACCGACGGTGATGTTTTGCGCTTTGTTGCCGCCTCCCAATCATTCACAATACCTGCCCATATCGAGCAAATGTCCTCTTCGACTGACATACCTGCTTGGAAATTTAAATAAAAAGAGTGGAATTGGATGAAATTCACAATGTTAATAATTTGATTTTTGGAATTTTCGGTCGGTTTTTGAAGCCAAAGCCATTGATTTGCTCGAAGATAAGGTTGAAGCTAAAGCTGCCATCAAAGGCTTTGGTTTCGACTTCAATTCTTTCCATTTTGTCTTACCCGAATTTAAACTAATTTGGCTTGTGTCGGAACTTTTGCGGCTGTGCGCCGAACTCTGTAGTGAATTTAAACTTTTGGCATCGCTTTCGATCAGTTTGTTCGCTGCTTCCAATTTAGCAAGAAGACTTTGTTCTGATGTTGGCAACGCATCAACCAATGGTGCCGCTACTGAACCCGATGTGCTATCCATTAAACGAATCGATGAATTGCTACTGCTATTTTCCGATACAGTCAAAGTCATTGCTTGTTACAGCTCCTGGTTGAGCGTGATAGAAAGAGAAAGAGGGAGATCGAAAAAGATCAAAAGTTGAATGAATGTTATAATGTGTAATTGTGAATTTCAATGTGATAAACAGGCCAATTTACTATATCACGAAAAAAGAAATCGTTCAAACGCACAAGGCTCTTTCTCGTGCGCTCGCTTATTTTGATAATTGTGAATCTGTATAAAACGGGCGTAACCGAACGAGATAGCACCGTTAAAATAATGTAATCATAATTTCAGTTGCTCTTGGCATTTAATATAGAAAAAAAAACTGCGCATCTATACAATTTATACGCCGACTGACGAAAGAGACAATAATTGTTTATCGTATCGGGTGTTGGCATCACATAGCATGTGCCATGGTTATGAATACGCACACCAACAATAACGTCGACCTGCTATCTAATTACATTATTCACTGGCTCATAGAATCTACAGTGATATCGTAAACAATTTTTCGTAAAACACAATTTTCGCTGTTCTTTTTTTGCAAGTCACATATTTTCGTTCGAAGTAAATGTTTATTTTACATTCGCCGAACGAAGAAAAAAACGCGTTGAATGAAGGAAAAAATGCATTGAATGAACGAAGAGAAAAAAACGGAGCACCCAAAATTCATCGTATGACTGATATGAGATTGTTAGCGTTCATGTGCCAAGAGACACACTTATGCGAAATTAGTTCACACTTTTTATGAATCCGATACATTTGTTTTTTCGTTCGTTCCCCGTTCTGTTTGTTGTTGGGAGTTTTATTGTTTTCAAATAACAGCATTTCACCGAAGAGTTTCGCTTGGAATCAGGTTGATCGCGATCGATCAAAGAAAAACAAGACTTTGGCACAAACACACACACAAATTCAACCATTCCAATAGCGATGGTAAACATTTTCCCAAATATTTGCTGAGTCTGTCATTGAATGGTGTCGCTCCAGCGATTTGTATTGAGGTCTAAGACCATTCGCACAATCCATTTTCTTTCCGTATTTTTGTTTTTTCTTCGTTGATTTGTTGCATCGAAAATCATTTTCGGCTCCGAAAATTACATGATTGAATACAAATAAATTGGTGCAGTGCGTTCAACCTAAACGCGACTCGAAACTCAGCTCGGCTTCAAAGTGAATTTTGTGAGAGAGTCGTGCGTTGCCCTTGATCTGGTATAATTACAGCGTACACGCAGCCAAATCGCAAAACAATTAACAATGAATGGGTACCGAATAGAAAAGGCCAAGACATCAACAACAACAACGAATAGATAGAAAAAAGAAACAAGTTTACACGCCTTTTTGTGCACGAAACACCGCCGCCACACATCATGCTTCCACAAAATTGTTCCCATTGAAAATATTATGTCACGGAAAGAGTGGCCATCAATGAAAACGTATCCAAAGATAGTTCCAGCATTACCAAAGATAGTCTCACATTAAAGGCGAGACAGAAAAACTGCAAATACCATCAAAAGATGACTATTTCGAATGCAAATTGTCATTATTTTCAATCATTGACGAGATTCGTTTCAGTCCGTTCTTTATTAGTCTACTACACAGTGTGCAGTTCTTGATGGTGTGGATCGTATACCATCATGAATCATTCTTCAATTAGTAATGACCACAGACGACTTGTGCTTCTTTTTTTTCCTCTCTCATTTCATTGTTCGGAGGTAACCTCGTTTAACACAGGTAGTGTACTGCTTTCAGCAGGTAGCCTCTCTTTCGCTCAATATCTCATACACACACTTTTAATCCATTGACACTTTCTATTTGTGTGTCAGATATTGTTTGCTTATTAAAATGAGAAGAAGAAAAACGCCAATTATATGCCATTGTATGGATGTATTTTTGCTTTATGTGTGGGAATAGTTCATGGTTTGCGATTGTGTATCTTTTTTTGTTGTTTTTTTTTCTTCTTGTTATTGTTATATCGAAATGGGCAGCAGAGCTATGGAGACGAGCAGCTGCGAACTATATTTTATTCAAATGAAATTGCGAAATTGCTATAATAAAAACAGCAGCAGCAGCAGAAGCAGCAACTTTGAAACCACCGGACAAAATGGCCTTTGCAACAACAACAACAAAAGCAAAAATATCTTCATACATATATCGATGACTAACAAGTGGAACTACACCATCATCGCACGAAACCATCAAGTTAAACATATCAAAATCAGATCAAACTAAGTAATGGTAGGCACAAAACAACACCAACAAGACAGCTCAACGCACAAATGTGCATTAAAAACATGTTTAGTCACAGTTTTTTTTTTTGTGGAAAAATTTAATTCGATGATTTGATTCCATGCGATTATTCAGCTGATGAGTGTTTTAATTGTTATCTTTGTTTTCGATTTTATTTACGAAGTTTTCGTGTTATTTCATATTTCGTTCAATTTTCTAAAGCGATAAGATCCAAAAAAGACGCAGTTTTAGAATAAAATAGATAATGCGAAAAAACTTGTCATACTTTTTTTTATTTCAAACAAATGCGCTCTGCACATACACGCACAAATTTCTCATAATAATCCAAAACGAAGTTTCATATTATTCCATTTGCTGTGTTGCATCCAAAATAGATATAATTCTCGTGTCGAGAAAGAAAAATTGGATTTTCAACTTCTCTCTACTCTTGTTTGTTCGTTCTCTTTTACACGCACAGACAATCAAATCACTTTGATGCTACACGAATCTAATCCGATGTTACAATCACTCTCTTTCACTATATATATATCTATAGATTTGATGTGTCGCTCACAAATATTGTCTTGTACTTTTAGTTTCCCTCGGGAATCAACAAACAATACAGTCTTTATCAATACGAATTCGTTTTGTCATTCAACCAGTTTTCAATATGACAATCATCATTTGGAATCGTGCACTTTTCGGATTTCAAACAAGACAAAGGTAAAAAAAAATCTCACTGAATTTTGCTGTCGATTTTTAGACAAATGAAACAACAATCAAAATATTCACAGAGCTGCTGCTGTCGAGTAAAAACGAAAAGACACGTCACGACGTCCATCCGTAAACTGAAACCAGCTAAACCAATGATACTGTTGAAGCTCTATTTATTTTTTTCATTATTCGCAAATACACAAAACCAGTGCGCAGCGCATACGCACACACACACGCAACACCAACACACATCGTCACACAACTATCACTCGTTCGCTCTCGGTGCCTCTCTCTCTCTTTTGTTACATTCCATTCTCTCACTGCCACTTTGTGACAGTAACCAACTGACATTTGTTTACGCTCCGAACTGTCATTCTCAAACACAATGTTTTTGTATGGTTGTTTCTTTTTGCACTCATGTTTTTTCGATTTTGAACTATTTTCAGTCAATTATTTTGGAATTCATACATGATTTTTGGAATGATTTGATTTGAGAATGTTTTTTCAATATTAAATGTATGAAATCATCGAATTTGTATTCAAATATGAATATTGAGTTGAAGTATCACGTTAACTCCTATACATACTCCGGAATACATACAGTACAACCCTGCGCTCATCGAATCACGACTCTTGTACAATTCGTTCACTTCGATTAGGCGAACGTTATTGCACGGACAGAGACGAGTCATTTGAACATTTTATTGCTTTGTGTTACCTTTGGAACCGATTTGGTTTGAATGTTCATTATTTTTTGCCAGAACATGGAAGGAAATTTACAGAAAACTACTGTTTTAAGGATATTTAACGATCACGCTATGCACATATTCAGATAATGACGTAATATTCTTTCCAAATTCGATTTGAGAATGCTTCGAGACGTGTCTTTTTTTTAAATCCTGTTTAGACTACAATTTCTGGACTATTCTTTGTATGTCCCTTACCGTACCATTTTATCTCATTTAAACGTCGTGAACTGATGCGATCCACAAATTAATTAATTTTTTCTCACTTTCGCCAGACAGGAATTTTTCTTCTAAACCTTGGAATTTCTTGTGAAAAGAATTTTGTAAGGGTTTACATTAAAAAGAGGTCTTGCATAGGGAAAACAGCTGTCTACCGGTGAAATTGATCGAAAATCGACCACTTTTATCTCAACACAACTCGTATCAGGCGGCTGGTGCTGAGTTCATTCACAATCTCATCGAAGAGTGTGATCGGTACGAATTTCGTTCAGATGATTATTATCGATGCTACATTCAACACTTTAGTTCATCAGCTTTTCATCCTGTTGGAACGAGCAAAATGGCTAGCGATTCAGATCGCTACGGCCGTCGTCAGTCCACAACTTGAGGTTCGAAAATTTTTGGAATCTTCGGCAAATTGATGCTGGGATGTAAGACTTTTAAAACTTTTCTATTAAATGTTTACGAAATGTATAATTGAATCAGAGTTTTTACGATGGAACTACTCAATTTTAGAATGCCAATGACTATATCTGTAAACGCCAATGCAGCAACGATTTGCATAGCGGAAAAAGGCTCTGACATGATTAAACAAGAATATGGATATATTTGAATCGAAATGATTAAAATCTAATGATTGAACAAACTGTTTCCAAAAATCATTGGGAAGATTTGAATTTTGTCGATTAGCTGCAAAGCCGAGCGCAGCGAGATGAATATAATTGCCGATTATATAAAAATATTTGAAGTAACATACACATTTCGAGGCTGTCATTTATTGCCAGTCGATTTTTGGTTTTACACATTATTGGTGAATATCATGGGGTCAACTATTCAGAAACTATTTGCTTCGATTTTAAAAGCTCATAATATAAATGAACATTATGGAATAAAAATAAATCTGTTGAAAACAGGGAGTTTAAATAATAATAGTGTTAATATTCATGTTGAAATTAAATCAATATATGTTGTAACCATAGGATTGGGTTTCTTTCGTCATTGTGTGAGATATAATCTTTTGTTCGATCAACTATTTCACTATGGTGAATTAAGTCTGAATGAACAATAAATGTTTTTGTTGTTATTGAAGCTGGGTTGACGATGAAAATCCATCGCCGCTTATATTTTTGTGTGTCGCCGCCGTTTGTGTATTTCCTTTGAAGTCGATCACATCTTTGAGGTTAGTTTGTGCTATGAAATGAAACGAAATAAAGATAAAAAATGAAAACTTCTGAATCAAAATATGACGCAAAATCGCTTGAATTCCACTTACAAGGGCAAGTGTGCGCGTTTCAATTCATTCAATTGAACAGGGGACCGGCACGAAGGGCATATCTTCTCACGCTCGACAACCTTTTCGATACACGGGGAACAGAACAAGTGACCGCATGGCGTAAAGGATGCTCCTTGACCATCAAAATCTTCAAAACAGATTGCACATTCCAGTTTTCTGATTTTTGCTTCTATTGATGTGGTTGAAGTCGATGCCCCATGTTTGATGGCAGCTAGATCAACGCCCTTCGGTTTTTCAGTGTTGATTTCAACTTCAATCACAATCGAATTGTTTTCAACGAAAGGGCTTCCCGGTTTTAGCAGCTCACCCAATGAAATCAGTGATTTTGTGGATAACGTTGCGTTTCTAAGAACGTGCCCATTGACGGTTTGTTCAATTGTCTTCAAGAAAGAGTCTTCTTTTGCTGGAATCAACTTGGTCAACATATTGACTTCACATGAAAAATCGTTTGAAGATGTCAAGATATCCAAACGAACAGCAATCTCATCCAAATTATTTTTATACGCTGTCAAATACCAAGACATTTTTCGCAATACAATTTTGGGCGAGCATACGGCAATCAATTTTTCAATATTTGTTACGCTCAATCGAAATTTCGATTTACAACCATCGTCACAACTTTTTTCCACCTCTTCAAATACCATTTCGGGTTTGTTTTTGTCCTGCGGATCGGCCACATGGATTGTTACATCCAAACTTATAGAATCATCATTCATATAACCTTTTGTGGGATCGATCAAGTCGCACCATCGAATTATGCTTCCACCATGGCCAAGGTATATGTTATCATAAACATTTGTCATCGAGTAAAATTTAGTTGCAACCGTGTTCACATTGAATGAGACCAATTGACCCGTGGCATATGCTGTGTGTGTCTGATTCAATGAATTGTCCTTGTTTTGGCAAAGCAAATACAAATATAGCCATTTTTCACCCTTCAGTGCGACTGCTTTTGCTTTTATAGCCCAAGAAATGTTATGAATGACGAAATCCTGTGACGACACCTCATTTAATTCGCTTATTTTTGCAATGTCAAAACGAAAATTCAATTGGGAAACTTTTGCCGTCGCCATGTTGGTGCCTGTTATGAAATTCTGTAATGCAAACAGTGAACAAGTGTCGAAATGTTTGTTAGTACAAAGTTATTTTCAATATATTTGCCAATAAAAATTTAATTTTGATGATTTTTAATGAAAAGATATGATAGAAGCTCACTTCTTTCGCACGAGAAACCACAAAAAACGATTCAAACAAGTAATTCTCAACAAATTGACGATATTCTGTTAGCAGTTTGATACGACTCTCTTGCGAATGTGCGAGTTTGTCTCCAGTGAAATAGCCAATCGTAAACTGTCACATTTTTGACAGATCATACCATAATCAAAGATCCTACGGTACAATACGGTACGTAGAAAGAAAGAGACGAAAAAATGTTGCGATTTTGAATGAGAAGAAAATTATATAATGATTTCATATAAACCAATATCAATTGATCCGAAGAAGAAATAATGATGATGCACATTCTTACAATGCACTCAACAAAATCTTCTGAAAATAAATCAAATTTTCAATTCATTTCTCCACATGTTTCCCCTCTCACGAGATGGGTCAAACATTGTGAACATTGAAAAAGAAATTGTTCACGTTCAACCGTATGATAGAGATAGTATGTGCCTTGGAGCATTGCGCTTCGCACAATATTCTCGCCGGCGTTTTACAAATACATAAACAAACCACATCACTCAGCACACAAGGATATCCCATGCGAATTGGTGTGGTATGATCAACTCAACGAAATAATGGCAATGTGAACGTTTGCCATCGACGTTTGAGCAAATACAATATCCACACTAACAATTGATTTGTGCTCGAAGAAAGGCAACGAACTTTTGCGCTGTCAGCCATTTTCATTTCATACTTTTTTATTGGCGTAGAATAAAATTTACTCGTCTTGAATATCCTGTTTATTCAAGTAATATTCATTCTAATTTTCACACCTGCTGCACTAGAGTTCATTTTGGAGGCGATTGGCAAAAAAACGGTAAGTCAATTCAATTATACAGAACATTTCATGGAAAAAATTGTTTTAATGGCGCAATACAGAATTTCACAATGTAGTAAATTTATTACAGGCACCGTAAAAAATGAACAATTTATGGAAAAAAGAGACAGCGCACGCTGAATATGTGAATCTTTTTGGATCTGTTAATGATTCTCCTGTCGACATGTATGTTGAATTACTCAAAACCAACCAAGCCCAGAAAGACAATCGACGATCAACCGAATGGCGTTTCAAGGGAAAAGATTTGTTTCGTCAAGGAAATTGGATCGAAGCAGTAAAATGCTACAATAAAAGTTTGTGTTTTGCTGAAATTGGATCTGAACATGTGGCGCTAGCATATTCCAACAGATCGGCATGCTACTTTCACATGAAGTTGTTCAAAGATGTGTTAGTTGATATTGAACTCGCCAAAAGTGCAAATCTACCAGACCGTCTGATACCAAAACTGGAGCAACGTAAAAATGAAAGTTTGCGTTTGATGTCAGCTGTTAAGCGTATGGACATATTCAAACCGAAACTAAGTTACAAAGCTAATGAGCATTTCCCGTGCATGGCAAACGTTGTTGAAATGAAATACAGCCAAGAATTCGGTCGCCATTTGGTTGCAAAGTGCGACATTCCAGTTGGAAAAACGGTGCTGGTGGAAAACGACATCCCGCGAATAAGAGATGAAGTTATGGTGTGCTACACTTGTTTACGAGTAAATACGAATTGTGTCGCTTGCCCAAACTGCGCGGATGTTACATTTTGCAGCATTGATTGCATGAATTGCAATCAAATCCACAACTTAGAGTGCGGTACATTTTTTCCACACCTACAGCGTGATATAAGAATTCAAATCAATACAATTTTGTTGGCCATCAACAGTTTTGCTGATGTGGATAGCTTAATGCGATTTGTTGAAGATGCTTTACTCGAGAATCCCGAGACATTACCGACATCATTGTACGATTCCAAGTCAAAATATCACTTCTTTTTCAAACTTTTAACATCAGCACCACATCCTTCTGGTCCAACGAACGCTTCTAAGATTTACAAAATTGCAATGAATTTGCCAAAAATCAGCGGTCTGTTCGATAGTGATCGAAAGAAACGTTTCCTTATGCACTTGGTTCTGCATCATGAATTAATCATCAATACTAATGCATGTGGAGTCGATAATTCCAAGCTTGTGGGCAATATGTTTTGCATTCTGAATCATTCATGTGCTCCGAACTTGTTGGGTTGTATTTACTCAGGTCACATTTTCTGTGTGTCAGGACGACCAATAAGAAAGGGTGAACAGCTTTTCACCAAATACTCAGGTACCGATGATGTTCCGTCAAATGCACGAAAAACAGCGTTGAAATCTCGTTGGGGCTTTGATTGCAAATGCGACAAATGTGAACCAACGTGTGCACCAATTGATCGAAAGCTGATTACATCGGACCCATATTACAAGTACCTGGTCAAAAACAAAGACAACTTAAATGGATCTGCAATCATTCAAAAGAAATGCGTTGAATTTCTGAACAAATACGGATGTTTAGCATGGTCTTCGGAAATTGAAAGCGTATTCGAAATTTATGGCTATCATTTGGCATCAGCACTAGTTTAAGACTTTTCAGTTTTTTTTTGTAATCCCGTTTTTTATGTCTTATTAGTTTTAAGCGGCACTCAGTGAGCAAATCAAGATGTTTTATTTCGCTATAGCCAAGATACATACGATTCATATACGTATCGAGTTAAATAAAAAAAAAACTCAAATAAATTTCAAACGAATGAACTTTCTTTTGGAAAAAATCTTTTAAAAATAGTTAATCAAGTTGAATTTACGATATCAAGTGTTCATCTATGTATTTAAAATTAAATAAAGAAGCCAAAAAATATGCACCAATTTCAAAGCAAAATTTTATTAAAGTATCTTACAAGAATAAATAAATTTCCTCCTCTCATAAAATGAAATTTTGTATGCAGTCCTCTTGAGGTTTGATATGCTCCATTAAATTCAATGTCAACATAAACATATTACGATTCGAAAATATGAACAGAAAAATTGGATCTCTTTCGTTTATTTTCATTGAATAGGTTTGACTCAAAACAGTGTATTGAAAACGGCCTTCGATGTAAATGTAAATCACAATATGGATAAGCATTTAAGCATTCACTTGAACCATGTACACGTAGTCGACACAGTCAAAATAAAAAACAAAATAATTTTTAGTGCATATTTCAGTTTTTTTATTCAATCTTTCTATAAATCAATCTACACTCTTATTCTCACAAATAGTCACAAATAGATGCTCTTTGATAATGCTTTAAATAAATTTCAATTAAACCTCCGTTGGCGTACAAATAGCTCGTTCAAATTACAATGAAACGGTTCTGAAAGTCCGTCTCTACATAGAAAAATAGTGCATTTTTTTATAAAGACCTAATTGCTGTGATGAATATCTTGACTTGAAAATATACTTCTTCAATCGGTCTGTTAAACTTACTCTTAAAAATGTGTAGAACCTAGTTTCGATCGCCAAATTTTTAGCGATTGTATTCCATTTCATTATGCAATAAATTATATTCAATGTTTGAATTTTTATTAAAAACATACACTGTATACTCGTATTATTCCATTTTAAATTACTAGACTTTCACACAAAATTTGCGAAATATATAAATCTGATTATGTTTACGATTAGACTATTAAATCTATGTGATTAATTAAATAATATCAAAATATTCTAAATGAAAAGAATGGTGAACAGAGAGTTCCAGTGATAAATTCAAGTGTGGTGTGTGTGTGATGTGAAAATGACACTGCATTGAATGCAAAATTAAAATGAAACCAAAATGATCCATTTTGAGAGCGATCGACATGTATGTCTTACAATTCGTTTTGTTTAGTTTTTATTTGCTTTAAACTTATGACTTATACATTGCACGAGATGGTGCTTTGCGAAGAGCTTTTTCCGCTTCTGTTTCGTCTATATCACTTTCCGCTTCATCTTCGTCGGATGATTGCTCTTCGGCCGGTCGCGTCCATCGTATCATCACCTCCGGAGAGCGATATAGGAATATTAATTTGGCAAACAGGTCTTCTTCCAGCGAGAACTCGAGCGATTCACGCACCAAATAAATATCCAAACACAACTGCAGTATACGATCAACAAATGGCAACTCGGAATACATGATGTTAAAGCTTGAACCAGAGAATAGACCACGGAAGAATCGAGATGCAACGAATACAAAGGTAGTATAGATACCGATGACACTGTGAGATGAAAAAAAAAATGAATTTTGTCTTGTTAATTGAACGGCTTCTCATAAAAAATATTACTTATTTGTTTGTAAATGCCTTACCCTCCAGCCGTGAGCCAGCTCAAACCAGATGGGAACAATTTATCGCTGAACGTGTACAAAACCGAACTTGATGTACAATCTGCATACGGTAGGAAGGACAATGTTTTCTCATAGAATTCATCGTTACATTCTTCGAGCACTTCCCACCACTTTTCATCGATTTCCGTTCCTTTGTGCAGAAGAAGCGTCAAATTTCGGAAGTATACATCATCCGGCTCATTATTTGGATTCGGAATGAGTTGTGTCGCTGGTTTTAAATCAATCGAATTTTTCACCTAAAATGAATAGAAGTTAAATCGATTTGATCGGAATTTTGAAGAAAAATGAATATAAAGCATACGTTTATGTTTTAATTCCAATTTGAATATATTAGAATTTTACATTGAAACGAATATCAAACATGGAAAAATGTTGAATGTTTTAATTTTTTGTCAAATGTACCTTCAAAAATTTAGGGAACAAATGTGGCAATTGCGTTGGTTTATGATCGCCAATATTGTCCAACATGTCGAGAAGTGCTTGCCGTGCAGGTGTATCGTCTTTCAAATCGAATGATCGTTCGTTTTGTACCGTGCCTGGAATTTTTTCGGTATTTGTCACACGCGATACCACATATTTGTATTGCACTTTCAGTGTGATATTTTTCCGCAAGTCTTCTTTCAATCGCTCAAAATCGGGTGGCGAGATGATCCAAAGAGATGTTGAATTTGGACCAAGAACGACCGCACTGACATCACCTGCTTCATAGTTTTGTAAGAACGTTTGGGCTGCACGATCTTTTGCATAAGCCTTACTGAATGCCGTGTAATTTTGCTCGTTGAAACTGGAGAGAAAAGGAATTTTTTTATTACTTTTTCCGGAAAAAATGGTTCGCTTTGTTCAAAAACTGTGGAGAAAGCTTTTTTCGATTGCTCCGTTGTTGGTTAATTATACTTAGATGGTTAGATATACTATACTCACGGATAAATCTGACTAGACTGTGCACTCATACTGTAAACTGGTTCGTATGGACCGACTCGAAGTGAAACACGCACTTCGTATGGAATATTCGGCTCACCAACTGTGTTGCCCAGCGCAAATAAAGCCAACGGTCCCCACACTAAACCGATTATTGCTATCAAAAATCCACCGCCCATGAGATACTTGACAAACGAGCCTTTGGATTCACCACGTGGTGCCGGGAAATCCTTTTCCATTTGCCGTGAACATTTCAATTCGAAAATATTCGCAAAGATATCTTCCATTTTCAACCATTCGAACAATGGCATTGTTGAATCCGTCCATATCCAATCCATTAGAGTTCGCAATTCAAACAGGAATGGTGTCATCATGTAACTGGAATATGGCAAGAAAAGTTGTATTGAAAAAAAGATTGAAAAATATTTAGCCAGTGCTTGGCGGTGATAACAAAAAACAAGATCTTTGAAAGAAATCATTTTTAAACGCATACTTACAATTTAAAAGCAAACAAATTGAACATAGTAAAACCTTTGGTTAGGCAATTGCCAAGAATGCGCCGCGGATAGCCGCATCGAATTTGGTATGCTGATAGTAAGAAATACAGATACTTGAATCCATAGTAGATAATCGGTGGGTATTTGGCATTGAAGCTCCGTTCGCTGAACTTTGGCACGAGGAAAAATAGCCAAATGTGCATTCCAACCACGGACACAAATTGGAATATTATCTTGCCGAGTAAGTTTTTACGCAGATACAGAGCACGATCCACGATTATGAACACAAATTGAAGCAGCAACATAATGAGGAAAGCGATTGGAATTTTGTTCTCTTGTAGATAAGATGCAACACCACCATCACCTTGACTACTTCCGAAAGCCGTGAACCCAAAGAGCAGTACGAAGAAGTTGATGAAATCGCAAAGGAAGATGTACGTGTATACATCGGCCGAGACACGATTCGTCATTTTCAATAGTTTTCGGAAGAAATTGGTGAACGGCGAACAATACTTGGTTTTCCTGTAACAAAATGAAGAACGATACCGTTTTAAATTTAAATGATCTTTCAGTTGCATAATCAAAAAAAATCGAACTTAATCAAATCCCAATCAAGATTTGTATCATGCAATAAACTGGTTTTAATGTAAGAAAAATCTAATAAAAATACTTCAATCGTTCACTTGAACATAAATACTCACGAAATAGCTGACACATTTGAAAAGTAATTATGCGCATCATTGATTTCCTCAGGCGTTTTCTCGAACTGCACCAATTTATCGCGCTCTCCGTTTTCGTCAATCACTGGTTTTGGAACAGCAACATTTTGATTAGAAGCACTAGCCTCTCTCTCATTTACAATAGCCGTTTTTCTGTTGGGATTCAAAAAAAATTTGGTTGAAATGACAAAAAAAACCCGAAAAGAAAAAGCATTGAGCTAAAAAACACTTACATAGTATTCGGATCAATCGTTTGAACCGCATATTCATCATCTGAATATCCCGTTTTCCAAATGCCCATTTGCTTTTGTATGAATCTGTAAATTGAATAAAAATGAAACCAAAAATAATTGGCGGAAGAAAAAAAGTATCACTTCTTATAAGAAAAAACTGGGAAAATCCAAAAATTGCAATATTTTCAAAAGAATTACCGATGGAAAAAGACAACAAGCAGCAAAATGAGATCGTAGGTGGCATAGTTTGGTTTTACTTCAACGCCAATAATTCGAGGTGGTGCCATTGGGTTATTTTCTGGGATTGTAATCGGATTGCTGTCCAGCCACAAGAACAATGGTGCGATGCATTTTATCAAGACGACAACCTGTGGAGGTGGAGCGTAAAGGAAAATATTCATTTCAGTCGTGAAAAGAATTCAAAGAACGACGTTTTTCAAACACTCAATTCTTATTAATTTTTTTCTCTGTTGCCACAGTCATTATCCTGTGTATTCTATCTACTAATTACCTGTGTGTACGCAATCAATGTAATCCAAAATGTTTTAGATGGTCGTGGTACGGTCAATGTTCCCCATAAGAACACCATCAAAGGCATTGGCAAGGCCAAAATGCTGTGTGAGTGGACCATGTTAATATACACGAGCAAATAGCAAATCAAATCCGTGTTCGAAATGAGTGCGAACCAGAGGGATTGAAAGAATTCGGTTAGAATTGAGTGTCGCTGGGAGTAAAAGTCCATTTCGTCACCCTCTGAAATGTCCTTCAAGCTGTACCAAACAAAATTTCAATATTAGTATCATCATAAAAAGAGAATTAAGTGAAAACATTAGTGTTTTAGTATGACAGATGACAAAACAACAAGCGGGAAAAATAGAAGAAATAGATTTTCTTTAGTAATACCATCAAATTGTGCAAAAGCCAAAGAGATAAAGAGATAGATTAGTAAAATATACACGAAATCATCAGAAAGAGAGTATTTGTGCTCGATGAAAACAGATCGAGTGCAATTGTGGTTTGCCATCAGTTATGTACCTGCTCAGTTCGCTATCACTTATATCGGTATGACTTTGATAAATTTGTGGTGAGTTCGATCGAAGCATCGATAGCGTATTTTGAACTGACGATGGATCCGCCAATGATGGCGAATTTGGAACCGAATATTCCGGCCATGTATCATCTAGTCCTCGCTCCAGTGATGGTGCTAAGACTCTTATTTCGGGTATAACACTTGTTCGTCGCCTATACATACTTGTGCATTCAATACGAAGCAATTATGTTACTCAAAATAGTATACACCCATCAAAGTATTTTACGACAAATAAACGACATGGAAATGGTTTTTATTCTCGAACAATTTCTGTCTAAATTGAAAAAAAATTCATTTTCGGTTTTTCTATACATGGAAACATGTGTGAACACGTTCTATAGCGTTTCCTCCAAGGTATCTAGGTTTCTTTTGTACTCTCAAAAAATGATTTCAATTTGAAATCGATATTTTTTTCAACGCGATCAAATATTTTGATGGGTGATAACTACTAGCTTAGTGACTTTTTATGAACATTTCACCGATTCCATTCCTTGAAAAATAATTGTTAATTTACAGGGTTAGCTAAACTACACTAAAAAAAATATGGAAATAGCGTATCAAACTACAATTTTCAATATTTTCAGTTTAGACATCGACATATTTTACATTATCATGAAAATGACCAAATTCCAAGTTAAAATTTTAAATTAGTTTCGGTTACAATGAAAGCGCTATACCATTCCAGTTTAAAAAAAATGCCAAGAAATATTCGAAACTAATCTACGAGTAAATAAGATGGTTAGCACAAAAATTGCATTATCAATGTACTTACATAGTATCGTCAGCCGGTTGCAGTTGCTCTTTGGTTGGGAAAAGTTGTGGTTTCAACAGATGTGCGATCGTTGCCCTGGAGAAAATCAGATTAATTAGCATTTGCCTTTTTATTTTTATCGATATGGAACAATTCTTGACGAAAATTTTCATAAAAATTCTATTAGTTAAGTTCAAAGTCAATTTTTGAATAAAAAAAATCATTCGCATTTTTTTGGTGTTATTTACAAAGCTAATAAATTGGAACATAGAATTAAAAATTCACAAGACGATTAAAGGTATTGTTATGTGTTTTCATATTGTCATTTAATGAAAAGCACTGAAAAGCACAAAATCCACAAAGGAAATTAAATGTTTTACCCTTTCTCCGGTGTGGATTCATCGTTACCGTTATCACTGATATACTCTTCGCTGTCGTTTCCGCTTTGTTGTGTGGAATGATACGATAGCGTACTTTGACTTGATGTGATATTTGATTTGCTCGCCGTCGATTGACTAAACACATTTTATCAATTCACGTTAATTTTGTATGTACAATTTACAGTGTGGAAAAAAGCGACAAAAAAGGCAATTAATGGAAAATGATGAAAAACCAAAATTAATCAACACATGACCCAAAAAAATTAGAAAGTTAGGTGATTTTCAATTATTCTTAATTTAAATTGTAAAAAAAAGATTTGAATAAAAATAAATTGGAAGTTGAAAAAATTGAAAAAACTTGAAATTGATAAAATTCGAAATTGAAAAGCTTGAAAAAATTATTCGAAACATCGATTTGGTGTTTGAAATTATGAAATGTGTGTGCTACTAATTTTGACAACAATTTGTTTTAGTTGGGTGATTTAAGTGGATTCATTTTTGTATTTAATGTAAAAGAAGTGCCGCGAAAATTTACCCTTGGGTGCGAAGAACCGATGGAAGTGGTGCCCAAACGCGACCGGTTCCAATGCGATGACCTTGACCAAAATCTTTCTCCTGTTTCAATGCTTTCTTTTCCTTTGACAAAACACGTGTCACATATCGATAGTTTCGCGACAGCTTGTACAAACGTAATGTCATCGATACCAAAATACCGGAAATGAAAGCCTTGATGAAAGCAAATGCGGATGACACTATGATTTTTGTGGAAAATTTATTTCATTTTAGTTTCGGTTTTAAAATGGTTATTTAATGGGAAATGGAAGGAAGAACGAAGACTCGTTATATTTGAAGAAGTTGTTGAAAAAGAAACTTTCTGGACAAATCATTCGAAATGTATTTTACCGAATTCGGAAAATCGAATATTTCGTATGGAAAATCAAACGTTCGGTAGAAAATGAGATAAATATACACATTGAATGCAAACCTGGTCTTTCTGTTCCCGTCGATGACAATGGTTCCGATAAATCATCCGGTTCATCATCATCATCATCATCATCATCGTCCAGACTGCGGCTTGTACTTGGTTGTTCGCCGTCTGGTTGAATGAATTCTAGAATGAAATTGATCAATGCTTAGTGGAAACTCAATTGTTGTAAGAAATAAAATTCGCAATCAGTCTATGCTTACCATCTTTGTGAGTGGCACTTGCGAGTTCCTACAGAAAATGTGCAGAACGAAAAAAAACGTAATCCATTTAGAATGGAGTTAAGATTAAACACGATTTCGAGATTGGTTAGAGAGAAATGTATTTAAAAGTTGTAAGTGAATTAGAACTCATGTGATTACCAAATGCCAAAACAAGCAAATGTTTGAAATACTTAAACAAACAGACAAACGAACAAGAACGAACGGTTGGTTAAATTTGGACAAAAATGAACATTTTTTTCTTCTCAAAACGAAAGAGTTAGTGAATGATGATAAATTTATGTGTTTGTGTTGTGTTGATAATGGTAACTCACAGAACCAGCGGATTTCTTGCCAGTCACTTGGATCGGCTCTGAAATAGTGGATTTAGCCTCGGCGGCCGTATGTTCCGACGTTGTGACACGTTGCACTGGCAATGATGTGGCATGATGATCCGTTTCTTCGTCACCAGAAGTTTCTGATTGTCGTTTATGTCGGTTTGATGGTGGCGTTTGGAAGGATTTTGTCAACACCTTCATTGCGATCATGATTCAATTTGGTTTTGTTTTTGATTGGTTTTTATGGTTAGTGTTCAAGTTTTGATCAAATTGATGATTTTATTCGAATGGAACAGTGGATTGTGTTTGTTTATATTAAAAAAAAAGAGAATGAAAAAACATAGAAAGAAATCATAAGTTTAAGCAGATTAAAAACATTTGGTTAAATCATTAAAATGATCAAAAAAGAACAATTCCACTTGTTATTGCCATTGTTAAATGTCATGCGATTGATTTTTTTTCTACACATTTCGAGCAAACCAATTCTGTCGATCTTTAGCATCTTTTTGCTTGTTGACTTCTTCTCGACGAATCACAAACGGAAAAAAAAATTTCTAACAATATAACTCTTTCGCGCGATTTAAAAAACGGATAAAACACTGTTCTTTTGGTCCTATCAATTTTAGTTTGAATCCAAAAAAAATTGTTCACTATATTAATATGTCAAAAACGGTATGAAAAAGCAAAAAAAAAGCGCACACGGACTAAAATAGTAGCACACAAAAACGCCAAACCAAAAAATTTCGAGAAAAAAAAACACTCGCTAAACAAACCTTTTTCCGATCACCTTTCTTCGGACGTGATAAACCGAGTTTCTCACGAAATAGCTAAAAAAATATTGGTGGCACATTTTATTTTCATCGAACCGGGAAACAGAAAAAAAAGCACGAGAAAAAAAATATGAAACTCGTACAGTGAGTAAAAAAAACAAATCACTTCCACCACTTATTGATTTGACTCAAAAATACAAAAATGATGCTAAAGCAGGACAATTATGTATTTTTTGTGCACTGAATTTTGATTGAGATCGGCTTGAGCTTTTATTTACAACAAGGAAGGAATCGTTATTTTTGATGAATTTTTTTTTATGAAAGGTGTAATTGGTGTTGTTGAAGGCCGATCCATCGATTTAGTTCAACAATTTACCTGCTCAATGGTCATTTTATCACTCAATTTCCGATCGGTTATTGCATCGTCAATTCCAGCCGACGGACGCTGGTGCAATAGATCCAATTCCACTTTCTCATCCAAGTCCTCAAACAGATAGTAGTCACCAGAGCGAACCGCTGTTTTTTTTTTGTGTGAAGAAAATTGGAGAAAAATGCGTAAGTTTCCATTTCAAAACGCGAAGATTTCGATCAAAAACTGCCTGATTTTAAAAGAATTTGAAAACATTGAATCATTTCTTCATATGAAAGTATTCCGAAAATGAATATCAAAACAAACGAATTTTGATTTGAAACATTTGGTCTACCAATTGTTCTGATTTAACCAGTAAACACTGTATTATGAGTCGTTAATTTGTCAGCAATCCAAAGGGTTAAGAGTTTGAACTCATTAAAAAAACAGGCAATTTTCGATTTCGATCAGAGCAAAATTAAAAAAAACGAACAAATACGAGAAAAAATTAAGGCTTAAGAAAACGTTGGTGTATTTAATTTGCAGTTGTGCAAACTACACATAAACAAATTCAACTCAATTAGTTTCACACGGTTTAATTTTTTTGTGTTACAAGGTGCATTTGGGACAAACAAAATACGTGTGTCATACAATTCTAGGCAAATATTACTGTAATATTTTTTTTTTGTATTTTGAAAAAACAAATTGTGCATTAATTAACGCTGTGAGAATATCAAAACGGCAGAATAATTGATAAAATAGTACGTGTATTTAACATTTTTATTTTTTGGGGTGTAAACATATTTTTTTCTAAATCGATTTTTGTGAATCGACATCCTGTTCAAATTGTTTGTGAAAGAGTTGAAATAAAACGATTATTCCATAAAAGTTGATCACCTTTTCGTTTTATTATTTGAATCGATCCAACGTATTGATAACGTTATCACATTGAACTTAGTCACAAAACCAAACTAGACTACACTCTAAACATACGTCCCAATTCAATAAAATTTGTCGGATAAACCAGGTTAATTGAACCATTTGAACTGTCTAAAAATGGATGTTAGGCAAATCATTAAGGGTGTGTGTTGATATCTTGAATCGAAATCGTAGCCCACAAATAAATATTATTCGAACAAGAATAGAATGTTTCATCGGGATATACATACACTTTGGTGCTACCAGCGAGCGATGCAATCCGTTCAAAAAACATTTGGGAATAAAATTGTATATATGGGAGGAGAGAGTGGGGGAAACGAAAAACCCAAAAAAAATAAAATATATAAATAAAATTAGTAGTCTCAATTCTGTATGAGCATAACCATGAAAATGTGGTATTATGTGAAGTTGGTTTTTTTGATTGAGCCAAACATTGGGTAAAAACGTCATTTGCAATTTTGATTTTGTCCGAGACAAAAATGAGTACGTTCACATGATTTATGTTAATATCTGCTTGAATACGAATTCAAAATCGATATGATCGATTCATCATTATTTACCATATGAATGTCTACGAGTAATTCTTGGCTTTGTTGTTTGAAAAGCCGCTTCACTATTGCGAACGGCTATTTCAGTCACTTCATCAGTGACTTGATCAGCCGTTTCTTGATTTGTCATTTCATTTGACATTTTTTGTGGCGATTCTTTTGTTGGTTCTTGTGAGGTTTCTTGAGTCGCCCCATGAACAATATTTTCTTCTTGTAAAGTGGCCTCATCTAGAAAAATTCACAGCGATGCATATAAAACAAACAAATTCCAGCAAAAAATATCACGCGTGATTAACCTAATTTTGCCGAAAAAATGTTGCCAATTTTTCTTAATTCCCAAAAAAATGTTCCCAGAGAATTGTTGCATAAAATTTTTCAACAAAAAGATTTGCCAGATAAAAATCAGTGAATTTCCACGGAATGCATTTTTAGTCTTAAATCCGAAGACAGATTCCAAAAGGGGAGCTAATTTTAAAATTTTCAGTTAAAAAAAACTCAAACGCATTTTTCTATTAAACTCAAGTGCAAACTAAAAAAAACACACTTGTCAAAACTGTCACGCCTCAACTTCAAACTTCTAAAAAAAAACAAGTTGCAACAAAAACAAAAATTACCCCGCGGATGAGTAATGAAAGATCGTTTTTTTCTTCTTCCATCTGTTTCATCTAAAAAATAACAACAATTTGATATTAGATTTCAAAATGAACACAAAAAAAAAATTGTCTGAAAATATTGTGAAATGCTGAAAAAATATGTGCGTAAATGAAATATGTGCGATAAATTGGATATCCCATTTCGTTTGAGTATGAGCGGTGTGGTTGTCAAGCGATTTGAAAAAAAAATTATTCGGTTAAATTAATGAATATATTTACATTCCTGCATGAAATGGGTTTAAATGAAACGTAAAATTGCTCGTCGACTAATTGCCGACAAAAGAACAGAAAAATAAATCAAAATAAAGTGGTTTTCAAATGTCTCTCCCGAGATAATTTCCGTGATCATTTAGTTTTACAGCGTCTCGATGTTCACAGCCCAAAATATTTTGTTTACAAAAACGGAAAAGGTGTTTATACAAAAGTAGAAAAGTTTCAATTTTTACACTGTACACATCGTGGCCGTCTGGTTGCTCGATGCTAGTTTTTGAAGCAATATGTACACCAGTAAGAGAATCAGTTTTTAAAAGCACATAAAGCCAATGAACCGAAAAGAATCTCTAATTTCACTAAAATTTCATTGTCGTTGATGCGTGTTGTTTCTATGGTACAGTTGCACTGAAGCGAATTCTCTTTTTTTGACGTTGGCGCCCAAAAACGGTTGAGCGCCACACGTGTCTTTTCTCTTTGGAATTACATTCATGATGCGACATAGGCGAACGTTCCGAATCACAGAATGACAATGAATCTCGATAGAAAATTTCACCGATTGGTCCCCAGCTGGTGGGTCGACTGCGGCCGGTGCGTGTCGATAATTCATCTGCCTCGTCGTCAGCATCTCGAATCCATGAATTGGATGTATAGCTGGATCGTCGTCGTTGTGATTCTCGTCCTTCGCTCAGAATCGATACACCGATCGATGATTGTCGTCGATGTTTGCGTCTTAGTGTCACCTCTTCTTCGTCGGTTTCCTTTTTTCCAGCCAAATCCCAGTCCGCAAGCAATTTGTGTCAAAAGTAAGCATAAAAATTATCCAAAAAATTGCAGACGATAAACAATTCAGAATCGAAAAACTAACGTTGGATGGATTCAAAGTAGTCGAAAGGCGACGCACTTTACCAGTCGCTGGGTCACCCTGATCCGTCCACGAAACGGTGTTCACACTCGATTGCCGGCGATGCTGTCGCACAAAGCTGCCCGGTTGCAAGGTGTTTGTCGTGCTTGTTGTTGTCGTTGGAACATTGACTGGTATACCCGGTGGCACAATGGTATTGGATTGAATACTTTGCTTGCGTGATTGATGCAATGGCGAAAACACTGGATATGAATCATCCGAATTTTGTTGCATCAATTCAGAGACGGGAGGAGAGCTAAATGATAAACGTGTAGGTTCTAAGTACGCGTCTAGTGAATGAGATACGGTCATGATAGCAGAACTTGGTGATGGTACCTAAAATCATTGAACGGTATGAATGGTGGCGACTTTTCTGGTTGTTGATTTTTGATTTCATCTACTTGTGTGTTTAGCATCGAACCGCCACGTGATGTTGGCATCAAATCCGTTGGTAATTCAGATATACCGTCAGCGGCCACTTCATCTTCGATCGGCGTATGATATCCAGCACACGATGACATACTTATCGTTCGTGCCAAGGGCGCTGTACCCACTTCATGGCAATATTAGTAATATATCAAACATATTTAAAAACTTTCAGCTGGCGAAAGTTATGGGTTTTTTTTTGTTTCAAATATTTCATTTACATACAATTTCTTTCAACCTTTGTTTAGATTGTTTTTTTTTTCATCAGCTCACTCACGCACATACTCACATTTATCGCAATCAGTTTTCTTTTTTAATTGCAAATTTTTATTCCATAGCTTTTTCGACTTAATTGACTTACACAATTTACTTACCTTGATAATGTGTCTTTGGTGTAGTTAAAGCCGGTTGCAATTTCTGCTGATTTGCCTTGATTCGATCCATCTTCTGTTTGATCTTCTGCAGAATTTCCTCTTCACGTTGAGCCTGGATTTTAACCTGCTTCTTACGAAGGCTCTCGATCAACTCAGCTCCTCTGGAAAATTTAGATTTTTTTTATATTTGAGGTTTATTTTGGTAGGAAAAATTTCAATTTAGCTAATAAATTAATTTTTCGGACAAAAGGTTAAAAAAAAATCAATTATTATATTCAAAGTACCTCGATGCCAAAATCGTGCTGGCTTTGCTCTCATTGATAATATGACAGAAGTAATAGCTTTGGAAAATGCGAAATTGGAAAATCACTAAGAGAGAGGAAGAAATCATCAATATTAAAAAAAATTGTTTTGTTTTTGTATGGATTAAATGAAGAAATTTTCTCTTACAGAACATAAAACAGACGAAATCCCATCTCAAACTGGAGTCGTCCAGATTTTCGCAATCCTTCTGTTGTGATGAAATAACGGATAATCGGAGGTTAAAAAGATATTGTTTTAACATTGTTGAATGAAATAAGTAAAAAAGCTGAGTATTCTTACTCCAGATGTGAGATCGAATTGGCTCCTCGTAATTGCCCTCTGACAATTGATGCCAAATGTTTTTTGGAAAAAGCAAATGCCGGTCCATTCCTTTTCGAGATAGTCGATAAAAATGCAAACTGGCAGATGAAGAAAGGCTTTCGTCGCGATCACCAACACATTGTATGCAACCAAGAGTTTCCACCAACGTAAAATGGTGTGAATTGGACGAAGATAGAATTCGCCACCTTGCCACAAGAAAATGAACGATCCCACCAAATAGCCAATCGAATAAATGTTCGGATGACTTGAACCAGCTAAAAAGACAATGGCCAATGTTACCCAGAAACAGCCCAAAAATACGATGCATTTCAGAATATCCAGCCAATTCTTTTGGATTGAGACAAAATCATCCGTTTCGATTGGGACTTCGCCGGAGCCAAGCTTATTGATCTCATCGATAACTGATTTATTGCTTCCGCCCATGAATTCACTGTTTTCATATTGCTTCTCAATACGGAAAACGAGCATTTGTCGACACGTGCACATTAGCAATAAGAAATCGAGCAAAAGCTTATGCGAATGATTACGTAGTGTTGGATCCGGCAACCACATCAATTCTTGAAGGCGTTTCATTGTTGCGTCTTTCCAAGGGTAATCTGGAGGAAGGAAATTTAGAAAGAAATTATTCAGCATTAATTAATTAAAATTACGAAATGTACGGAAAAAGGAGCAAAAAAAAAACGAGTTCCATTGACATACCAATGCACAAGAATGGTGGCATATTAACGGCGAATATATACTGTATGACAATAAGAATGACAATGAACGATTGGAATATCGGCCAAATACGATGCTTCATTTCACGCGATACGCCAAAGAGCAAGCATAGCCAGATGGCATACAAAACGGCAACTACGTCCATTCGAGCACTGATCAAAATTGCCAACATCAAGAGTGTCACTTCCACGCCAAATTTGTAGAATGCAAAATTCAGAAGGTATTTAACCAAATGCGAGATGTCTTTGTCTGCATCGCTGCGTGTAATTCGTGGAAATAGCACCTTTGGTCTTGCAATTGACCGTCCGCTCAAGAATCTGCAGAAAATAAACCAATTTAGTTCGATTATGTGTGAAAAATGCGGAATTTTTTCCTCGATATCACCTCTTTCGTTGTTGATAAAGTAAAATCAAGTTGTATGCTGTCAACGCCACAATATAAACGATATAGCCACTGAGAAGTTGCATCAACGTTTGCCCTGCGACCAATTTGTTGAATCCAACCCAATTGGCCGTATTGTTGTTTGGATCATTTACAACGATCGTTGTATTGCCGGCTGTCGAATTGCTAACAGTCGAATTGCTAACAGTCGAATTGCCATCAGTCGAATTAATGGTCGTCGAATTATCATTTGTGGAGTTTGCATTCTGAAATGGACATGAAATCATCGTATAGTTAAGTATAGTATAAATTGAATGACGAGACTTGACAATTTTCAACAAAAAAACGTTAATCATTTGGATCTTACCGTGCAATTGACATCGTAAGCATTTTGTGGAATGTATTCGATTTGATAAATCATTTTCAGGATGAACAGTGAGGCAATGGTGAGTGATATGAATCCACTGTAAATGGTTTGTGTGTTTGTTCTCGACGTAACAGCAATCACGGTCAATGTAATGATAGCAATGTGAATAGCCGAAACCTCGTTGATACCGAGTAAAAATGCCAACAACAGAATAACTTTGATGAAATGCAATTCCATGAACAGCCAAAAGAGGTCAAAGAACCATTTCGTGCGATTGTAAAACACAACGACTCGTTTAATTGCCTGTTTTGTGGTCAAATTTTTCAAATCAGATACATTGATACGGGTGTAATGGCTCTTGGTTTTCTGATGTTCTTCTGAGGGTGAGTCAGGTTCTAAGCTGCCATAGTTAACACTTGACGATGGTTGAATGCCTGATGTGCTGCTCTCTCGGCGAGTCGCAAGTGACGGTAATTCCAAACGCTCCAAATATTTTTTATGGAACATTTGCAGCTGAACAACCGTGATGACAACCAACAATGTTGGATAGAATAAACGCAAAAACAAGGCCTTTGTCTCATATTTAACCAAACCGATATCACGTTGCCTGGAATTAATACAAAGAATTAAATCAGAATAATAAAATTTAGTAAAAACTCAGTGGAAAGAGATTTTTCTCAGCACTTTCTGTGGGTTAGCTCAAGAAAGGCGCTCATATCAATCGTGAGCTGATTCACAGTTGGCAATTTGAACTATAATTGTCAATGAAAGTGATCATAGAAATTCAAAACACTTACAAGACCTTATCAATGCCAACATATTCGTACCAGAATTCATCGAATCGATCAAATTGATACGTATAAATCATAGTCAGAGACAACATTGAAAAACCGATGACAATCACCCAAAATGTATACATCATTTTCTTCCACACTCGCCAAGACAACTGGAATCCAAGAGAATTTTCAGTTAACTTGATTATTTCGAAGAAAAAAAACTTTTCATTTACCTGAAATGTAACCATGAATATCAAAAACAGTGCCATATAAACGATACGGAACACAGTCATTTCACGGCCGTAAATGGCGAAGAAAAATAGCGCAAAAACCACAATCCAAATCCACATTTGCATCAAAATGGATTTGAACATTTTACCAGCGCGCAACATCAGTTTGGATTTCTTCGTTTCTGGTTTGGGTCCAAGATCCGTTGTGGCTGCTGAAACGGTCACATGGAACGGTGCGGCTAAATGTGCCAACGTCGACGATTGACGTTGTAACGTGTCTTCGTATTTCATTTGGCGTAGTGTCAACCAAAATGTCACAGTGAATAATGTTTTTAGGAGCAGAGGAACACACGGGTATGATCGGTATCGAATAAATCCGATTTGTTCCAAATTGATGCCTTTTGTGTCGACATGCGATGGAAGTTCCTCCTCTGTCAGATTCATACAGTACAAATACTGCGTTATGAGTAAGAATTCAGCGTAGATAACTACAAATGGACTGATTCGGTGCATATTTTTGCGTTGATTTGGAATAATCCAGAGTAAATTAGCTACCAAAAGGAAGACAAATGTCAACCAACTGTGGTATACGATACTCCATACCTATGGAAACAGGAGATTTAGTGTTAAAACAATATTTTTTTCAAGAATTCTTGGAAAAACGTCACTCACCATCATCATAATATTCGAAATGATGTAGCTGTGCTTGCAAATCACAGTAGTCAAGTGTCCGATTGCGAACGAAATGTGTTCACTAATCGTCGGTTGTGCTTCTTCTTCTGCGGATACAATACCATCGTCTTTATTGTTTGTTTGTTCTTTAGATATGAATGGAATTTGATGTATTTGTGGGGAGGAAGGTGACAAACCAAAACGAACGAATTAAAATATACAAAACCAAATAAATGTACAGAAAACAAAACACACACACATTTTCGGATTGGGACCATGCAGAGAGTGAAGGAAGGGAAAATTAAATCAAATCAAACAAACAAATAGAGAGAAAAAAACTGACAACAAAAAAAATGTCAACCAAAAGAAAATTCCTTACCGCCAATTGCCTCGAGTGGAATGACATTGGGATCATTCGATGTTCCTTCGTTAGGACGATGTTTAAACGTTTTCAACCGTTTCATGCTGCGACGCATCAACTGTGTACATATCGATTTGAAGACAAACAGATTCATATTAATCACCGTACTAACGGTTCGACTTACTTGTTTGATACTTTGCTAGCATATTAGTTTGATTAGAGGTAAATAAATAGCCATTGAGAATGAAATAAATATGTATATTTATCTGAATCTAGATTAAAGCTCCAGCGTGCAGGACTCAATCGACAAAATCACATTGCGGTAGTAAAATTGGGGAAAAAATCTAGCAAAAATAAATAATTCTATGACATGGAAATAGCTCCATGTTCATCGCATTGGATTTTCTTGGTCTGTTTTTTATTTTCTTTGAGAACGAACACTTATATTTTTATTCGAATGGATTAGTGCTTTGTGTGTGATTAAGGGGTAAATTGGTTTACGTAAATGGACATTTAACAATTTGGTGCATTTAAAAAAAAATGTCTTTCATGCAAAACGTGCAAGCACACAAAACATACAAATATTCAGAGTGCTTTTCCATTTCCATTTTTATTTTTATTTTATACCTAGCCGTATCCTCGTTTGCAACAAAATAAAATGCCACTAAATGCCCCAAAATGAAATTAATTTGAACAAAACAAAAATAATGAAGCTTTCAAAGCAATACTTATTCGTTCGGAAATCATACGTACAGGCGTTCGTTCATTTGGCTCATCGCTGCTATCGAATAAATCCTGTGCATTTGGTTTAGTTTTTGTTTTTTTTTTGTTTTTTGGTTTTAATAAAATTGTGCAAGCCAATAGAAATGCAACATATATAAAAACACATCGCCAAAAGAAATCAAAAGAAAATTATTAATAATTGAGCACAATTTTGATGATTTTTTTTTTTTAAATTGAATTGTTAACAAAGCAAAATGGTTGTTTTTAGTAAAAGAAGGAAAATGGGTAAAAAGAAAATAATTGAATATGTTAGAGGAACGGTCGATGAATGGAAATGCCAACGGTTAATTTGGACTCGTTGAATGTTTTGTGTAAATGACGTCGGTGCCAAAAAGAAATTGACATCGGTGCGAAGCGAAATGAATAAGGCATATGATGGCATATGGAAAAGGAAAAATTCCATGAAAACACTCTTGAACCGAAGGTAAAATTTTAAGCCTAAGTTTGAACCGAAAATTGCATTTTTATAAAGAAAAAAAATGAGAAAAATTTTGTACAAAACCTTTTGGTCAACAGTTTTTGGGGAAAAATTAAGACAAAAAAAAACTAAGAAATTTTTTTTTGGATTCGTAAGCAGATATAAGCATGCGATTGCAATAAAATGCCTAAGAACAATATTCAAAGCTGGAATATCATTTTTTCTAATGAAAAAAGTCGAAAAAATTGCACATTAGCCTAGAAAAGTCGCGTAATTGGGCTGAAAAGTTCATTAGAATCGGTCCCTGACGAGTTTTAAACAAACCTAAACAAAAAAAACTTCGTTCGACAACGCTAAAAAAAATAAGAACGGAACGTGTGTGTATATTACATCGAGGTGCAATTCAAAGAGACGTAAAAAAAGTCGAAGAAAAACATTGAGCGAAAAACAGAGAAAAATGAAAGGAAAAAAACCGAAACGAATAAACGACAAAATTACTCGAACTTTATCAGCAGCACCGTGCCATGATTCCTTTGCTAATCGTTTACCAACTAATGGGCCCTTTTGGATTCTATTTGATACCTGACGTGTTATCTGCTGTGCACCATTTTCATACTGTCCAAATGCACCGCTACGTTTTTCACTGAATCGTTGCTAAAGCGCCGTTATTCGCGTTTTCGAGTATGTGTGTGTGTGTGTGTTAGCGTAGCGCGAAAATGAGCAACCGAATAATCATTTGGTGTTCCACACCATTAAGTCAAAGCACGCGTGATTTCAATGGACGCATAAGCGTAATGGTCAAAGCGAATTCGTTAGACAGTTTATTGATCCGTGAAAAGCATGAACACGAAAAAGAGGGACGAGCGATAAGAGTTAAAGAAGAAGGGAAAGAGAATACATCAGAAAACGGCAAAATCTTATTATACATTTGTTGAATGAACAAGTCTGAATGGGTGAGAGTTGGATAAATTGATTTTTGCTGCCATTTTTTGTTTTTTGCGTCGAGAGTTTCTTTTGTGAATGGGTTAATTGGGAATAATTTTGGCTTCACAGGGAAATGATGGAGAATGGTGATTTACCTTAGCGTCCAAAATGAAACCAGACGATATCACCAGCGCATAGTAACACAGGAGTAGTGCAACTGGATTCAAAAATGCGTCCACGTCAAGCGTTTGATTCAAGTAAATCACACGAATATCACCAGACGTTGAATTACACGATGACACTATCAGCGGACTGAAGCCGAGGAGACTGGAAGAGAAAAATTTTATGGTTAGGAATAACTTTGACTCCAATTCGAACCAAAAGCCAAAAGGAAAAAAACTCTTTCTGTTAGGATGGTGTGCGAAAAGAAATTTTGTCTCGGTTGTGAGGGTAAAATTTTCTTTGCGGCATGAACAAATTCAACGAAGTTCAGTTCGTTGCTTTCCAAGGGAAAATTTGATTTAATCCAAATACACAAACTCGCTTACCGAATAACCGTATTATTAACGTCGAGATACTCTTGCGGCCAAGGAGTTTGGTAGACCAATAGTGCACTTATATGAAGAATAAGTAGCGCAGCAAGCAGTCGACAGATTATAGCAAATCCCCGATCGATTTCCTTGTAAGTTGCCCAAATGGTAGCTGTCAGCAAGAAAACTATGAAATACACCGCACTCGGAACGGATGGTTGAAGAGTTGCAGCGAACAAGAGCATTGCCATCGAACAAAAGATTGCTGGAGAAGAGAGAAATGAAAAGATATGAGTGTGTGTTAGAACATTTTTCCAACATTAAACGTATTTGAACAGAGTATTTTTCTACCATGCAACAATTTATTCAATTTTATCGTTAAATCTACCTGCTCGTTTCAAGAAAGCATATTGCTCCGGCGAATAACCGCCTTCATCTTCCTCTGCAACTGGTTCAGATTCTGCATTCGGGCTGCTGCTTCCGCCGCTCTCTTCGATGTCTTCGTTGACAACAGGTGCCGTCAACTTTTTCAGCGCCACAAAAGCAACGATGCTCGTAAAGAACATCATAATATCCGGCAAGAGCCATAACGTAACCGATATCAATCTATAAATTTAACGATGATTTAATTTGTGCATCGAATAAAATGTCGAATGATCGAATTTCGATCATCATAACGATTTATGTGTGTGTAAAAATGTTGAAAAGAGAATTGAGAATGAAAAAAAAAATCAGAATTTCAAATCAAAATTCCGAATCGAAATACTTACGTTACGTCATGCAAACTAATCATGCCGATGTGGCGAAAGAGAATTTCCAAAAATTCGCATGATTGCAAAAAATCACTACCTTTCGATACCAATACGATTTGAAATGAAATTTGTAATAAAACGGTAATGGTGCTAAGGGCAATCGCTGCTTTGAAAAAGTAGCCCGTGTGACCGCGAATTGTTTTCGTCGTCGCAACAGGTACGAATGGTATGTAAAACAATAGTATGAGATATGGGATTGATAATGCTACTGGCCGAACCAAAATACCTGTGGAAAAAAAAAACAGAAACAAGTTGTAAATCATATGAATGGGCAAGCGGAATAATGAAACGTAATTCTGTTTTTAAATGAAGTGCCTCTGAGAAAAATTTTCAGTAAAAAAGCCCCACAAAAATATTGTCTGAATAAGATTTTCATACAAATTTTTATCAGACAATATTTTTGTGGGGCTTTTTTACTGAAAAATTTTCTCAGAGGCACTTCATTTGAAAACAGAATTACGTTTCATTATTCCGCTTGCCCATTCATATGTAATTTGTCGTGTGTATAGCCTGCTTATAAAAAAGACTTATTTCATTTTGCTACGAAGTAGCTTTGAGTTTTAGTCATTCTCTTGATGACTGTGAATCGTATTTTGATTTTAATGACTTCGAATCGATTCAATCGACGGAAATGAGTATGGCACAAGCGATTTCCCGTTAATGAAATGTTATCGTTGTGAAAGCCATTTTCGATAGAGGAAAAACAAAATTAGGTCACACTGCACATCGTTCACTATAGAAAACGAAAGGAATTAGCAAAAAGATTCACAACAGTCAACATATACAAACAGCGGCAACCTGTCTCGGATTTATGACAAGTTTTCGTGTTGCGTGGTTGCTACGCGCGTCAGGAAGATTACGAGTCTATTCTAGTTTTTTTCTAATGGTATGAAGGTCGAAATGGGTCACGGGGCACACTGAACAACAGACATCACCGATTAAATGGATGATTGATAAATTAAATAATGGCCATTAAAACCGTAGCGAACGCAGCGGGCCCAGCCGATGAGTGACTTGCCGTTATATATCATCCACGGAATATGTCTACAAATCAACATGGTTGTAATAATAATTAAGGTGTGTCTCTTGAGATGAGTTTTACATTAATTTGTAATTAGAAGCAAATGCGGCGCGCAAAAGTGTTCGGTAAATTGTTGAGTACATGTAGTTTTTGGTGCATCAAAAGCGGTGTTTTTGTCATTGTGTCAACGAAAATTGGAACATGACCCAGTGACTCTTCCGACGATCGCTAGTATTGTGACAATGGGCACAGCAACGCCAGATAACATAATACTAAACGCATCCATTCCCATTAAGACTTAGTGTAATTTATTCGCGCAGAATTTGAAAACAATGCAAAATGAAATGGGTGCGTTTAATATAATTCACTATACTAGCGATGGTCAGACTCTTCCGAGAGACAAATAGGAGCATTTTAACGTTTTACTCGAATATCAAAGTGAAAAAAAGTAAACAACACAGCGAAACAAAAAATATTGTTCAAGCAAATACAACGAAACAAAAAAAGCTGCAAAAAATTGGAGGCTTTGAGACAGAAAATTGATTTTCGGTGACGATAAAATGTATCGAATCATGAAAACCATAGCCGTTTTTCATCCTTATCATATTGATTGGATTCGCTTACTTCAACCGATAAGGTCGTCAGCAAAATGTGAGCCATCACGTACATCTATATGCGAATGACTCACGCTGAATTCGTTTGCGCCGTAAACAAATGCAATGAAAGCGAAGTCGTGTGTATGTTGTGCTCGCAAATAATTACATCGAATAAAAATAAATATGAAGAAACGAATGCCGCACCTATTCGGTTTACTCTGTATATATGAGTGTGTGGTATTCTTCAATTTATGGTCGAAACAAGCGAGGTTTGCACGCGTTTGCCGCGAGCATTGGAGAGTGAGTGTGTTCTTATCAATTTTGAAACGCTTCAGAATATCTGACGACATCAAAACCCGTTTCATTGACAAATGCAATCAAGCCGTGAACTGTGAATGAAGTTGACTTGAAGCTAGCAACCGTGTTGACCCAATTCTGGAACACTATTTGGCGCGCGGTGTAAGGAATTTACGATCAGGTTTCCGCAAGAAATCCCAATAAGTTTATACAGAACAAACAACCGTGGTGAATGTGTACCTTCTCCGTATTTGAAACCGATTTGACGAGTCAAACCGACTTTTCATGTGTAAATATTTAACCTAATCGATAAAATCTATATTGAGACGGAAAAGTGGCGTTTGTAGACACATAAAATGAAAGTCATATCGTAAAAAATTATAGGCCAGTTTATGGAAATCTCCCATGACATCGAAACTCTAATGCCCGGCCACTTGGAATAGCTGCACATGAGATCCAGTTCATATTTCCCAAGGTATTGATAAAAATAAAATCGTGTACTCCCTGAATTAATTTGGCCCAAATGATGAACTCTCTGGCCAAGTCCGTTGATTTACTGCCAAAATGAATGACCGACGTTCATGCTTGGATTTTTGTGATTCGATCAGTAAGTGTCGTCTAGTGACAATACACGTGAATTCGCATAAAATCAGTGTTTGTCGCTCTTTGGTCGGGCGCTTATATTGCTGAAATCATTGTTTTGGGAACACCTTTGTTGACCAAACCATTGCATGTTTCACGATTTATTAGTACAGGAAAATATGTGTGTGTGTATTTTATAATCAAGGGATGATTTACGCGTTAGTAACTTAAAACGTATGACGTGATAGCGTCGGTAAAATGTGTATCAAATTTAGCGAAAAACGAAATAAATCAAATGGAAGAAGGTAAAAGGTAGAAAATCAGTGGAATAGATTGTCAGGGACAAGAAATGCGCGGCGTTCAAAAAGCGGTTTAACGTTTATAGTTCGATTATTAGCAGCTGATCGGAATGAAATTTGAGTTATGTCCAAATGGTCGAAATGGAATGTGTTGTTCGTCACCAACGCATTAGTTCATAGCCAAAGTCGACAGTCACTGCATTAGATAGTGTTTAGAAGTCAGTTAGCAACAAATATTATCATAATTATGGGTAATTCGTTTGCAGAAAAAACACATATTTTCCTTTCATAAATCTAATTATAATCGACGTATATATGCTCAGTGCATGAAACTTTTAATGAAAATTAAACCGAACCTAAAGTCGGTCGCACTGCATGTAGCTGTGGTGTTCATGGTATGCGTAGGAATGAATCTATATTTACTAGGCAACTAAGCCGGTCGAATGAAAGTTTTGCACGCGAAAAACTCTACAAAATACAAACACATATGCTTCGCTAGACTTGATTTGACGAGGCACGTCACATTTCAACTTTGACAAAAAAAACGCCATCGAAATGTGTGAGAAAACATTGTGATGCGATGCAGAGAAGCAGAACGAAACAGAGAACGAAGCAGAGAATGTAACACAGAACGAAACAGAGAGGAAAAAAAAGTTCAGTGTCGACGCTCGCCAATCCGCCGAGTGAATCAATGTTTTTTTCTGGCTTGTCTCTCTCTCTCTCTCTCTCTCTGTGTGTGTGTGTGTGTATGTCTGATCGTCATTTCAAAACGGCAAATTGGTCATTCAGCGTATTTGTTTCGGCATTTCGCAAAATGAAGCACACATGAAAAACCGCCATTTGAACTGGTTTCAGGATAAGATTAACAGAGCGGCTATAATGATGTCATCAAGCAAACACAGTGGCGACCGCGCCGAGTCACATCACATACAGGCGCACATACAACTTTCCTAAACAAGCATCAAGCCAAAGCATCGAAAACGGCAACGACGACGACGACGACAATGACATCGTCGAATAATTTATTTAATTTTGACCTTTTGATGCCTCTTTATGGCCAACAACACGCTATCATTGCAATGCGTTTCGTTTTCATACACACAACAAATCGCTATCAATATGAGTTCAATTGAAACAACAAACGACCATCCAAATTGGACGCAATCAATATTAGTTGTAATCGCATAATGAGCCTAGCTCAAACTCATAATGCGTGTGTTTGGTTTTCAATCAAATCTCAGTTGAATCCTACTGATTGAATTTATTATTTTTGGTTTGAAACAACAATAAAAACTCAATTCGACTAATTGTGACAAATAACTTTGTCGTTCATTTCGTTATAATTTTTCTATTGAAAAATCCCTGAAAAGATAAACTGATGCCGACGCATTGATTAAAAAAACACCACTTTCGACGGAAATATATCTCTTCACACGGATCATATTGACACCGCGTATTAAACGGTCACACACACTCTCACGGTTTAACCACCCGCTCACATTGCGATTGCCAACAATTTATCGTGTTCATTGATCTTATTAATTTATCCGCACCATAGAATGTCAGCACTTTCATTCAATTCCCTAAATATCAATTAATCTAACGAGTGGGCATGTTTTTTGGGTCAAATGTGGCGATGGAATCTGGCGCCAGGACAATCCTACTTATATACACCTATCTTGCGTGTCACATGTAATAATGCGCGCCAGCTCCTGTATATTTCCGACTACATTGACGCTATATTCAAATGAACATTCAAAGAACTGTGCATTTCTTTCGAAAGAAGAAAACGAAAAAAGCAATGCGGCCTTATCAAAATAATGGGCAAAAGTCGTTGATAATAACAAATGAGAATCAAATTAAAACAACCTTGAGCACATTTCCAGATTGTTATTGCACGAACAGCGCTTTTTATTATCAACGATGAACAATTCGTTTTTGCTGTTTTCGGCATAATGTCCGCAATATTTGCATTTCAAAGCCATTAAATTTACGATATCTAGAGATAAAGTTGTGCAAAATTTGCTTCCTAATTTATAAGTGAGTGCAAATGCAAGTCAAATTTTGTTCAAATTGAATTAACACAACGATTTTTCTTCGATATGTTCTACTGTCAGATTCAATTGAAGACTTGCTTTGAATATTTCATTTTTGGGCATTCATGCGCACCACGATTGCAATCGACTACTGATTAAAATCTCACGAAAGTCTCGTCAGCACTTTGATTTATTACATTGGATAATGGCTGATTTTTTTCCATTGGAAATGAGTGAATTTTTCAACAAATCATTTCACAATTCATTTGATTGGATGAAATGCACATCGAATCGCCTAGTTGAATGAATTGATCAACAAATTCAATTCTTTCGAAGAAATTCTAACGACATTCTTTCCTAAAAGAACAAATTTTCTAGACTTTTCGAACAAAACACATTTTTAAAAAATGGAATGAAATTGTACTTACACAAGGCGAAAATAACCGGAACGATTATCCTCTGGATAATCGTTGTTGTGATGGCCATCTTATCCTAATTTAATCTACAGCTACGTTTTGCCTGCAATAGAAAAAAAGTTCATCAGAAAAATTCGTGGTCGAAAAGTATTAATGGGTTAAAATAAAACAGCGGCGATAAAGCGGAACACAATCGCTCCTTCGCCCCTCAAAAAATTGTTTCCTTATCATATTTGCGTTTTAACGTGATGCGATGAAAATGTTAACTCGTGGGTTCATTTTTAACACGGATCGATAAAAGTGGCATATAAATGGCCCCGAAATACCATTTAATGTGTGCCAAAGACACGTCTATTCACTTTGGATATATTTCCATTTTACGGGCATTTTCGTACAACGCTTAAAATCACCCAAGCAAACAAACCGACCGAAATTTAGGCTACACAAAGACCATATCGCCATTTAATTTTTTTTCTTCAAATATGTATATTATCTGCTTTTATAAGCTAAGGTATATCTTTGACACAATTTTTCACTATGTTCTTACTCAATTCAAGTCGATTTGTATCGTGACAGTGACTTAATCGGTTTCAGTCGAGTTTCTACGCACTCATTCTCCGTGTGTGTCATCGTCATTTCCGAAATGGTTCACGTTTTCTTCTTTCGAAATGACACATAAAAAATTTCGAACATGTTTTCAATAATTGAGTGCTGAAATTTTACAGTTGAACAGCCGAACTCGATAAGGCATAAATTTTGTTCGGCTATTATACACACACACACACACTAGGTTCTATTTGTGAATTTTGAATTGTAATTTGCTCGTTCAAAAACATTCTTTGTGAAGTAAAGTTTAGAATTTTGGTTCACATTTAATATGAATGAATGTTTCAAGTTTGAAACTTTCAACCGACTCGTCTCAATATTCAATGAATATTATCGATGTATTCAACTTCATTCTATTAGCTCTTTCGACTTTTATCGAGCTCTTTTTTTTCGCTCGAATAGCACCATTAATTTTCAAAATTTGCAATTTAATCGATTTATGTTTATGTAAAAATGTTTGCGGTTGACCGCAGCAGTGTACGAGCAAAAAACATGAAATACAGTTGCATTAAGCATTTGAGAGTAATCAAATGTGAGAAATGAAACTGGAATGTCTTTCGCCAAAGTCACCCTTTGAATTGTTCTCAATTCAAATGAATCATCATTCCGTTTGAATTGTCAGAAGCAGAACGAAAATTACAATTTTTATATCATAATAATAATGGAAGTGAGCTCGTTGCAAGAAGAAACTTCATACAAAGCAAACAAAACTCTTTTAGAGAGAAAACTCTTTACAAGCGAACATAACCGCAAAAAAACATACGGAAGTTAAATTTAAATGAAATACGTGCCGCATTCTGTTGAATAGTGACAACAAAAAACAGGTTTTTCTTGTGAGTAATTGTTTTTAAAGATGTGTCTTTTTTCATTACCTCTGCACTGTAGCTTCAAATGATTAATCTCTAATTATCTCCGTTTATCACAGATTTAATTGATTTCGTGAAGTAATACTCATCACCTAAGAACGAAGTGATGTGTATCATTTCAAAATGTGTTTTCATTCATTCACAATTCACAGCGTTTCAGGTATTTGAATCAGATCTAGAAATGCTGACTAACCATTTCACGATTCATAAACGAGGCGCTAATTTCACAAGCACACAACGTAACAAATAATCGCGCACACATTTAGAAAATGTATTAATCAACTGAATAAAATTGGGTAGTAGTTGCTGCATGAATGCAAATCAATTTTTCTCTTTGAATACTTCTCATTTTTCAAGCGTTTCAATAAACAATTGGCATTGTTGCAAATTTTCCTCGGTGGCCCGCTCCACAGAATATGCGGCACACCGTGTGCGAGGGTAAAATGCAATTGTTTACATATTTTATTATTTCAATTTCTATTCGGTTTAAGTAGTTTTCGCTCATTAGCCGTGCATTCTACACACTAGATAGGCTTTAATTCAATGAAATGTTTGCAAACACATTGTGCATTGCGTTGTTGTTATGCAAAAATCACTTTATATGTCTACATTAGTGTTTACGATGTCATGCTTTGATCTAAGGTTACTCCATTCGGAATGTGGGAGTGAAAACAGAAACAAACACTATCGAGATAAAAAGTCAGTAGAGCGAACAAATATTTCATATGGTTGACATTATAATTATCATTTACATATCTATCTTCAATGCTGGGGATTCCGGTGAAGAAAAAAAAACAAATTGATGTTGTTCTCGCAATCGGTTTATTTTTCTGTGTCAATCACCTCCACGTATTTTCAATACGATGAAATAGTACGGTGTGGAAACAGATTATATTTCTTTTGAATAATATGTTCTCGTGGCTGAAAATAGCCTAACTATTTTTTCGCCAGGGACACTCACTCACTCTCTTGGTAGCGATATCGCTTTTGATCACACTCTCACTCTGAATCTCTTGATACGAGATTTTCCACTTGCTCATTCTTTTCCACGCATTCTTTCCCCACTTTTTATATCTCCATCTTTCTCTTTCTTTCTTTCTCTCTCCATTTTATTCGTCTGCAACCTCTCTCGAACGAAAGTGAAATACGTTTAAAATTGAAAAAACACAAGTGTTCAGATCGGTAGTGATTTCATTCATTCAGCCGCCTCAATAATAAAATAAATCGATAAATAAACTTCGTCTGGTGGAGAGCACCCAATTCAAACTAAAATCTATCTTCGTAAAACGTGTTTATGATCGATTGCTCATGTAGCAAACAAAAGAGCTATAATGGCGCATCGCTCGTTGACTGGCACAGTGGAACTTGGCTTTTGTTTTTCAAAATCTAGCGCACAGCACAGTTTCGACTCAAAGACAAAAGAATACACTCGTCATGAAAAACAGCGATAAGTTTATTTAATTTCATTTCGATATTGCATGAGCACGTAGCCAAGCTGATTCATATACACAATAGGTTCGTTTGTTGACATGAATCGAGCCAACGAATACAACGAATTTGTTTTTAATTTTCTGCGAAAGAAACAAAATAAATAACATGAGAATTTATTTCGCAATCGTCAAGGAATTCCCGCTAAATTGAGAATCATTCTACGCAAATTTCTGTAGACTATGATCAAAAGATGAATAGTTTGAAGGCGATAAAAATCTGCAAATAATTCGTTCACGCTTCGTTTGGGCGTAATTGAATAAGCAAAGCCAATTTCCGACGATCAAATAAACAAACTTGGAAATGACTCGAAAAATGCGATTTTATTCGCTTTTATTCGCCATCATTTATCTTGAAATCCGACAGAAAACCATCGATAACAACGAAGCAATCGATTACCAACTCAGACGAAAAATGCTGAAAATAAACACATGCACGCAAGCACTTTGCAAGTGTGTACGCAAAAAAAACACACACACACGGCTTTGATACTGTTGTGATTGAACAAAATAGTTTTGAAATGATGTAATCCGATCGTATAATCACTGATGACCGCTAAACTCATTTACACACATTTTTTTTTCGGTTCGTTCGACATCGTCGTCGATGCACTATACTCATTTGACGCAGCGGAATTTCGCACGTAGACATAATAACAAACGAAAACATACAGTCTCGACCGACACAGAAAAAATTCAAATAAACTTGACAACGCTGATTGTGTACGTGTATAGCATTGACATTCACAATCGGAATACACACGGCTGTAATGAAATGTAATCTCATTTTGAAATTGTAGACATATTTCGAGTGAGAATCCCATTTGAAGCGGAACATCGATTCACTATCTAATAAGTGTTGATATTTTTTCTACCGTATAACGGTGACTGAAGAAACCTTTCCGATTGCATTGTGCAATGGTATCAGCTGTTTCACACAAACATACACCATTTTGTCACCGGTACTTGTCGTATAGAATGGAGTCGTCACGGAATATTTCACACGCTGCGTGCGTTCTTATACTTTGAATATTCTCAACGAGAATCGTCTGCTAAAATTGCTTATTTGGAAAACCATTACGTTCACTCAATTTAAGCATTCCAATTAGGTTAAAGGTCGAATCCAACAAGTAGACGATAACCAAAAATTTAGCGCTCAACATACACCCGAATCATCATTGGATGCAAACAGACACATTGATATGAGTAATCATTGTGTGTACACTAGCGTCAGAACGTTGTTTTTTCGACGATTTTCCATTAATTTCTGCTCTGTTTTGATACAATATCAAAAATGATATCAAATCCAATTACTTTGGAAAAAAATTATCATCCATACACAAACTTGTCGGTTTTTTTTGCGCCTGAGTCACTTTCATTTCAGACAATGCCATCAAATAGCACAACAAAACACATAACCTTATCTGAATGGTATGAATGCGATAATAGCGTGTACATCACACACACTCACACAAGCCGTAACTTACAATTGCCGCGTAATAAAGAACCGTCTTTTTTGCTGGTCTCTTTTTTTTCGCTTTTCGTTCATACAATGTTGAAAAATGGCATCGTTAATGCTTCAAGAATATTCACCTTTTGTATACACCATTAAAATTCACTTTTATTTCCGTTGACCTGGCGTTGTTTTCTTTTTTCGTATTTCGCACACACACACACACGATTTTAGTTCAACCACTTATCCATCGAATGGCACATTCTCCAATAAATGATGCGATGACAAAATTGTTGGCATCAATTTCTTTGCATCGATGTGACAAAGCATTGGCTTCTATGATAGTAATCGGTATCTCCACCGCACTTTGTATCGTTTTCAACTGTGCCGAACCAGAATGAAAAATTACAATATTATGAAATTCACACACCATGAAATCGTTTCAGATTTTTTTGTTTGTTTGTAGAATTCTAAACTCACATTAAAATATACACACACACATTTACGCGTTATTGGTTAAGAAGCTTAGCCAGCGACCGACGACAAAAAATTATTATACGTGAACAAATCGAATAAAAAAAAAATGAACACGAACACATACGAACGAAAATAGAAGTGATAGAATTGAAAGAACACGGGATGTAGCAATCACTTCACGAACCGACGACGAAGATCGAAATGAAACAAAAAAAACACGTCTTTACCAGTTGGAATTTCACTGCGTTCTATTCGATCGACAGATAGTTCACATACGTACAACCCGTGGTGCCGTTGTTTTGGATAATTTCATTGGGGCACCGCACGCACACATACGGTCGTCTCGCTTGCACCAACATTTGTTTTTAAGGTTTAGCCGCTTTGACACATCGCATCTGTTCCAAACACATTTGACAGTTGACACATGCACAAAATGTGTGGATGTTGTTTCGATTGAATTTTTAGTTTGGTCGTTTGGATAGAAACCAACTTTGAAAATTGGACGATTTTATTTTCATTTTGTTTTTATTCAAATTTATTTTCAAACAATTGTCGTGTCTATTCATTTTGAAGTAACGAAGATTTATTCATTGCATTTATTGAATCTAATTTTTGTTCTGCTTTGTGTGGAACTCATCGTAGCATTACATAGAATAATAGATTTAAATGTCAATTTACAGTGAGATTTATAATTGAATTGCAAATATGGATATTGAAAGTTTGAAACATTGCCAATTTGAGTAATTAAACATTTTTTTTTTTTTTTTTCTGTTTGAAACATTTGAAATTAAAAAAAAAATGTTTTTCAAAGTTTTCAATTAATTTCATGGTGATGATTTATTTCAGTCAACATTTTGTATGAATTGGATGTAAAAATACATTTCATCAGCTGTTTCTTATGCTTATTGATATTGAATCGATGCGGGTCTTGGGAGCAAATATGAATTAACTGAAATTACCAGTAGCAAGAAGGGACAGCACCTATAAAAATTGCGTTTTACTTTCTTTGCGCATCAATTGTTAGATGCTTAAGAATATGATAGAGTCCGTGAAAAAATTAACGCCTAAATTTAGGCACTATGTTTCAATCCGATATAGTAGATGGAGACACCACATACTTTTTCATATACCACGGTGATATAAGCGCTTGAGCGTTTGTAAAACAGTTTTTGATTACATTTTGCAAAAAGCCGTCAGTGTTCAGGTATTTGCTACGGTTATTGTTGTTTATTGAAAATAAATCGCTTCTAGTAGGATCTGAGTAGACAGCTGTACATTTTTCAAATGAAAACTTTATACACAATAAAACGTGTTGTTAGTTGAGCTGTACGTTTTTGTACAAAAAAAAAACTAGAAAATGTCAATATCAGTAAACGTTTTTCCATTTGGTATTTAGAAATAACATTCAACGCCATTTTGCATAACATCCAAGAACAAATGAAATTTTAAACACAAAATCATTTAATATCGATATATATCCTTCATCAATGTGTTGATTAAAAGTCATGTAGCACCAGATAGTAAGAGATTGTAGCTTGGATAATCTAGAAATAAGACCGGAAATTCAACTTCGGTATGATTTAACTAAAATAATAAAAACAATTCATCGAATCAAATGAACCTTCATAAACGTTTCGTGAGTACAGTGAAAGCCGGCAAATCCTTGGAGGTGAATTTCTTTATTGCTCGCTTTGATTATCATTAGCATATTCCGCTGTAAGTTTAATGGAAGCAGATACCAAGCCATATCATCTTCATCACCAACGCAATGGAATCGTTCTGTCATTTCATTGCCGAAGCGACAGAAGAAATATAGCAGCGAAGATACCGACGAAGTGGAACACATGATTAGTAGAATACCCAAGTAGTTACCATTTTTGAGCAGCTACAAATATTGAATTTATTTTTATTGATTATTTAGTGTAGCAGCACGGATATGAAACGACAACAACAAGTATTTGCAATGTGAACATAAGACGAGCCATTGACCACTAGAGGTAGGTCGAATGTTGTCGTTAGTATGGGTTTCATAGCCGCGTGTAGCAGTCTTTTGAGGATCTTATTAAATTGCAGCAATAATAAGTTGGATTAACCATTGCAAAAAGCAAATAAGCCGACATTAATTCACTGTTTGAGCCCGATAGATGGTTTACGAAGCTAAATGAATGAAAGAAAAGTGCAAAAACTTTTGGAACTGAGCGATACTGTTGAGTTTTTGCTTTATTTCGATTTGCGGTCTGATACTGAATGATATTGTTGCACTATTGTTCAGAATGATATTGTTCACCAAATATTTATTTCTGTATTAGTTTTGTCTTTGCTTTTGACTAGACTCCAAAAATATGCGATCAATAATCGAATGCACTTCAGCGAATGATGTGTATGAAATGTACGGAATCGTCATTTGTTTTTAAATATTCTGTCACTTATCTTGTGCGTACACTTTCACATTGCTCAGCCATCGAATATAAAAGCAGTATTTCGTTGATAAGAATTAACGACAAATTCACAGAATACAGAATATCTGTCACCGTTCCTTGAAGTATTATTCTTGAAGTATATGACGAAATTGTCAATGCTCCTTCGTAATCAGTGCTATAAAACCGATAGTTCTGCGAATGTGAAAATCAGTATTCATTTGTTCATCGACTGAACAAAAATTAACTTTTGAACAAACACTTTAAGGAGTAAAAGAAGTGCTATATTTCGTCAATTGATTTTTTATTCAAGAAACATGTGGTCAAAGTTAGTGATTGTATTGTTCTGCGTTTCATTCTGCATCCAAATCAGCAGTGGTTCAAATAATCGACACCGGCGAGTTGCAAAAGGAGGTTGCGGGCCGCCACCACTAATATCGAATGCTAGAACTAGAAAAGGCAAACAACAAATATACGCCGAATGCGATTCTAATTATCGCTTTTCAAATAATCAGTCAAAAATAGAATTACATTGCGATGTAAATGTATGGAAATTGAGAGAACTCGGAGCAGCCAATCAATTTGAGTGTAAACGTACGTAGCTGACATCAATGAATTTTTTTCATTTTCTCAATGAATTATTTGGCTTCCTGAATTATTGGTTAATTTTCATCCTAAAAATTCAAATGTTTTTTTTTTTCAATCCCATTTCGTATAGCGTTCTGTAATCCACCATGTCAACATGGGGAGTGTGTTATTGTCAAAACGGATGAGCCGGGTAATTGTTATTGTGAACCAAATTTCGACGGTATGCAATGCGAGAATAAAAAAGGGGATCGATGTAAGGCTGAGCCAGACATTACTAATGCCAACAATGTGTGCACTCAAACCAAATGCCAAATAAATTGTGCAACAGATTACGAATTCTCAGACGGTTTCAAAGATCTCGAGATGATTTGCAATGGTGGTCAATGGGAACCGAATCGTGCAAATAAAGTGATCCCCACATGTAATGGTGAGTTTAATTTTGAAACGAAATGATCAAATTTAGAGGCAAACAAATCTAAAATCACACTTTTTCAGCGATTTGTGTTAAACCGTGTAAAAATAATGGGAAATGCATTACACCGGGTGTTTGTAAATGCAAGGGCAATTTCGTCGGTGAACAATGTGAAAATGAAAAGTGTGGATCGCTACCAACAATTCTCAACTCAAATCCAGCCGTTTGCAATGAAACAAATTGCGAGATTGAATGTATGGGTGGGTATGCTTTCCCGGATCGTACAAACACAGTTAAAATGATCTGTAAAAATGGACTGTGGAAGTCAAGCCGAAGTGACGCGGCTGATTGCGAACGTAAGAATAAATTTCTGAATCGTTTAACAACTCTTTTTTCGCTTTATTACATTTATTACGATTTTCTTTTCGGTTTTCTGTAGCTTTTTGTGTTAAACGCTGTCTCAACGGTGGAACGTGTTCTAAACCAGGTATTTGCACATGTTTAGATGGCTTCAAAGGAGCTCATTGTGAACAAAAGACAACCTGTAGAGTCAAACCGACAACGGTGAATGCTAAACACAACTGTAAAGCTAACAGTTGTAAAATTACGTGCGACAATGGCCACGTTTTGCCAGATGGTTCGAGCGTTATGAAGATGGATTGTAAGAATGGCAAGTGGGAATCAAGTTTGCAAAAGCAAAACTTCGCTCCTGACTGTCAGTGTGAGTTTTTTGTTTCAAATTTAAGCTTTGAATAGTATGAGGTTCCATGGCATAATTTAAGGAATTTCGATTTTTGAGTATTGACAACTGCCATTTGATCTGAGGCGATCAAATATTCAAATATCCGAATACATGATGAAGCTTGGAATATCTAGTCTTAGTTTTAGTATATCAGACCGATGGATTTAATTGCCAAGTATTGGAAATTGCAATGGGTTTGTGGGCAGTCAGGATTACAACAACAACAACCTACTGCCCGCAAACCCATTGCAATTTCCAATACTTGGCGATTAAATCCATCGGTCTGATATACTAAAACTAAGACTAGATATTCCA